ACTGTGGTTTACTTCTGAGACTTAGCAATATATATATTGCCCCCTGCAAACATCCAATAAAAGCAGAACTTCCTGTCTGAGAAAAACGAACTTTAATCTCCTTTCGTCGGAAGTTGAGTCGGCTGGCACCAAACTGACCTCCTGCCTCTTTCCGTGAACATTGGCGAGAAACATCAATTCTTCGAATGAATAAGATTTGATTGGTGCCATCGTTAATGTTTGGTTTAGAGCAATAAATAAGGCAATAAAAGCAGAGAGTCGAGTCAAAGTAATCATTGGATTTGATAAACGTTTTTCCGGCCGATAGACGGCCATGTCTTTCTGCGGACGTGTAATAGGGTTAGTATATTTGATTGTCAATATACGGGTGTGATCGAGAACGATATGTCTTCGTTAGATAGATAATACTTGGATCATTAAATATATCGAATAAAATCGATAATCATTAGGTTTTATTGATCATTAAACGTTTGTATAAAATTGCTAGCCTGATATTAGACTTTGTAATTTCTTGGGTTTTTTTTCTTTATGACTGTTTTTATTAAGTGCTATTTTTGGTTGGAGGTTAGAGAATTTTATGACATTGTCGTCAAATGTTCAGATACATTAAATCTGCAATTTTTATCAAGATCTTTTGATGATTATTTCCTATTAGATTTTATATGTTGATCTGTTTCCTGTTATGACAAATATGCATGAATATTACAAAGTAAAACAACAATAAAACTTAAAATAATCCGACTTTTCACAAAAACATTTTCGTATATAATTTACCCTATCACTAATGTAAATAATCCGGTACTTAAAGGAGCTAAATGGTTAATATTTGGGACCTAGAAATTGACACAAATAGGTCGCAACGCATATAATAATGTAATATGAATGTTTGTAAACTGATTTACATTCAATCGTGTCTGTTTTTACTGTAATTTCTAATCAGTTATGTTCGGTGAAATACGCCAGGAGTCTCAATCGAATGGGTTCTCCAGTCTACACCGATAGTATTTATTGCGCATGCTTTCCAGATAAGAATATGCGTCACCGTTTGACATGTCTAGCTTCGTTCTTCGAGTCCCTTGTTACAAATGGCGCTGAAACGCATTATGGTACGCGATTCATGTACCCATGGTAAAATGTTTATTTTTGTCTTAAATATTGGATATCAGAAGCCCATCTTTTCCCGGTAAGATCACGACATCAATGTTGATTTAAATTGACAAATAATTCGTGTTTTCAATGTCGAAGACTTAGCTACTTTAATTTTCCTAATTCTAAAGCACACAGGGGGGTTGGATGGTCGAATGGTTAGCACGTGCGTGATGTATCATAAGGCCTGTCATTGAGTCAGTTGGCGTGGTTTCGAGTCCCCGGTTGTACGTGACAAGGAGTAGGGTCGCCTGTCCAACCTCGTGGGTTTTCTCCGGGTCCTCCGGTTTCCTCCTACTGCTAAAGACCCCTACGCGCAAGCGAATTATTGAAATAAAATTAAACCATATGTTAATCCCGAAATGACCTAGTTTGTGTCGAGTGGACGTTAAACCCCATTTTTCCCTCTCTCTCTAAAGCACACAATGGTTTTAGTTCATCTTAACTATCATACTTAACACTCTTGGAACGAGCAATATAATTATACTAACCATGATCAGCTTTTGGCTTCTTAATCGCATATCGACGTAGATTCTGTAAGAATTGAACCTCAAAGACCCGATGCGTTATTTCAACCATTGAGAACGGTGCATCTGTAATAGGAATATCTGTCCAATAATGTTTCAATTCCAATCAGTCTTTACAAAGATACATGTATATGAGATTAAAGTTTCAATGATCTGTGCGGTTCGCTATGCAATAAGCCAGTCGCCATTTTGTTATCCACGAAAATTTAATGATAGGCCTATTTTAAATCCGACTGAGTTTTATGTTGTTTATTTAATTAATTTAATCTGAGTACATTTCAGCCTGGATTAAGTCGTGAGAAATTTGATATTTTAGCGATAAATGCAAATGGTGCATCGTTACTTTAAAGATACATTATGTAAGATTTAGATAAGGAGCTAGCGATTCTTGTTATAATAGTTCGAAAATAGATGTAAAAAATGAATAATTTGGAAATTTCATTCAAATTACCCTATTGCGAGCGAAGATATTAGCCTTTGAAGGTTTGACAAGACGTGTGTAATAATTGAAACCACCGTACTGCTTGTTCGAAGCTAAGTCTCGCATCTCCATTTTTTTTTTAGCTTAAATTAAATATGGCTGAACCAATCTAATCTATTTAATATCAGAGTAATCTGAGGAAATCGAGAGTTGATTATGGCCTGGATAAGTGAATTAATGTCTAATTATTAATTTAGAAATATTTCAGGCTTAAAGAAAAACCTGCAATAGACAGATTTAGCTCTTGCACAATGTATGTTTAATTGGTCGATTTGATTTTTTTATGGCTAGCACTACCTGCAAGTTTTGTTGAAATCTTTCTATATATGGGCCTCTCCTACTCTGACTACATCCAAGTCAGTAGATAGCTGAGTAGTGTGGATTGAGCCGTGAGAAACTTATCGACAAATGCCAATGTCGCATAGTTACTTTAATACTAAACTCAGATCAAGTTGAATCGAAAACTACTTTTTTTACTTTACTGATTCTCTCTTTAATCTTTAATCTTTGTGTGTCTTTTGTTTTTGTTCATATAATCCGATAAACCGCCGTTTGTTTTCGTTTAGTAAGGTAATTTCTTAGGCTGATGATCGGTAACCGATACATAACGTTCAATCTATACTGTAATTCTGTAAGCCGTTTTTCTATTTGATATTCAATTATTCATAGTATGTCATTAAGTGCGGAATATTGTTGTAACGTGATTGACAAGTAATCTGACATATTGGTAATATCATACCTTTTCTTGACACCTTGTTTTCTATGGAGATTGATTGGCGTCAAAATGTTGTGAAAAGATTCGGAGTGGATCTGTTATGCACTTTATTCAGATTTCCTTCCATGAAAATTAAATAAGGCTTAATATCTTATTGTTCGGCACTACGAAGACCGGCATGTTGTGTGCAATGGGGAAATTGTTCCAGGACAACCGCGTGGAATTCCAACTATCAAAGGTACTTTTACGTGCATGCCTACCAGTACACAGAAGGACCACGGTTTTTGTACCATCCGAACGACTGGGCATCCTTTCCTTGTCAGTGCCCTTCACCACTGACAAAGGATAAAGGACCAGAGACCCCTGGATAGAGTGCCAACCCTACACTCACTGCTTTACCTACCGTGGTTTCTCCTTCCGTGAGGGTTGGATGGCCGAATGGTTAGCACGTCCGTGCTGTATCATAACGTCTGTCATTGCGTCAACTGGTGTGGTTTCGAATCCCCGGTTGTACGTGACAAGGAGTAGGGTCGCCTGTCCAACGTCGTGGGTTTTCTCCAGGTCCCCCGGTTTGAAATAAAAATAAACCATGTTAGTCCCGATATGACCTAGTTAGTGTCGAATGGACGTTAAACCCCATTTCTCTCTCTCTTTCCCCCTCTCTCTCTCTCTCTCTCCCTCTCTCTCTCTCTCTCTCTCTCCTTCCGTGGTCTAACCGAAAAGACAATGGAATAGAAGGTTATTATAATGTGTTCCATTTTCTTGGCTTATAAAACAATGAGTCAGTCGACACCAAACGAATTCGTCCTACGTGCACCGCGGTACCCAAGAAGAATACTGATAGCATCCTCGCCATTCTATTTCGGCTTGCTTGTAGTTTTCTGTCCAGAAACCCTGTCTGATTTTCTGTGGGTGGGTCTTAGTTTCACATGCTATTTAGCAATGGGCACAGTGATATTAAAAAAATTATGTAGCTGTTATAAAGTAATTTGGAGAAAAATAAAATACCACATGCCTCTTGTCAACAACACCCAAACGTTTGCAATATGACGCCAATATCCGCTTTACTATGTATGCACGCCAGAAAGATTTGCAAAAGTGTCATTTAACCACCCGGAAAACTATTCTAGGCATTGTCCTAGACAGAACATAATTAAAATTTAATGTTAAAATGACCTATGGTATTCTCAAACCACAATTGGTAATTACATTTCTCTCGCTATTCCAGTCCTAGACACATATGCATTTGAATGTTCGCCAAATTAAAGTTTCAAACTTGATTATGTTGCTACATAGTCGCAGTCAATGATGTCTCAAGGGACTGTGTGGATGATCCGTTATGTACACGTCTAGTCGTGATAAACAATGAAAGTGGCCATTAGAATTAGCTCAAGATTTGCAATGAAATGTCGAAATTAGAAATGACAGGTTGGGTAGCTACGATTTTAATCTGTACATCGAAATTGAACTTTAATTATTCTTCTATCTCTATAGATAATCAAATCCCTTCATAGAAACTTTAAATGACGTATTCTAATATCTTATATCAAATGATCAAACAAATCTAGCGAAAAGCCTGACTAAATTTAGAAATAAATCATATAACATTGTATGGTGTCTGTTTAAAATAAAATTACTTTTGTTAATTTGGTGTTTACTGTCTATATTACTTCGGGGATTGGAGCCACGGTGGCTAAGTGGGTAAGACGCGTGTTTGGTCCCTCCATTGGGCGAGAAAGTTCATCGGGGATTTTCCGGCGTGGTTTTCCCGTATCAGTGGTGCAACACGGATGACAGCTGTTTAGTCGTTCGGGTGGGACGAAAAACCGAGGTCCCGTGTATACATTGGCATGCAGGTTAAAGATCCCTTGGCAGTGGGAATTCGATATAAGAGTGGGCCATAGTGTCGCTGCCCGGGCACAATTTCCCTCATAGCATAATGTATGGCGTATGTCCGTCTTCATTAGCCGAGTTCGGAGCAGAGCAGTAGGACGTTAAACCCCATTTCATTTAGACCTGCTGATCTGACAATTGCGCTATTCATTTTTAGCAAATGAACCAGTAAAATCTGTGCATTAGCGTATTGAAGACACTAACCCCTTTCATTCAAATATCGTTATTCTTCTTTCAGATGACCTATCAACCTTTCGAGGACTGTTTGTCCGAATGCCGCTGTTAGAACTATCCGCAGTTCCAGCTAGAGAGATTACCAATGCTACAGTGGAGCTTTGTTCCAAACAGTGTGTACAGGAAACAGAGTTCGAGTGCAAATCCTTTGATTTTGACAACTCTTTCAGGAAATGTTATTTACATAATCATACCCACGAAGATGCCTTCGTTATTCTACAGACCGCACACTACACAGACCACTACAGGAGTAAGTTACTAATAATATAGTAATAATTTATTTTCATTGCACATTAGGCCAAAGGCCCATAGTACACTCAATACATCTTAGCTCATGATATAATTCAAATTGATAATCGACAATTTTAACATTTATAAATAAAACTCATTTTGAATATCCAGTCCATTTGATACATTTCTACAATTTCATTTTTCAGTTGATCAGACACGCTTTCAATATACAGTGTCTTTGTTATAAGTAATTACATTTATTCACTTTGTCAAGATCTGATTTTGTACTCTGTGATTGTACAGGAGTAAGTTACTACATTGTCTTGACCAATTTGGAGATCTTTATTCGCTTGTATTATATTGAATTGGCGATCTAATAATACATGTTTGACACAGAAACTTGTGAATTTAGCATTTATAGCTGACCAAAAGCTGTCTAGTCGTTCGGATGGGACAAAAAAGCGAGATCGCGTGTATACATTGGCATGCACGTAAAAGACCCCTTGACGGTTGGATTTCGATATAAGAGTATTCCATAGTGCCGCTGTGCGGGCAAAAATTTCCCCCATAACACACTGTATGGCGCATGCCCGTCTTCATTAGCCCAGTCGGAGCAGAACAGTAGGACGTTAAACCCCATTTCATTTCATTTTGAAGCAAGTGCAGAGATATATTCATAGATTCCGCACGAAACCTTTATTTATTAAAAATGATTTACAGACAAATCCATTATGCATAAATTCCGCCCAATAAGATATCCGTTGAGTATAAATAATTGTTGATGTGAGGATCTCGGATCTAATAAATAACAACGGTGTGGAAGTCGCAATGCTTACATCTGGTGGAGAAGCCATTATGGGTAGATGATTCATTAAGGAAGTAATGTCATGAATGGCGAACTATTAGCCAACAGACATAAACCAGCGTCTTTATTAATGCTATGATTTATTGTCTGTACAAATAGGTGAAGTAAGACATAAAACATATAAAAACCTTTTTACACAACTCAATAAGTTTATTTAGAAGGAATACTCTCATTCTATTTTACGAGGTTTTACAAAGATGAGGGTTGTAAATGCATTACGAAGATGTCAAAATAAATCTAAATATCAAACTTCTTCGCAGACATTTTCCTTTAATTTCAAATAAAGTGTAATGAACAAAACCGATAAAGACCATAGTGGAACTTTTTGTTTTCTTTGAGCTGCAATGTTCCATTATAGTCTTTTATCTTCCAGAAAAGAATACAATTTATAACAGGAGATTCCATGTGAGCATGTAATTCATAGAACAACTAATACCTCTTTCATTAAGAGGATTACTGAAACTCTAATCGATTATATTCCAGATATCTTTATAATAACGTCGAACGCACATAAAGTCATACCTTTGCTGAAGTTTCTAACCTTCACAAACAAAATTTATAAAGTCAAACCTGTAGACAGTTCCAACTATGTGGGTTTGTTCCTGGTCCTCCGGTTTACTCCCACAGTTAAAGATCCTACGCGCAAGCGAATTATTAAAATAAAATGTTAGTCCCGAAATGACCAAGTTTGAGTCGAATGAACGTTACCCCCCCCCTCTCTCTCTGTAGACAATATTGGATCTTGCTGTTTTGATAAAAAAAAATTGAATCTAACTGGTCGCGGCTTTCACCATTGTATATTCAAGCCCAATGTGAAGGCGGATCTTTGTTGTGAAAAATTCATAATGGATAAGATAATTAGAATGGGATCGGGGTTGGGTTCAAAGTCTCCTTTGGTAATTTTAACAATAAGATATAGTTTATTTCATTTCTATGGTTACTTATGCAATGCTACGGGAGAATTTGGCACGGACACTAGTGGACCTCGGCTTTATCGTCCCAACCGAACAACTAGACACACATTCCTTGTCAGTCTTGCATATACTTCTTCTATTAGTGATTAATGTCTGCTTCCACCGAGGGTGATATCGGTGACAAGTTGTCTTATTTTATTATGCTTAGCTCACGCGCAGGGGTCTTTCCTGTAAAAGGAAACCGGAGTACCCGAAGTAAACCCACGAGGTTTTGAAGCCGCCCCTATCTCTAAGCCACATACGCGCACACCGGGGATCGAAACCAAAACCGCAAGCCAGAATTGACCGACAAGCTATAGAGCTTGAAGCGCGATACTCTAGACCGATAAGCCCTCCCAACCCTCCTCAGTCTTGCATGCGCCACTCCGACATGTGAGAACCGGTCTCTAAAAATTCCAGAGGTTTATCTCCGCCCACTCCGGGATTTGAACTCGGTATATTTCAGTCGATAGGCAAGCATCGTGTATTTTTATCACTATCAATATGACGAGGATCTACTTTTACCCATATTTAATTGATATGTTCTTTTCATGTAGGTGCTTTTGAAAAGTTGTTCAACAGATTACCAAACCATGTCTTGACTGTACATCACAACCGCAACATCCCTAGAGTTAGTCCAGAAGAATGTGCTCGACGTTGTATATTTGAGATGACGTTTAAGTGTCGAGGGTTTGATTATGAACTTGAAGTTAGGAATTGCTGGTTGACTGAACAGACTCCTGTGGATACAAATGGGGTTCAAGTTCACCATGGTGCTGATTATTATCAACGAACTCTTGGTAAGTATCAAGTATAATAACAAATAGCCAATCGGCTAAACCAACCATAGATAAAACAAACGCATCAGGAATGCAAAGACAAAATAAAGATTACAGGGATACCAAACACTACAGTAATACAGAGACAAAATAAAGACTACAGGAAAACAAAGATAAAATAAAGACTACAGGAAAACAAAGACAAAATAAAGATTACAGGGATACCAAACACTACAGTAATACAGAGACAAAATAAAGACTACAGGAAAACAAAGATAAAATAAAGACTACAGGAAAACAAAGACAAAATAAAGACCACAGGAACAAAATAAACACATTAGGGATACAAAAGACAAAATAAAGACTACAAGAATAGAAAGACAAAGTAAACAAAACCGAATTACAAAGAAAAAATAAAGACCAGAGACAAAATAAACTCAGCAGGTATACAAAGACAAATAAACACACCATGAATACAAAGAATAATAAAGACCACAGGAACACAGAGACAAAATGAACACAACATGAATACAAAGACAGAATAAATATACAAAGACAAATAAACACAACAGGGATACAAAGACAGAATAAATATACAAAGACAAATAAACACAACAGGGATACAAAGACAGAATAAATATACAAAGACAAATAAACACAACATGGATACAAAGACAGAATAAATACATAAAGACAAATAAACACAGCAGGGATACAAAAGATAAACAGACACTACAGGAATACAGCGACAAAATAAATACAGGAATATACAGAAAATACAAATCAAAGTAGGGTACCGATATATTTCAATTGTGATTTTGGCAACACATATGAACAGAAAACGAACATTTAAATTGTATCAAAACTCTCACTGGGAAACATTCTTCTAAATACCGTCGATAATTTAGTAAAACATGTAGCGAGAGTTCATTTACTAATAGCCTTCAACTTAAGCCTTTAGCTTAAATCCAAATATTAAATCACAATTTGTTCGGATATCGCTTTAAAAGACTGCGGTACTAAACGGAAATTGTTCCTAAATATGCTAAATGAATTTTTGACCAAAAACCGCTCGAATCTAAGGCAGATATATCCCTTTTTCCTTTTTAAGGGTTATCGTATTTAAGGGTTATCACATTTCCGCCTGTATGAATTCTATTAACTACAACGTAATCCAGACATTGAAGTAATATAAAGATATTGTCCTAATGGATGTCTAGAACATTCATCATTTAACATTTCATTATTATTTACAACCATTTAATATGATGTATTTGATTTTTTCACACTTATATTATCATTTATCGTCGCCATGTCACTTGGGGTGTCTACAGATTTGGTCCCAATCAAATTCACCGAGCAATTACCCCCCAAGGCAAACAACTGAACGTAGACATTCATTAATTGTGTTTAAAATCCGAGTTTCGTAATCTGAAGGCTGTTGATCACTGGAGGGATATTCTGTTTAATCTCTAAACGCAATATCTGTCTAAATGGTTAATTTTTGTAACATTCGGCATTTTCGGTAGTTGCCAAGCCCGGAAATAAGGCATCTGTCACAGACAGTGTCAGGCACAGATGCGGGCTTTGTCTGGTGCCTGTCATTTTGCAGTCCGGCACTGATTTGTCTTTTTTATTGAACGACTAGACAGCTGTCCTTGTCAGGCCCTGCGTGCTGCATCACTGATGAACTTTCTCGGCCAATGCAGGGATCGAACACCCGACCTCCAGGGTAGCGACCCAGCGTCTTACCCATTTTACATTTTAGCGTGGATTCACCGCGAATAAATTAGATAGTAACCGAATAATTCAGAATCAGATCGTCGATTTGATACAGTGTCCGACCGTGGTAAAATCATGAAAGTCTGAATATATTATAACTAGAGGGATTGGGTGTATCAATACCATGTCAGTTACATTACTTCTGGCTCCAAGTTCACAAAGCATTCTCAGACTTAAGTTAAGAATTTACTCAACTTTCAATCACTGTTTATGAGAAATATCTTTGATCCAGAAACACAAAACTTTACATAGTTTCTTATTGATGTATTTGAAACATTAAAACAACAAATGTTTTATAAGGGGGTATATTTTAGTTAAAATAAGGCGAACAATTTTGAGTACTCGGGCTTTGTGAACTCGTGACCCGGCTTTTGCAGTGGACGCGTATAGCTTGGGTCCGGATCCATTCACTTGATTTGAAATATGTTTTAGTTGTTTATTGAAATGTTTGTATATATTGTCACCTGTCCGTGGGTTTGTCTTGTGTAATGTTTTTATATGTGACGCGGTCCCATAAGAGAAACCCTATATCATGTTTTCTTATACAGGTTTAAAGAAAAACTTTCAGAAGAATAACCCCAAATTCCCCTGTATATATATCCAAAGCCGCTCGACTGTCAGACCGCAAACTATTCCGGGCATATAATATTCCCGAAAGATCAAAGAGATTTACCGTTATAGGTTTATAATAATAGAGAAATAACTATGTTCAGAGAACACTTTAGCATACAAAGTTCTTGCAATACAGTTGTTATGTTTGGGAAACCATTTTTCTGCTGTGATCATAAAAGCATTGATCTTACTTTAGACAGTTTGTCAATGATTGATGTTAAATTTACACGATTCATGACTGATGAATAGAACTAAATAGAAGTAAATAGCTGAAATGTACGCGTATTGACACGTCTATTAGAGATATGATCATTCCTGTTACTTCAACGTCATACTGCACATCCATTTCACTCATGACATGAGAACATTTAAAGTGGGCTCAACCTGATTATAATACAAATCGAAATTTTGTTTCTTGAATGAAATAGGGTCTAGCGTCCTACTGTTCTGCACCGATTTTGATAATGAAGATGGGCATACGCCATACAGTGTGCCATTAGGAAAATGATGCTCGGCCTGCAGAACTGCGGCCTACTCTTATTTCGAATTCCAACTGTCAAGGGTTCTTTTACGTGCACGCCAATGAGTACACGGGGCCAAGGCTTTTTGTCCCACGAAAACAATTAAACGTTGTCCCTTGCCAGGCCCTCAGTCCTGCATGACTGACAAGAGGGAGCCATGCTGGAAAATCCAAATGAACTTGCTCGGCCAACACTGGGATCTCCAGCCTAGCGAGTCAATGTCTTTTATTTTCTTGATAGTCACTAAGTGACCGTTACTTCCGAAATTTCGTTTCGTGTTTTGTTTATTCTTTCTTTTTACATTAACACTTTTGTTCTGTTTTGCTCTATGGAGATCTCCCATAGTTCAGTGTTCAGCTTGCAATAAGCTCGACTAAACAGGCTGTTTGATTGGTTAAACTCTTATATGAAACGAAATAAGTGAATTTTTTATTGGACTGATAATGAGTGTTTATATTTGTTTAGGCGTAAGAATGGCACGACGGTTAACAGAAAAAGTGGAAATGAATAAAATCCACCCCGTCTGTTGCTCTGTACATTTAACCATAGGCAATACTATGTGTGCTTACATTTTCCAGACACGAAGGAAATCTACATCTAAAAACAGACAATTGTTCATGCCCCAAGCTGGATGATCAACGTCTGAGATGCCAACCGTCTGTGTAATGTTATAAAGAAAATATATTTTCATAGCTAAATGGGGTGACAGTCCGCTGCCAGAATATGACGCCATTCGATTCAAGATATATTACTGTAAAATAACTACGTCCTCCGATTTTCAAAAATAATTCTAGTCAGTTTTTCACGAATGTGTCCTGATTGCTGGTTTTCATTACCTTGCTGAATCCTGCTCAACTGCCTCTCTTTAAAGTAGCTAATATTTCTGTGGTTATTAATGGCTTGTTGAACATCTTGATTAATCTAACAATAATATTGGCCACTTATTGATGTGTTGTCAGTAAAAATACGACTGATGAGTTCTTCGTGTTCAAGATGAGAACGGTCAGTATTAAGGTTACAAACTATTAAAAATCATATTTATTCATAACGACCAATTCTCCCTCTATTCTACTGATATAATATCTCTAGCTTCTAGAAATTAAGGGTTGTGTGGTGGAAAACTAATAAAGTATTTTATGTAATATTAAAGGTCAAATTTAGCAACAAAACTAGGTTATTGTTCTAGAAATTTCAGTGATTTTTTATAATTAAACATGCATCATCCAAGAGCTAAATCTGTCTATTGCAGGTCTTTCTTTAGGCTTGAAATGTTATCTTAATTATTATTTAAACATTAATGAACTTGTTCAGACCATAATCAACTCTCGATGTCATCGTTAGCCTGTGATATTTAGTGGATTTGAATACATAATTCAACGTAAAAATGAATAATCGAGATTTGATTTATTATCGCTAATATCTCGGTTCAGAGTAAAGTAATTTGAATGAAATTGTCAGCATACTTTGGTTTCATTATCTGGTTTGTAACTATTATATTAAGGATGATTAATATTTAGAAAACAGACTTTAAAAAGGGAAATTTACAATTTATGCAAGAGCAATGTTATCTAAATTATTAATTAGACATTCATTAACATATCCAGACCATAATCAATTCTTGATGCTATTGCTTACTGGATTAGAACCCGCTCTGCTGCTTCTGATTAAATCAAAAATTGGATAATCTAGACTATGTTTTTTCTCTTACCGACTTTAGTAATGATGATCTAGGTTAGGCCCAAAATTCAATCGCTAAATACTGGGTTAGAGATGAATGAATTAGACTGAAATTTTCAGCAAATAGTTGTTAACTATTATAGTGAGAACTACCAGCTTTTTATCTAATCTCCCATAATGTATCTTTAAAATAAATAATTTTAAAACATACATTTACCAACTATGATTCTTACAAACCGCAAACTTTTCCCATTAAAGAATCAATCAAATAAGTTACCATCTATGGAAACGACACGTTTAATAGATACACAATATAAGGATTGATTAATATATTTAGAAAACAGACTTTAAAAAGGGAAATTTACAATTTAGTTAAAATAATTAATTTTAAAACATACATTTACCAGCGATGATTCTTAGAAACCGAAAACTTTCCCCATTAAACAAGCAATCAAATAAGTTACCATCTATGGAAACGACACGTTTGGAAGATACATAATACAAGGAAAGATTAATATATGGATTGAGTCATATTTGCATTAAGTGTGCATGATAATATGGTGCAAGATGGAACATACAAATAAATATAGATTGCGCACGGTACTTTTATCACAAACTGGGAAATTGACCAGTTCATCGCGATGCAATAATCAATGGGTCGATAACTTTAAGAGCTATAGTATTGTATGTAGATTTGTATCAACATTTTTTTTATCATGAATTTGATTAAAATACAGATCTGTATTTCGTTTCGTTTTTTATACTTTCGATGGCCTCTAATACATGTAGTAAAGACAAGTAAAACGAAATTTGGAACTATAAAAACGAAACGAAATAGGATCTGTGTTTTGATCAGTTTGTTTCATCATTTAATTATAATGAGAAGTTTTGTATTTGAATTAGGACATTGGTTGAGTGTAAGAATAAACTTCTCACTATTGATTATATCGAATCTGAAGTTCTGCGTGCACAGAAGTATTAGATATATATGTTTCTGTCAACTTTCTGTTCGATTTGTAGTTTGTGAAAAATGTTGAAATTTAGAATGAAATTACCTCTATCAATTCCATTGGATCTGAAGCTTTGCGTGTTCTTTTCATGCATCAAAAATATGGTAGTATAAATATGCTTCTGTCGATTTTCTGTTCATATTATAATTCTAATGATAAATTCTGTTTACCTTTAGATGTGAACATATTTGACGTCTCTGACGGGACACTGCTTGGGAGTAAAATTCTCACGATTTTTAAAAACAAGATCAGGCGAGACATGTAGACAATTAAATAATAGTACTTTCGTTAAAGATACATTATGGGAGATTAGATAACGAGTTCGCAATTCTCACTATAATAGTTAAAAACTAGATAATGTAAAGGCAATTTGCTGAAAATTTCATTCAAATTGATCAACAATGAACCGAGAATTAAGCGATTGAAATTTCCGTCTAGCCTCGACCGTCATTACTAAAGTCGGTATGATAAACAGCATAGTCTCGATTAACCATTTAATTATTAAATCTTGGAGGAAAGTTATGCAGTAAATCGGCGCATAATCCACTATAAATCGCAGGCTACCGATGCCATCGAGGGTTGATTATGGTTTGGATAGGTTAATTAATGTCTAATTAATAATTTAGATAACATTTCAGACCTAAAGACAGGCCTGCAATAGACAGATTTAGCTCTTGCATAATGTATGTTTAACTAGTTTAAGCATTTAATCTTTATCTAATCTATATAACGCTAAAAGGGTTTCAACTTCATACATCTATTGATATATGCTTGTATAACCTTACTTTTCGTATAATAATTCTAAAGAAAAATTCTGTATTTTTGAATAAATGTGAACAATTTTGACGTCTCTGAAAGGGCGATGCTTGAGAGTATGAATAAACTTCTAGTTATTGATTCCACTGACTCTGAGATTGTATGTGTTCTTTTCTTGCAATTGTTTACAGTGTCAGCAGCTTTAAAGCACTTCACAGCATAATGAATAACAGAGATAATGGTCATCATCTCCGGCATTCTTCAAACACCTTCAGAAGGGTTTTCTCGGTGTAAATAAAATATCATGGTCCATGGATTCTAGAATCTATTAAACCAATTTAATATAAATCACTTAGCACTTAAGGTCCTATACATATATATTTTCCGAATAAACACTGACACCAAATTTGAAGATGTTTCTCTGTTTTCCCATTAAGAGTAGCAATCACTGCTAAATATATTTACCTCTAAAATAGTACCTGGTGACATTGCTGGTATATTACAAATATTATCTTATGGCTAATAGTCTAACTAGTTGAAATGAAATGAAATGGGGTTTAGCGTCCTACTGTTCTGTCCCTATACTGGGCTAATGACGACGGGTATACGCCATACAGTGTGCTGTGAAGGAAATTTTGTCCGGGCAGCGGCACTATGGCCTACTCTTATATCGAATTCCAACTCCCTAGGGATCTTTTACGCGCACGCTAATGTATACACGAGCCCTCGGTTTTTCGTCCCTCTGTCCTGCACCACTGACAAGGGGAACCCGTGTCGGAAAATCCCGATGAACTTTCTATTACCCCTCAAAAATTCTTCACTTGTATTATTTTAATCAAACTTTTACAAATTGAGCCCGATGTTCTCATGACCGTTGATAAATTTCAATAAATTATTTTAATACTGTTTTATATCTTCTTGTTTTGTTGTTTTGCAGATGGACCAATCTCAAAATTTATTTGCTATGGATTCGGAACCTTGCCGCAGATAGATGGGTACCAGATTTATGATAAAGTGATGATAGGTGTGACTCTAGAAGCTTGTGCCCAGTTATGTTTATCACAGACTCTGTTTAAATGTGTTAGTTTCGACTATTCGTTCAACGCCCAGACTTGTCAGATGAGCAAATATATTGCTGCTAATGTACATGGTCTTGATACCAACGTCATGCCAACTTATAAAGTCATGCATTATGAGAGAATGGGTGAGTATTGTATAGATATTAGGAATAGTGAGGAGAGAGAGAGAGAGAGAGAGAGAGAGAGAGAGAGAGAGAGATGTTGTTTAACGTCCACTCGACATAAACTAGGTCATTTCGGAACTAACACACATGGTTCAATTTTGTTTCAATAATTCTCTTGCGCGTAGGGGTCTTTAGCAGTGGGAGGATACCGGAGGACATGGAGAAAACCCACGAGGTTGAACAGGCGACCCTGCTCCTTGTCACGTACAACCGGGGAATCAAAACCCTGCCAGTTGACTCAATGACAGACCGTATGATACAGCACGCACGTGCTAACCATTCGGCCATCCAACACCCCGAATAGTGACGGGTATCGTGCTTATATATCAAATAAAATGCAGTTTAACGTCCTACTTTTTTGCACCAACTAGAACGAAGACGGACTTACGCCCTGCACTGTTAATCTTTAAATGGCATTTATTAACTGGATAGGGCAACAACAAAAACACATACTTATGGAATACATCGACTAGTGTATTTTTAAACATGAGGTGTTTAATCCCTTTACATTCTGATATGAAAACTCCCGGGTCTCATTAAAACAAACATTTTGCTATTTTAATACATTATGCAAGAGCTAAATCCTCCTGAAATGTTATCTAAATTATTAATTAAATAATCCAGACCATAATCAACTCCCGATGCCATCGCTAGTCTGCGATATTAATTGGATTAGAACCCGGTCTGCTGCTTCTGATTAAATCAAAAATTGGATAATCGAAACTAAGATAAAATCCAAATTTTAGTAATTTGATTGGATAATATCAGATTGATTTTAGTGCTTAGCCAATCAAAATTGGAGTATCTACTAAAATAGGATTTTATCTTAAGTTAAGATTTCGAGAAACGGGGCCCAGCTCTTTATCTAATCTCCCATAATTTATCTTTAAGGCGACGTTTCGTAGAGTGTTCTCTCAACGATACACTTGTAGCTGTTTTACCCTAAGTATGTGTTTTTGATGCATGCGGTTAGGTATGGGGGAAATTCTGCCCAGAAAGCGGCGCTTCAGTCTACCGTTATTTCGAATTCGAATTGCTTAAAATTTGTGTAGTATTTATTACTAGTTATTGTATACAAAGGAAAAATCAAAATAGACTTAACATAAATAGAAGTATCAGATAAATTATGTGTATTATATACTATACTGCAAATGTGCAATCAAAGTGTCCAACCTCGTAAATTTCTCCGGGTCCCTCGGTTTCCTCCCACTGCTAAATGTACAATGAAAATGTATCAGATAGAAAACTTTAATTAGATGTGGTATCTGATGCTTTAATCATACTAATCATTGATACCAACAATAGGTGGGTCGGATGGTGGAATGGTTAGCGTGTGCGCGTTGTATCATAAAGTCTGTCATTGAGTCAACTGTCGTGGTTTCGATTCCCCGGTTGTACGTGACAAGGAGTAGAGTCATCTGTCCAACTTCGTTGGTTTCTCCGGGTCCTCCGGTTTTCTCCCACAGCCAAAGACCCCCTACGCGCAAGCGAATTGATGAAATAAAATTGAACCATATGTTAGTTCCGAAATGACCAAATTTGTGTCAAGTGGACTATAAACCCCCTCTCCCTCCCTCTCTCTCTCTCTCTCTCTCTCTCGATTTTAAAACTACAAATTGTTTTGGCCGACAGGGAGCAGTGGGAAGTTCAGAATGACCCCCAACTCCTGAAAGCCTCATTTTATTGAACATACGAATTGGAACATTGAACTGGTCAGATTCGCATAATAATATCATTACAATATTATAATTAAAAACTCCCTTTATTTGAAAAGTTTCCGGAAACGTATTACCAAGAATCCAAAATGTACGGCGTGAGTTTCTATTCTAATGTTTTGATCGAATGTTTTAATGAATTCATCTGGTCAAAAGTCACAGAGCGAAACATAATTCTCTCGACACCCCGATCAATGCATTCGGTCATTCGGTTAAAAACTCCCTTTATTTGAAAAGTTTCCGGAAACGTATTACCAGGAATCACAAATGTACACCGTGAGTTTCTGTCCTAATGGTTTGATCGAATGTTTTAATTAATTCATCTGGTCAAAAGTCACAGAGCGAAACATAATTCTCTCGACACTCCGATCAATGCATTCGGTCACACACTCATTAAAGTTTGTGGCATCTTTGTGTAGTCTGATAATACCACATGGAATTACAAACAAATTAGTCGACTGGTCAAGATGGTTTGACCTCGGCGTATAAACTCTTGTCAGTCTTAACAATTTATCTAGACAGTTATGGGATTTGACTCCAGCACCAATTCCATAAAACCAAATATTAAGAATCACTGAATAATTTTTATTAACAATGCCTGAACAGCTAAAGTAACGCCAAATCGTTTCGGAAGTGTTAGAAATAGAAAAGGATATTTAATCACACATAACTTTATAGGATAAAGGGGGTTCACGGTGGATAAGTGGGTAAGACGCTGGCTCGCTAGTCTGGAGGTCGGGTTTTCGATCCCTGCATAGGCCGAGAAAGTTCACCGAGATTTTCCGGCGTGGTTCCCGCTTGTCAGTGATGCAGGACGGAGGGTCTGGCATGGACAGCTGTCTAGTCATTCGGATGAGACGAAAAACCGAGGTCCCGTTTACACATTGGCGTGCACGTAAAAGATCCCGTGACAGTTGGAATTCGATATAAGAGTAGGCCGTAGTGCCGCTGTCCGGGCAAAATTTCCCTCATAGCACACTTTATGGCGTGTGCTCGTCTTCATTAGCCCAGTGGGAGCAGAACAGTAGGACGTTAAACCCCATTTCGTTTCATTTTAGGGAGCCACGGTGGCTAGTTGGTTAAGACGCTGGCTCGCTAGCCTGAGGGTTGGGTGTTCGATCCCTGCATTGGCCGAGAAAGTTCATCAGGATTTTCTCACGTGATTTCCCCTTGTCAGTGATGCAGGACGGAGGGGCTGACAAGGAAAGCTTTCTAGTTGTTCGGATGGGACGAAAAACCGAGGTCCCGTGTACACATTGGCGTGCACGTAAAAGATCCCTTGCAAAATTTCCCTCGTAGCACACTTTATGGCGTATGCTCGTCTTCATTAGCCCAGTCGGAGCAGAACAGTAGGACGGTAAACCCCATTTCATTTCATTTTATAGGATAAAAACTCAGAAAGACAGACAGCCCGTTGCGAAAAAATCGTAGGTTATAGACATTCTCCATTTATTTTGTTGTTCAGGATATTTACCCGATATTACTTTCCTAGTGGAGAGTCCTGTCAGTCTGATTAATTCCTTACTGGGAAAATCAGTTGTTATCATTTTACTAATGTGTCTACATGTATACAGTGAATATGTATCACTGGTAAGTTGATACTGTTGTCTTATGAACCTGGGTCTTGTAGTAATGACAATTTTTGTCATTAAAATTATATAAGTGTTCATTATTCTAAACTAATGTTTAGTATGTATAGAAATTAGTTAGAAATTATACAGTTGTCAATAATTAGCAGGAGTGTAACTAGCTGTAAAAAATGTCAGTACTAGTGTAAAAGTGTGACTATTTATAACACCCATCACTGTTCAATACACAAACCTGGACAATAGTGGTGTATATCATTCAATAGTCACAGTTTGAACACCTTAGTGACAAAACACCTGATTACTACCAATTTTAACTAACTAATACACATTATGTATATAAAATTACGTCTTTGATCTGTTAGTGTCGTATATCTTCATTTACATGTATATAAGTTTTTTGCTGCTTAGTCAACTTTATAGTGTATGTTGGTGCGGCATAGTGCCTTCACTGTCGACAATGATTCTACAAGTTGCATATTTACCTTTCTCGGAAACCAAAATTCTCTCAAAAAAACGTTGACTCTGATATAGATGTAATATAGAAACGGTTATACTGTCATTTTTAAATCAATAAATTTTCATTCGTTCCCATTTCTCTGAGAATCGTAAGGAAAGACACGGTAAACAAAAGGCATGAATGTTGCTTCCCCGACCCAACCCATCCCGACATCACAAACACAAACAAAAATAAGATGGATAATAATTTCTACAAAAAAAACCCTGGAACGAAATTTCTTTAACACGATTAAGATTTCTGAGCGTTGTTTATTTGGCAAACGTCTGTTCTATTTAATACGGTACTTGGGGCCATGTCGAGAGATTACAGGAATTTATTATGTTATTATAACTTTTTTGAAAGAACATTTTAATATTATCGACCTTAGAAACATGTTTGATCTATGACAACGATTCGATCCATATTGTAATATTTGCTGTTTGATAAGCGTAGAGTTGGACTAATTATTTTCATTAAATACAGACATATCGCCTTTAGGGACTAGCTAGTTTGACTCCCGACACTAACAATTGCTTTATTCATTGATGTGGAAATAATGTGGTATTGAGTTGTCCGATCCAATATGTGCTTGTTAAAGTGTGTCTAAGACAATTTAGCCAACGTGCTATATCGATTTTTCGTATTATTTAGTTCGGTTTTAATGATCATATCCCCTGCGTTCTTGGTTCTGGCACTCATCTGCATTTGATTTGTCGATAGGCCTGGTAAGTTAATCTCAAAAGTTGAGTGACCCCAAACAAATTGCAAAAGAAACCAATGCTGTTTGGTTCAATCATACATGTACTTATATTAGACATCATTCTCATCAAATTCGGCAGAAATCTGCCAAGGCGAAATGACTTCCGGGAGTTTCGGGGAGCGATATTTCGTAACCAGTGCGTTTCAGTGGTGAGACAATAAATATATTTTTATTAAAATCTTACAATTCACAATCCAAAATGGCAGATTTTAAATTAATCTTTAGTTTTCCCTTTTGGATACGTCTTTCACATGGTTTTAGATGTGATTTGGTTGAATTCTGAGATCAATCTCAAAAGATTAATTTCGAAATCCAAAATGGCGGATGGACTGAAAAGGAGTATAGTAGTTTCAGGGGACCCTAAACTAGTTAATGTTCTTCCGTAGTGATGAATTTACATCGTTTTTAATGAATTGTGAAGATAAATGCATAACCTAAAAACACCAGGATATAATCTAGAAAGCACCATTTACAGAAATTAAGAGCCCGGTTGGAGAGAACCCCGTCGTTCCCCTTACGGAGTAAATATGAACCCGTATCATATATCCATTGCCTGACGAAAAACAGTATTACCGTGGCAGTTGCGCGAACTTGTGAAATGACTAACAGGCAGAAATGAGCCCGTGTTTACTATCGGTGAAGATGATACCAAAGACGGACCCTTGGCAGAAAGGTTCCCGAACCTGGCCTCGCGAGTTGTTCCCACTCTATGAGTGTCCTCTTTGGCACCCTCAGCAGACGGGATATTTAACGGGATATGATTAAAAGTCGGTACCAACTATAATCTTCGCTAAAATCTTTATCCAATATTGTAGATTCCTCAATCCATCGCATGACAATTAAAGACTTTAAATTTTAAAATCAGTGAAAATTTTAATATTGCCCGAGACATAACATTAAAATATTATAATGTCTTTCTTTTCTTTGTAGAGGAATTTTTGGAGTACTTTTATCCAACACCATATACTGTAGTGCTTGGAAACAATGAAAAGAACTACCAGAGAGTCACTCCAAATAGATGTGCTAGAATCTGTCTAGAACAGCCTGACTTTATTTGTCGTTCGTTTGACTATCAGGTAATATTCAGACAACAGGCTTAATAATACACAAGGTGCAATTTTATGGATACACAATTACTGCTTATTACTGAGCGACGTACGTTTCGACTAGGCTTCTCTAGTCATTATGAAACAATGATGAAATATGAAAATATAACAAACCAATATATACATGTACACAACAATAATTAGTTAATGCTGACCAACAAGTGATACCCTTACTATACCGGCATCCCTGCATCGCATCAAGAAAGTAAGATTATTACATACATCTACATATTTTCCTTCTGTTCTTCGTATCTGATCAATGAATTTGACCACTAGTACATAATTAACACAAGGTACAATTTTATGGATACACAATTACTGAGTTTAATACTAAGGGATGTTTTGACGAGGATACTCTCATCTTTATCAAGTAAATGATACAGGTATGTGAATAGTAGGCAAATATATACAGAATATGCAACACAAATAACAATCAAATAATGCCAAATTGTTGCAAAATCTAATATACTTGCCCTCTGATTTCACAATCAAGAAGATACCAGTACATACTTTCAATAAATTACTAGTAATTCTTTAAATGGCATTTAGTAATTGGAACATAATCAAATAACATACTATTTATGGAATAAACTATGGTTTATTTCACTGCGACGTTTCAACAAGATTTCACAAGTTGTTATCAAGCATATTTTATTTTATTTGTGTTATATGCTTGTTGAAACATAGTAATTGTTATCCATATATGGTGTATTTTTTGATTATTAGATTACTAGTAACTGGCAAGAAGTGGCAAGACTAGTAAATGACTAGTAACTGTTTTATCTTGCTGAAGGGTGGGGTTAGCCGTGTGACAACAATAGTAAACTACGAGCAACTGATTTATCTTGATGAGGGGTGGGGTTAGCTCATTGAAAAGAATCGATAAATAATAATTACAAGTAACTGTGTTGTTATGATGAAGGGTGTGGTTAGCTGTGTGACAAAAATAGTAAATGACTAGTTACTGTTTTATTATGACGAAGGTTGTTGTAGCCCATTGACAAAAATAGCAATATAATTATTACTGGTAACTTCTATTTTGATGAAGGGTGTGAGTAACCTACTGACAAGACGAGTAAACTATTAATAACTGTTCTATTTTGATGAAGGGTGGGGTTAGCCGTGTGACACGAGTAAGAAATTACTAATATTTGTTCTATTTTGATGACGGGTTGGGGCGACCATGTGACAAGAATAGTCAACATGGGACTAGCCTGTTCTCCAATCCATTTTCAAATGAAATATAATATTGATTACAAAACAAAATGTTCTATCCCGTTACGGGTAGCTAAATGATCTTCTAGCTGGGGATGATACTTGACAATCACTAGAATTGTTCAACCAACCTAGAGTTTGTGCCAACCGGGGTGCTTCCGCCACGCCCCCACCCCTCCACTGCGCTACCAAGGAAAATCCAATTAATAAAATATAGATATTTCATATCATTTTCCCCAGTATCAAGTGGAATTTAAACCCCAACACTTCCTAGACTTTCGGTCATCTGGGATTTCAAATCGTGTAATCTTTGATTCTCGATCAGTATATCTTGTATAATAGAACTAATTGAATATGTCTACGGAACTCAACGTTGAATAAGTCTACAAGTTGAACGAATAAATGTAAAGATGTTTAAAATCTTATTATCGATTATCTAATTTAGTACCCAAGACGTCAATTTCGATATTTATTTTCTAAAGTGGGCCTAAAATGTCACCATCTCTCAAACACAAATAAATCGTTATACTGTTGCAGAATTGTTCAACAAAATGGATTTTATTTGTGTCATCATTTCAACCAATTAAGTGGTTACGGTTATTAAGTAATTGATTGCTACCGGAAATTAAACATTGACGCACGTGAGGAGTATAAACAGTGGAGAATTATTTGACTTTTAGAGATCGGATCATTTGATATAATAAACTGCATTCACGTATTGTAAATAAAAGCCTTTGATTGATAACGGGACAAAAAAAAGAGAGAATCAAAAGTCAATGATATTCCTGGCAAGTTTGAATCATACTGTGTTAACGAAGAGATCAATGGGTATACAATTTCCAAAGGTACCATGGTTCGTATCGATTAATACGCTACGCCGCCGGATATCCGTCTTCGACTAACTTCCGTTACTAGGCAATTCACACCTGAAACGTAATCGAACGAGAAGCGAAAATCAATTTGAAAAGTCACCTGGGGCTAAACGAAGCCATCCACTGTTTTCATCCACTTGAATTAACGTAATTAGTCTGGGTGTCGTCTGCATGAAGACAGCAGCGTCATCAATACTATATCTATTAGTGCCTAGATATACCCATTGGTGTCAAATTCGATCCAAGCTTGATATACCCGAATTAAGGCCATGGACTAGTATAATTCTAGGTTAGGGTAAAATCCCCCCCACCCCTTTCTGCCCACCTGCCTGTATATAAATGAATCAAGGTCATGAACTAACATAATTCTAGGTTTTAGGTTAGTGGTAAGAGGGTCATATAGTCTTTTATTGGTCGAAAGAGCCCTATATAATCTTGATTACCTCGTAGGTTTACTCCGGGTTCTCCGGTCTCCTCCCACAGGAAAAGCCACTGCGCGTGCGCTAAGATAATAAAAATGAAAATAAGATAAATTGTCTGCGATATCACCTTCGGTGAAAGCGGACATTAAGCACTAAGAACAACATGTATTATCAAGTTTATGTACCTTTATTAATCTGCTTTCAGATCGAAGAGGGCACGTGCTTCCTTAGTTCCAAAACAGGAAGTGACGTCGGTGGTTTATATTACCAAGGGTTAGCACAAGTTCATCATTTTGAAATGAAACCTTTTCTGGGTAATTTTCTTTATTCCATACTTTTTTTTCTGATATCTCACGCTGTTCACTTATAGACATTATGAATGTGGTCGTGTAAGACCAAATTGCAGTATCCAACTGCATCTCTCACTTTTAAATTAGTCTAATTCAATCTGATTAAAATAAAGATCTATATTTCGTTTCGTTTTTTTCCTACTTTTGATGGCCTACACTACAAGAAGATCTGACAGGTTTTAGTGGAAAGTCGAGTCGGGGGTCATACGAGCGGCTCCTGACACTATGACGTCAGACATTCATTTACCAATAAGCGTTGACGTCCTAGTGGTTTACTCACAATTCCATGCAGAACTCGATGCAACAGACGGTTTCATTGGCTAATATCTTACATCAACCAAAACACGGGTTATATAACAACTTTTCCAGATCCTAGCGCTGTGAAGACAAGTAAAACGAAAATTTAAACTATAAAAAATGAAACGAAATAGGATCTGTGATTTAATCAGATTTACAAGTCTTCAAATCTGATTCCTGTTCTTGTACTTCAGATTGTGGTGGAATACTAACTGGAGAATCTGGAAATTTTGCCAGTCCTAATTGGCCTAGAAATTATGCACATAACCTCAATTGTTCCTGGTATTTGCAGGCTCCTAGTTTTAAGGTAAGCACTAGTTATTGTATTTTCTTTCTGTTAACCTTCTATGAATTAATAGAGAATCTCCTACCCGTCTTTTATGATATCAAAAAATATCAACACAAGTCGATAAAGTAAAAGAAAACGAGACTCTGTCGAGTTTTTTTTTGACTTTATCGACGAGTGTTGATATTTTTTGATATCAAAAAAAGACGAGTAAGAGATTTTATTTATCACTCAACCCTTTCTTACATGCACAAATAAATAAATATAATTATTTCTATAGATTTCACTTTTACTGAACCTGATTATATTACGGCGTAGTGATACATCATTTTTTGACAGCAATTCAACCATTGCAAAGTCCTTTATATTGGCCCAGTGTTTCCATCAAGGTCAAATGAATAACAATAGTTCGTTTTTGAAAATAAAGTTACTTTTAATAAGAATTGAACTGTTCTTTGAAAATAAAAAAAAAGTAGTTCTTTTTCAACTGACCAATCAAATTCATGTAAAGGAGATATCGCAGTAGATTATGAAATATATCACACAAGCGATATCTACTGTAGAATGTATTTTTGGGTGATAAATTAATATATCAGACAATTCAGAGCCAAATGATCCTTTGGTTAAAATGCACGAGGAAATCAGAGCCCGCTGGGCGGAAATAGAAACGAAACCAAATGGAGTTTATACACGTTTAGATTGGCGCTTGACAAATTCCATTCTATTCATTTATCTCAAATATGATATGAAATATTATTCTGGAAAATGGCTGTTATCAGCAACGATATGAAATATTAATTTGGAAAATGACTGTTATCAAATTGTTGACAAATCTGATTTTATACAATGATGTTTCAACAAGTGTCGACACCCTTGCCAATGGTCTCATTACAGATAAACATTTTTTCAAATGTTGCAGGGGGTGGGGGTGGGGATGGATGGCCGAATGGTTAGCGTGTGCACGTTGTATCATCATAAGGTCTGTCATTGAGTCAATTGCCGTGGTTTCGAATCCCCGGTTGTACGTGACAAGGAGTAGGGTCGCTTGTCCAACCTCGTGAGTTTTCTCCGGGTCATCAGGTTTCTCCCACTGCTAAAGCTCCCTTCCCGCAAGCGAATTATTGAAATAAAATTGAATCCTATGTTAATCCCGAAATGACCTAGTTTTGTGTTGAGTGGACTTTAAACTCCGTTTCTATCTCTCTCTTTCTCTAATGTTGCAAAGTTAAATATCTGTAGAAATATCTGTTTAAATTTGCAAGCACGAGTGTGCTATACAATCAAATAATTTACAAGGGCAGGGTCTAGTCGTTCGTATGGGACAAAAACGAGGTCCCGTGCAAATATTGGAATTCGAAATAACAGTAAGCCGTAGCGCTGCTGCCCGGGCAAAATTCCTTTAATAGCACATTACATGATATATTCCTGTCCTCATTAGCCCAGTCGGCGCAGAAAAGTAGGATGTTAAAGCCCATTTCATTTCATGTCTTCCGTGTTTGATTCTCTATTTCTAAACATAGCTGAATCAAATGAATCTACCCTCCAGTATGACTATATATCTGCTTCTCTATATATCTTATTCCGGTAGCTACCCCATTACACCATAGGGTATCGTCTATGCCGTTAAAAGAATTGATTAAGCAATTCCATTACCTTAGGAGTTGGATGATGATTACAGATTAGTTGCCTATTGTCTGCCTAATAATCAGTTTAGACGATACATTTACCACAAATTGCTTGACTTGAATAAACGAAAAGGTGATACATCGCTTCAAATTAAAATTCTTTATGTGGTTACTCCGCTTGTTATGTTGTCAATAAACGTCAACAAAGCGCCTATAAAGTCTTCGAGATTAGGATTAACTCGATTTCTATTTGAAGTTCCAATGTACCATTAATGGATTATAAAGATAAACGAAATTAAGATTTAGACTAGTAAGGGGGGGGGGGTAGTCTTATAAATTTACTAACGGTGAAACGAGCGCGATGTAACTTTCACTTAAAAATATTGGCATTAGGAAAGTGTTTCGTTTTTCGCTAATAATAATTAACGTTATTCATAATAACACAACTTTATAGATTTAGTACTTATTACATACAACGTTTCAATACTCTTACGGGTATCAAGCAATGATAAAGATACCTGTAAAAGTGTTGAAACGGTGTATGTAATAAACCAAAGGTAGTAAATCCATAAAATTATGTTATTATGAATATTATATCTCTACTTCTAAATGTCATTTAAGGATAAGAATTCGCAGTTTGGACAATTTAGTGTTTTTCTTTCGTGTTAAATTGATTTGTTTAAACTGCTGAGGCATCTTTATTATCGTCATTACGAAGAATACATATATGTTATATCATTTAATTTTATATTTCTATGACTTATCATTTTAAAATTAACTGTCTGATCACGAATAACGATCTGGTTCCTTATCATTTGGGAGTTTGTTTCCACCTTAGGTTGATAATTGTACATTGCACTGTCGAGGCATCCTTATTAAAGATGCATTATGCAAGAGCTAAATCTGCCTATTGCAGGTATTAATTAGACATTAATTAACTAATCTAGACTATAATCAACTCTCGAGATTTGAACTAGGTTAGAACGGTTCGCCATTTAAAAATTTAATTTAAAAATGGGAAAGAGAGGATAAGTCTCGAATATACCAGTGTACTGGTTACCACAATGCACACATTTTGTCAAAACAGTGATAATGTGGCTGAGAATGAAGTAATTTGAATTAAATTTTTAATATTTTCATTTTACACTATCGAATTTTGAGCTATTATAGCACGAATGGTCAGCCCTTTATCTAAATCTTACATAATGTATGTTTAATATAAAGAACACTAAAAGTTTATTTTATTAAAGTGAATTCGTAAGGTTTATCTTTGTAAACTTGAGACATATTCCTGAATCATGAATAACAATTAACAAAGATCCGTTCAACTCCCAAACGCTAATACTGTCTGCACACTGAATGGTTGAGCTGTCGACATTTTGTCACAATTTACCAGACTAATTACTTGTCTTCTTGCTTCACACAGGTAATTCATTTTGACTTCAGCCATCTTGATTTAGGCAGACATACGAGTAACACATGTGATGAAGCTAATGACAGATTGTTAATAATGGAGAAGACCCCCCATGGTTTAGTCAGGTTCTGCGCAAGTCAGACAATGAATAATTATGTCAGTCAAACGAGTAATGTAACTCTACAGTTCCTCACCAATATGAATAATGATGCACCTGGTTTTAGAGTGTTTTACAAGACAGGTATGTATGTTTTTATGGTAATGTATTCCATAGAGTTAATATGTTTCTTTGAGATTCCAGAATAAAACTAAGAATGGTTTGAAAGTGTGAAATACTGAAAATAGTTGAATACAGAAAACCCCTTTAAAAACGTGTGACTGTATTTCAAATCAGTTAATTTGTAATTTATAAAGCTAGGTTCCCACTTTGACGATTCGTGCCACGATCGAAATAGTGGTTTTAATCGTGGAGTAATCGTGGTGATCCTATCAGGTCTTATCATATATAGAGGTCAGTCGTAGCAATCGTCTTGATTGTATCGAAACACATCCGAACGTATCTGCACGTACCAGATCGTAGACTCAACAGGGACAATCCTAGCCGGAACCTGGATGGCATTAGGTAACTTTGGTAAGGTCAGCAACTTCAAACATGTATAAATGACCATAATTGATTTCAGATGGTTGTATAATATCTAATCTACTGAATGATCACCAACTGTGATTATATTGAATATTATAGAGGGGTTGATAGATCTGGACGAATGATCCTAGACGTAATTGTCGACTCCCTTGATAATTCTGTCTTAGAACGCAGCGACAGACAGATTGTACCTTATTATATAATTACCATCGGTTGCATAATAACAATACAGCATGATTCTATTATTTCATCAGACAGCCAGTGCAATGATCAATTGAGGATACTAGTGTAATAAGTGCCTATTCACACAATCTACCCAAAATAGTATTTTCGCATGATATTTTTAGACCAGAACACTAAAATTGACATATACTGTGATAAAGATGATGAAATGATGAAAGTGAACAAGTTGTTATGAAAATCTGCTAGAAATGAATTCATTTGAAGAGATCAAATAATCTTATTTGAAAACAAGGGCACTAGCATCAATTATAAGACCGATATGTTGATTCTGCTTGCTTCCTTTTGTCCTGGGATGGGGGGAGGGTCTAATGGTTAGCGTGTGCGCGTTGTTTCATAAAGTCTGTCATTGAGTCAATTGGCGTGATATGGATTATTTTTCAATCCTTCGCTTGCGCGTTGGGGTCTTTAGCAGTGGGAGGAAACGGGAGGACCCGGAGAAAACCCACGAGGTTGGACAGGCGACCCTACTCCTTGTCACGTACAACCTGGGAATCGAAACCACGCTAGTTGACTCACTGACAGACCCAATGATACAGCGCAGCGCTAACCATTCAGCCATCCACCCCCCCCCCCCCCCCAAGAATCAAAAGGAACCAAAGTTATGATACAGCGCGCACGTGCTAACCATTCGGCCATCCATCGCCCCCAAGAACCCTTAAAGGATGGAATTCGATATAAAAGTAGGCCGTAGCACCGCTGTCCCTCATAGTGTACTGTATTGTCTCCATTAGCCCAGTCGGTGCAGAACAGTAGGACGTTAAACCTCTGTTGGTAGCTATAATAACAACCTTTCATTGACTTCATTGCCATGCATATAATATTCTATCTAACGGAAATAAAACCATTTTATACACCATGCCCGATATTATGACAAATGTTTTTTATTCGCTATTTTGAAAACAACCCATTTAGAGCGGGAAATTTAGTCGCATCTGCCAGTTATTATGTAAATTCCCTGCTAATTGGAGATGAGCGCTTCATCAAACATGTATCAAATCCAGACTTTATGACAAAACTGTCTCATTAGTCACGATGAAGTCATTATTCGTGTGGAACTAAAATTCCAGTGTAGATTTTTAAAAGTATGATTTAATTAAAAAGGAATCAGCCATATTTTTTATGATACCGGCTGCACTCATAATGTTACCATATATTGATATTAGTATCACGGTGATAATAAAAATGCACGGGAATGGAAGCGATTGGTAATTAATCTTCGTATTTGATTTTTTTTCCTCTAGTATATTGTTTTAAAACAGTTATTTTTTTCAATTGTGAATAATACCTTCAATTATATAATGTTAATAGAAACTTAAATCAAATCGCAATTAAGAACTCGCTTATACAGACAAACTGAATTAAATTGTATATCGTCCATTGTTTTTAAAAGCACTTCATACTTATGGAACGACTTGGCGCTTAATAAATGAAATGAAATGGGGTTTAACGTCCTACTGTTCTGCTCCAAACTGGGCTAATGAAGACGAGCATACACCATACAGTATGCTATGAGGGAAATTTTGCCCGGACAGCGGCAATACGGCCAACTCTTATATCGAATTCCAACTGTCAAGGGATCTTTTACGTGCACGCCAATGTGTACACGGGTCCTCGGTTTTTCGTCCCATCCGAACGACTAGACAGCTGTCCTTGTCAGGCCCTCATTTCTCTCTCTCACACACACACCCTCTCTCTTATTTACATTTTATTAACTCTAAATCACCGCTTAAATGTTAATTCTTTCAGACTGGCCATGTCATGCTATGCTCACTGAAGATGACGGAGAATTGGCTTCACCGGGATGGCCCGACCTATATGCACCAGGGTTATCATGTGTATGGACGATAGCAGCACCAACAGAGGCCAAAATATTCATCCATTTTACCAACATAGATTTAGAGGGACAACGTCTTAGACAATGCGGAGATGGTTACGATGTCTTGGAAGTTTTCGATGGGGACTCACTTGCGGCTGAAAAAATAGGGACATTTTGTGGTAATGAAAAGTCGCAGTCGTTTACGTCTAGGTATAACGTTTTATTGGTCCGATTCAGCACCGACCAACACGGCCAAAATACTGGATTCCACGCAACGTATAAATTTCTTTATAAACAGACGACAACAGTTCCGACAACAACCGTCCAATTACCAACGTCGTTGAACAGTAGTCTACATAAAGCTCTGACAGCAATGTTCTTTGAACCAGGTCGGAATGAAGAAGATGATTATGACGTAAAAACGTCTGTGTCGTATAGCGACCAGTCCACGACTGTGTATAATACAATGGGTAGGCCTACGTGTTGTCTTATTTGTGTGCGTGTGTGTGTGTGTGGGGGGGGGGGGGTAGGTATTATCTTATTTTTGTGGGTTGGGGTTGGGTGGTCTAGTAGTTTAAGTTGTCATTGAGCCAAGTGGTGTGGTTTCGATTCCCCGCTTGTACATGACAAGGAGTAGGGACACCTGTCCAATTTGGTGGTTTTCTCCGGGTCCCCCCACTGCTAAAGCCCCTTACGCGCAAGCGAATTATTGAAATAAAATTGAACCACATCACATGTTAGTCCCGATATGACCATACATTTGAAATTAATGACCTGTTTTGGGGCGGTTTTGATTTTTTTTACTGTATGGAAAGGGCATTATATAATATTTTTGTTAGCCCTTAAAGATCACCCTTGATTAGAATCTCGGCCTGGTCTATGATAGAAATTTAGCCCGGACAGTGGCAGTCTCATCTACTATAATGTGCTTTTAGGGAAATTTGTAATGGATCCTTTCCGTGCATCTCAACGTGTATGCGGGATCTCGGTATTTGGTCATATCCGAACGATTATGCACCGTTTCTTACCAGGCACTTCGTTCGGCATCCCCGACAGGAGAAACTGAGCTTCAAATTCGAAATAATATCGAAGTTTAATATAATTTAAAATACAGATGTGACGTCATCCTTTGATGTTGGCGTACCATTATTTCAAATAGTCGTACAGGAAACTTGCTAATCGTACATTATTTATACTAGTGAAATATTGGGACTCTTGTGACGTATTTTATTGTAAAAGCATGTGCGGAGCTTGCGTAATATATTGTAAAAACACTCGGGCCTATAGGCCCTCTTGTTGTTACTTAATGTCTCGCTCTCGACCATTTGGCAAATATTCTTCTTCGCGCAAAAATGGCCGTCTAATCAGCCACTATTCCATATTTCGACGCACTCTTTACTCATTATTTATTAAATATTAGACCTTGAAGGACAACCCACGCCTTATCTATAATCGCCATGTTTTCTGCCTTGCAGGTAAAGATGGCGGTGCTATTACAGGACAGAAATGGAATCATGAAGCCATCATAATACATATGAGGACCATATTAGCACTGTTTATACCGTTAATAATATTACTAGTAATAACAATAACAGCTTTAGTTTTAATATGCAGATATTACAGGTATGACCATTTATTTTATATTAAATGTGATAATTAATGTGATAATTGACAATATAAATGTAATGAAATAAAATGAAATGGCGTTTAACGTCCTAGTTTTCTGAACCGACTGGGCTAATGTAGACCTACGTATTCCATGCAGTGTTCTATTGGAGAAATCGCGGCATTTATATCGAATTGCAACTGTCAAGGGATCTTTTACCTGCACGCCAACGTGTACACGGGACCTCGGTTTATAGTCTTAGATATAAGTCCTTGAAAGACAGTCTAACACAAATTAAATTATGTACGTCATAAAAAGTTCTTTTTTTTCGGCAAAATTAAGTGAAATGAAATGTGGGGTTTAACGTGCTATTAATACAGTGAAGTGAAATGGAATGGGGTTTAACGTCATACTCATACAGTTAAGTGAAATGAAATTGGATTTAGCGTCCTACTGATATACAATGAAATGGGGTTTAGCGTTTTATTAAAGCGGCATTATGTGAGATTAGATAAAGAGCTGGCAGCTCTCGCTATAATAGTTAAACAATAGATAATGTAAAGAGAATATACAGAGTCGGAAATTCGCCAATAATACCGTAGCCTCGATTGTCATTGTTACCGTTGTTACGATAATAAACAAAATCTCGTTTTTAGGGTTAATTATCAACCGTCGTTGAACCGCAGATCGAATTCAAATCTATTGAAATCGCATCCGTCAGATGTCATCGATAGTCTGGATAAGTTAATTAAACATACATGATGCAGGTCTTTCTTTAGGCCTGAAATTTTTTCTAAATTATTAATTATACATTAATTAACTTATCCAGGCCATAACCATCTCTCAATGGCATCGGATTTATCCGATATTAAATAGATTAGAACAGTTCAGCCATATTTTGATTTAATCTAAAAATGGAGGAGCGGGACTTAGCGTCGAACAACCAGTACGGTGGTTGAAATTATTGTAACTGGTACAGTTAAGTTGAAGTTGAGTGTCAGCAACATTCCATGAATTAGATATAACCATTTACATATTCAAAGCCATACAACGGTTTATCAACTTTTTTCGCCCCAACATCTTTTAATCAGTGCCTATTTATATTTAAGGTTTATAGATTGTTTAACTACCAACAGTTTGAAGTTCTCTATAAAAGACAGTGAACTAAACAACCGAGCTCGTGCTAACGTTCTTTGATATTAATATTTTTATTGTGAACCGACATCAAATGTATGGAAACATTTTTTTCACATAAATCAAAGAGAAATTCCCCATAAAAATTCAGAACAAATAATAACACTGCAATTGTTTTGGGCTTTTTTCTGCAATAATGGTCATTATTATTCATGGATATCTGTAGTAATATACGAAATTATGCTCTTTTATTGTCCCCTGTTATCATAGCGCGAACTGCAGACATAGAACTTAAAACATCGCTCGTGCAAAGTGATATAGTATTGGAATTGTAGATTGATTAATCACTGGTATTTAATGTAATTACGCCTACAAAAAGTAGTTCCCACGATCAAGTATTCTTTCTTATAAAGCTGTTCAACACAAAAGATTTGAACTGTACTTTCAGTAAACAATGTTTGATTAAATGAACATCTGAACATACCAAAAACTAGCCAACTACCAATAAAATTCCCATATTGATCTACATAGCGTCTGCCTTAATTCCATTAAGCGTGTACTTCTAAGGAATACCGGCTTAGCACTCCCAACATCTGAAGAGACATATGCAAATAGGCGCCTTTCACTGCTAAGATTAGCTGCTGTCAGATACTTCTATTAACTAAAGGCGGCAGGAATTCGCTACTGTTGATCCCCAACGGACAGCTATTTTGGCGCCAAAACTAACAGGGCCACAGGAATCGCCGCGTTAAAATTGTCGATCTTCGATATCTCCTGAAGATTTCTATGTGACTACAAGTGATCAACATCTAGGGAGAGTTTGCTTGTCTAGTTATAACAATGAGAATTCATACACCCTCTAATTGAAATTGTCAGAGAATGGGTGAGACGATTGTTTGTAAACGTAATTCACCTAAATGTATATCTTAAAGGAACAGTCTTCGTCTGAATTCGTGATCTGATAATTTTCTTATAAAAGTACAGAACATGGCCAATCTCAGATCTTTTTTATTAACAAATTAAATAATAATAATAACAATCGTTTTCTATAGCGCTGAACATTCAGTCAGTACTGCTCTGTGGCGCTTATGACAATTAACAAAAGACATTTCTTTATTTAAGGTCAAAATAATTTATTGTATTGGGTTGATCTGGTATGTTAGTGCGATTAGTGATATGGAACAATTTTTAATTTTTAGGGTAGAAATTAGTCTAGGGAATATAGAATGTCACCTGACAAAACGATATGCAATTTGGTTACTAATTTTACGTTAATGTATCCTGCTTTGACGAAACAGGAACAGACAATCGGTTAACTCTAAATATTGTCTTTTATATTGTTTAAAGGTACATCATATAAGAGCTGACTATTCTTGCTATAATAGCTCAAAAATAGATAATGTAAAATGAAAATATTGAAAATTTCATTCAAATTACTTCATTCCGAGGCAAGTTATCACTGTTTGTAGTTTTGACAAGATGTGTGCATGGTAACCAGGACACTGGTATAGACTTAAGTCTCGCTTTCCCATTTGTAAATTACATTTATAAATGGCGAACCGTTCTAGTTAAAATCTCGAGTATCCGATGCCAGCGAGGGTTGATTATGGCCTGGATAAGTTAATTAATATCTCATTAATAGTTTATATAACATTTCAGGCCTAAAGAAAGACCTGCATTTGGCAGATTTAGCCCTTGTATAATGTATGTTTAAACTACCAACATTTTAAAGTTACAATTTCATATTTTCTAAGAAAGTTAAAACATAATTATTTCTATGTCTTTCTATAGGTTGTCAACTCACTATTATACGATCATAGGTGTTATTCTCACACCTAAAACTCATTTACACCGGAAATAATAACACAATTACCTCCCAATTACCTCCCTTGTTTTCTATTCTCCACCATGGAGTAGCTATCCTCAAACGTTTGAATTTGAAGAGGAAAATGATATTTTTGCCAATTTCTCAACTGGCAATAGTGAATTATAGGATTAATAGGATTATTCTTTAACAAGGTAGGACTGTTTATAGATACCAGCTATTTTAAGGCTTTATTTTAATAAATTTTAAAAATAATACGTAAAAATATGAAATTGCAACTTTAAAGTAACTCTAACATAACTAACTCTTAGTAATACTATTGTTTTGATAGAGGATATCTAATGTGTGTATTATTAAACTGGAAACAGAACAAGAAATAAGCTATGGGAAAACTATATCCCCTCACAGTCAACCTCCAATCGTACTGGGAAGGAATAAATAAGAATAATACTATAACTATAAATTTAAATAGAGAATCCAACCGGGGTTTATTAGCCGATATAATAATAGAAACCGTGTTTTACAGACCACATGGGAGTTTTTATATAATACATAAGGATATTTTAGCATATCAGACATTGGTTATTTAAGAAATATTTTCTATTTTTCAATTTTATAATGTTGTATTGTCTGCTATAATCCGATATATAACCACACGCAAATTAATACCCCATATAATTCATAAAGGTAAAATCTAATGGCGTCTTTCATGATTAAATTTAAATCAAGAAATGGATAATCGAAACTATATTTTATAGTAACGACTTTAGTAATGATGATCGAGGCATTAGGTATGGACTTGCACTTTGAGAACAAAATCTACTATATATGTACCAGACTTGTCACACATCATTAGCCCACTTATCTTATTTCAGGAGACGGTTGCCAAAAAGAAGAAATGTTCCAAATTACACGTTTACGGAAGAAAATTTATCATTATATGAAAAAGATAAGTAAGTATCAGTGTCCAAGGGCAATATTGGGGTGTGTGGAACAAGCTAGAGTCGATTTGTAGCATATCTGATCGACGGTATATGTTTGTCACTGGTTAAGCATTATGATTCTGATTATAATGTTGAAAACCGCATTAAAATCGCGTGATGTTTTGCCATTTGCGAGGGGGCACAAAAACTCAAGGGGGGGGGGCGCAAAAACTCAAAACCATGACACAAAGCTCGTCATTGCCTATGGAGGGTGCTATCAGGAATATTTCTATTTCTGTCAGGGCATCCTTAACGTGTTGCCGATCTAATTCTATTTGTTAAGGCCAGCTCAATTTTTGTCAAGGTCACTGAGATGTAAATAAGGTTAGGGCACGTGATTGTTGGCGAGATTGTGGGTTAGGGTTAGGATAAGCATTGGGGCTAGGTCCAGGGTTAGGGTTGAGATTAGCGCTAGCCGTGTTTACATCTCGAAACCTATGGCGAAAAACTGAGCTGGCCTTATGATTTAGCACAAACCGCTGCCAATGGCATCAAAAGAACGACTACGGAACGATTAGACGCTTCTCCCGTCTTGTATCACTGGCATGGGGAAAATAAGGCTAGAAAATTTCGAGGAATGTTTCTCGGGAAGCAACAGGATTGAATTCCCGGAACCGTAGTGTCATACTCGCCGATCCAAAAAGTGACAGATCCTAGTATGGAGGTAGCCAAATACAGAATTCCAGATCTGACAAACACTGTTTTTGTGTTTAACGGCAATAGGTAGTATCACAAAGACCTCTTTGACATTCTCCTAAGCATCTTAAGGATCCCAATTAACGTGATAAAATCATTAAACAAATTAAAGCAGAACTAAAATTTTGCCAAAAATATGAAATGAAATGAAAATTTTTTGTTTACAGTATAGATAATACAAACAATGAAGAAGAAACATGTCGTATAGAGTGGTGAGTACATGTACATTTAGGAACAATTCGCCATTAGGCGTGGGGGGGGGGTGTGGGGGACGATTCTAAGTTGGTAAGACACTGGCTTGCCAACCTGGAGGTCGCATCTTTGAAACCTGCATTGACCAAGAAAGTTCATTGGCATTTTTCGACGTGGTTTCCCCTTGTCAGTGATGCAGGACGGAGGGCCTGACAAGGACATCTGCCTGGTCGTTCGGGTGGGATGAAACACCGAGGTCCCGTGTATACGTTGGCGTGCACGTAAAAGATCCCTTGACAGTTGGAATTCGATATAAGAGTAGGCCATAGTGCCGCTGTCCGGGCAAAATTTCCCTCATAGCACACTGAATGGCATTAGGCCAGTCGCAACAGAACAGTAGGACATTAAACCCCATTTCATTTTCGCCATTAGGGAGCTAATGTTTGCTGACTGTCCCACGCTGCTGTTCTGTAGCTGAACATGATTATTAGCAGCTCATGAGCACTGAGATCGGGTCTCAGGAAGCCCTGCTGGGAGCGGGGCGTCCAAATGAACTAATACAAACATGTCATACAGAAAAACCCTCGGAGATACGTTACAGTTTGTTGTCCAAAGAGTGCACATGTTAACGGTAATCAATAAGATTCTTTGGATGATTTCCAATTGTTTACTATTGCGGTCCTATTGGTATATAGTAGGGAATGGGATCGCGGGACCCTTCCCCGAATATTTTCAACAGTTATCGGCGAAGTACCCAATTTGGATTATCACCTGGATAAGGAACGCAATCACTATCGATCGAAGGGGGGGGGGGGGGCAGTTGGATCATGGAGCTTGGATATGGATATCTTCGAAGAATTTAAAGTATATTTTTGAAAGTTTTAAGCTTAGTGGGTTTTTTATCGACGTGTCCCCTCTCCATCATAAGGTCTGTCATTGATTCAACTGGCGTGGTTTCGATTCCCCGGTTGTACTTGACAAGTAGTAGGGTCACCTGTACCCCCATTGCTAAAGAGACCCCTACGCGCAAGCGAATTATTGAAATAAAATTGAACCATATGTTAGTCCCGAAATGACCTAGTTTGTTTCGAGTGGACGTTAAACCCCAACTCTCTCTCTCTCTCTCTCTCTCTCTCTCTCTCTCTCTCTCTCTCTCTCGACATTCCCCCTCACCAACATATCTAGATCTAAAGCGTGACATCCTCTTTCTACCATAACACGAATCATTAACTGTGGATATCATGGTTTATTATAATATGATTTACAACTTACCAGTGTCTAGTGTTGTACAAACGTTATAAAAAGACATCATGACCATAATAATAGAGTCTATTACAATATAAATAAAAGCTAATTTGGGTTGTCATATTATTGAAAAACACGTATAAGAGCTTTTAAATCAATAATTTATGAAATTCATATCATTTTACAACTATTGACATTTTCATTAATTGCCCCTCTGAATGTTTTATGTGGATAGGTTTCATATTAAAATAGATTTTAGGAAATCAATATATTATGGTAGCCATGGTGATAATGTTCATTTTAGTTTCATTTTGTTCATTAAGTGCCAATCGACTACATGTATATCACTTATTTTATTTATCATTTGATTAACTTCATCTGACTATAAGATGAAAAAGTAACGCCGGGTGCAGTTTGCACCCCACCCCCACTGTACCCCCCTTATTGTTATCGCTCTTTTTTTATCGTTTTTTTTAACTTTTGTATTAAATCCCGTCTTGTTTGTAAGCTTGGAAGTGAAACATTTACTTGCGAAATTTGGGAAAATTCATTCGAAAATCTGTCGCTACAAGCTTTTCAGAGTCCAGATGTAAAAGGGCATAATATCACCCATTGAAATATACCGACGCACGGAAGTAATATAGCAAATATTCAAGAAAGACACAGAGAGAGAGAGAGAGAGAGAGAGAGAGAGAAAGAGGGGGGTAACCTCCACTCGACACAAACTAGGTCATTTCGGGACTAACACAGTCATGGTTCAATTACATTTCAATTATTCGCTTGCGCGTAGAGGTGTTACCCTACTCCTTTTCAAGTAAATAAGTATCAGGGGACTAGTTTTACTGTTTTATACGTCAGCACGATTGGGGAACCGAATATGTGATGCGTAATGAAGAGAGAGAGAGAGAGAGAGAGAGAGAGAGAGAGAGGGGGGGGTTTAACGTCTACTCGATACAAACTAGGTCATTTCGGGAGGTTGGACAGGCGACCCTACTCCTTGTCACGTACAACTGGGGAATCAAAACCACGCCAGTTGACACAATGACAGACCTTGTGATACAGCGCGCACGAGCCAACCATTCGGCCATCCAGCCCCCATATTCGAATGAAAACCTCAGACCAACGTGGAGAAGGTTTCCTCGTTTAGCACAATGTACGCCCACAGCGTATTATGGAACAGAACTTCACTTGTATTTTTGGTCTCACTAAAGTATATCTGTTGTGATTCCATTAAAACTGAATGTGGTATACTTTTATTTTTCAGCACAAATCCAGACATATCTTTTTCCAATCCTCTATATGAAAGGCGATTTCCTAAAGAAAAAGATGAAGAAGAAGAAAAAATAGACGTAGAAGACATTCCTTGCTGATGAATAGGACATGTGTGAAAACAATATCCCACGAATACAGAACAATGTCGAAAATCGGGACATCGTCAATATTGACCAATATTCGTCATAGAAAACGGAAGTTTGCGAAATACGCATCTTATGATGATGTTCCGGTTGTCAGCGAATATTGGTATATCTCTGTAAAGTTTATATTTCATCGCAATTCCTTTTAACGACTTTGAGTGGGGAAATTGGATGTGTGGAATTTAATCTGGTTAAAATACAGATCTATATTTCGTTTCGTTTTTTTTTTAATACTTTCAATGGCCTTACACTACATAAAGATCTGGCCGGTTGTAGTACTAGTAGACGGTCGCGCCAGGGGTTATAAGAGCGGCTTTTGAACCAATGACGTCGGACATTTGATTAACAAATCAGCGTTGATGTTTCTAGTGGAATACCCACAGCACACCAAAAACTCACCGTAACAGACCGTTTCGTTGGCTAATCCATCACATCATCCAGAACGCGGGTTAACATAACAACTCCTCCAGATCTTAGAGTATTAAAGACAAGTAAAGCGACATTTTGAACTATAAAAAACGGAACGAAATAGGATCTGTGTTTTATTCAGATTGTGTGAAATCAGATTGATCTGTGTCGTTGTGCTTTATATGATTCAAACCTTTTGATGTTTGCGATGGAAGCAAGTGTTCAGAAAATTTAATGCCTAATTTAAATGTTATTGGATCCTACCCTACTTACCAATGCCAGCAATCAACTCAACAAGAACGGCTCAAATATTTACATGATCACAATTCGATAAACTCTTTCCATAAACTCAAGTCAGCGTGTCAATTTTGAGAACCTGCTTGGAGCCTAAAGTGTGAATATCGTGTTAAAAAGCCACCATGGTGGTAATTAAACGAGCAACAACCGTGTTATGTCCCTTCATTTGAATGCCTTTTTCTGGTGCTATTTCATCGTGGAGTGTTTGCCTGAGCAATTTTCAATGTCAGCGCGGAGTTTACTTTTGATTCAGATAGTCTGGCAATATTTACTTCTTCCTCGCAAGATGTTCCAAGCAAAAGGATCGCGAGAAAGACGAATTCAATTTCCTTGTAAACTCGGGTCATTCATAGCATATGATTTTGCCATTAGGAAATTAAATTCTGAATTTATTGATCGGCAAATAACTGAAAGGGGAAAACTTGTTGGTACAGCACTTCAACCTTAAAAGAAATCAATCGAAACAACCAAAATGGCGGGCATCGATCACTAAGATATCGTGATTTCTCGCGAGCGTGACAAAGTGTTCGTCTGTGTAAGGGAACTGGTTTTTGTTAATCTGTGTATGAGGCGATTGATCCCGGGCATTAAGCAGACGACACTAGCCATAATGGCCGCCACTCTCAATTATTCAATACCCAGCATATTATAAATTTGTTCAATCATATATTTTGAATGCGTCTGAGAAAGAAATACTTATTTTTGTATGTTGTCATTGAATAACATTTTTTTTATGGAAAAGAATAGAAATTTTTGTATTTCCATGTCTTTTAGGAGAACTGAGTTTAAGAGTGTGTCGTAGAGTGTCCTAGATTTGTGTAATTTTTACAATACGTGCTTCAAGGCCCATTTCCTTAGGATTGTTAAAAAATTAAATAGTGAAAAAGACTGATGTCAAAACAACCAAGACACCCAGGTTATCCATTATTATTTTATTTTTCGATAAAGAAAATATCCCTTAATTGATTTGCACCCATCCAGAAATTAATTTGTATTAAATTAAAGACACTCCGTCCTGAACCACTGATAAGAAGGAACCACGCCGGAAAACCCCGATGAACTTACTCGGCCAACACAGGGATCGAAGACGGAACCTCCAGGTTGGCGGGTCAAAGTCTCGCCCACTGAGCCACAAGACGGGCATACGTCATACAATGTGCTACAGCCTACTAGTATTTTGAATAGACATTGTTTCTTGCCAGATCCCCAACCCCGAAGCACTGAAAACGGGAAACCACGCCGGAAAATTACGAGAAATTTTCTCCGATGTGAACCCGAAATACTTCTTGGTTAGCAAATCAGCCCTTTCTTCGCTGAGTCACCGCGGCTTCCCCAATGTCGGCATCAATGACTTGTAAAACGGCAATACTTTCCAGTGTTTACATTACGGGTGCTATTTGATTTAAACGGTAGGAAAACGTTGCGAATTTCGAACGGGTTCCTTTGTCTTATAAAATATTCTCCATTAAAGGGATGTCTGGATATGTAAACATAAAAACTTCAGTTTTACCCCCAAAATAATATGAACAAATAGGCAAGAAAACCCATCTTACACCACTAATGTAAATTTCTAGAAATGGCGCCATTAGTAGTATATTATTCTACTGTATAAAACTATGGTGGGCCGATGTTCACTTACTGTCTGATTCATCGTAAATTTTAAACGGATTTCTTCGATTATGAACAAACTACTTAACTTTGGTTATTATAAACTTACCTGTGTGTTTGTAATGAACTCCCGTTCGATAAAATCCATTGCACAACTAATTATCACAACGATGAAAACAATTTCTCTCTTGAAAAATTTGAAAATTTACTTGTAATTTCGACAGAGTCGATGTCAACAATGTCTTCGTGACGTAATGGTCGAATCCAATATACCTGTTGCGGGGGTTGGTTAACATTGAAAGATAGTTTGACAGCGCGATCATTTTGATCGTATATGGGTTTGGGCGACGAAAAATATCAATTGAAGGCAATTACATAGGAGATTTATATGGAAACCATTGATCGCCAGTCTATCAAATTTTCTTCACAATTAAAATATCACTGATTGCACGGATACTCGTAAAAATAAAGTCATGAATAAACTATAAATATCCTATCTTCTTTATGTTATAAATAATTTAACAAGGATCATGAAGCTTACCTCCGAATTCTCTGAGTGTATTTTTAATTTTATACGCATTCTTTCGATCGAATAATAACCGCTTCAGTAACATCTTTAAGCGTGTTGCGGCAGCCCTCAGCGTGTCTATTGCCGTATTGGGTGCCCGGGTGGGTATATAATGCTACTAAACCCGTATGACCCCGTAAGAAGCGGAACATTAATTCTCGATTCGACAGTTTTGACCGAAGTGTGATAAAGCCCGTAAAACGAATGTATAGTTGTGTTTGTGCGGCATGCGTGTTCAAAAGTAAATAATCCCATCCGAGTCGCTAATCAAATAATTAGAACAAAATATTTCAAAAAGTAAAGCTATAAAATTTGCAGAGATTTTACTAGAATGTAAAAGACGGTAACTAAATACAGGGATGCGGGTAGTTATGTGTGCGAACGCTCAAACTCAATGCCAATTGTCGTAGGTATCCAGACCACTCGGACCAAAGACTACTCGGACTAAGACCAGTCGGACCAAAACAAGACCAGTCGGACCAATTAAATTATATTATAAGGCTAGACAATATGCTATTTATTTATTATTAAATCACAATACAAAGAAGCAAATAATTCTTATACGGAATTCTTATATTTAGAGTTGTTTGGTTCAATTTTGTGTACGGAAAATAAATCAACGATTAGTTTTAAAATTAATTAATAATGGTGCCAAAAAAAAATATCAATCTAATTTTTCTTTACTCTTGCAATGAGACTCGGTATGTCCAGACTTTTGACAGTTTCTACATATACGGGTATACTGTTCTTGTCTGATAGCCTAATTTTACTTTTTCCACATTCGCGGTATCCCCAGTGGTTTCATTCCGTTCTACCCCACTAACCCCTGGGTTACTATATATGGGGGGGGGGGGGGTGGAGACACGTTTTCAAGTTATCCGCCCTTGATGCGTTAATATAAACAGCACATAATAATACGAAGACCGGACGTTTATATGCCCCTTTTTAAACGTGACTACAAGTGTGGTTCTCGATATTTTGCGATTTGGAATACAATTATCAATTTATTCAAACAACACGTTATTATTAGTTCGAGTAGTCATATTAAAACACACACAATTATCAATTTATTCAAATAACACTTTATTATTGGTTCGAGTAGTCATATTAAAATAAACACAATTATCAATTTATTAAAATAACACTTTATTATTGGTTAAAGTAATTATATTAAAACAAACGCAATTATCAATTTATTAAAACAACATTTTATTATTGGTCCGAGTCGTCTTTCTGTTGGGTCCGAATAGTCTTTTTGTATGGTCCGAGTAGTCTATTTGTTTGGGCTGAGTGGTCTATCAGTTGGTCCGACTGGTCTTGAACCGAGTGGTCTTTGGTCCGAGTGGTCATGCATTCTTGTCGTAATTGTACTTGAATTTCCTATGCTGTCACCCCTAATACGAAATGATATCTTCCGCAGAGTGACGTAACCATCTTCCATATTGGTATTTTTCTCTGGGAAAAGTTTGTGATATTTCAATTTTTCAAGAGAGAACTTGTTTTTATCGTTGTGATAATTAGTTGTGCAATGGATTTTATCGAACGGGAGTTCATTACAAACACACAGGTAAGTTTATAATTACCAACGTTAAGTAGTTTGTTCATAATCGAAGAAATCCGTTTAAAATTTACGATGAATCAGACAGTAGCGTATTATTCAGACATATACTATTCAAAAAAAGTAGGGGATATTTGATTTTGGGGGCATAATACTAAAATATGCAAATGACTACGATAAAAGTCACTATAGAACCTAACAGAAGAAACATTTCCAGTTACATGTGACGCCCAAACGCACCAATAGCTACCGCATGGAATGCAGGTGATGCTTGGGATCATCATGGGGGTCCAACCCAAGATTTGCACGACTCTGACTTTGAATGTTACAGTCATTGTGGCATTGAATTCCAGGGTGGAAACATCAGTTTAATTGTTTTAGTGACCAGAAAACAAATTTTGATATGCGTCGGCTTACCCAAAATGAAAGGTTACGTGCCCTTGGCATGCTACAGATCGCCACAACACAGGCGGTTGTGGCGCGGACGATGAATGTTTCTCAGTCTGTCATAAGCAGGTTATGGTCCAGATACCGTGATACACAATCTGTACAGGACAGACCACGCTCAGGTCGACCAAGGGCGACAACTCAAGCCCAGGATCGATTTATCCGTACCTTGGCCTTGAGAAATCGTGTCATCACAGCAAATCAGATCAGCGCTCGTCTTCAAACAGACACTGGTGTGAGAGTGAGTGGCCAGACGATTCGGAATCGACTGCATAGGGGTCACCTTCGCGCCCGACGCCCTCGCGTGATCCCTTGTTTGAGAGATCATCACATTCAGGCAAGACGTCGGTGGTGTAGGGATCGTAAACACTGGGATAATCGACGCTGGAGCAATGTGATGTTTTCAGATGAGTCAAGGTTCACTGTTGATTTTTTGGACAGACGTAGGAGGGCGTGGCGTCGTCGAAACGAGCGCTTCCAAGACGTTAACATGATCGATTTGGGGGTGGTTCTGTTATGGTGTGGGGAGGCATCACTGTTGCTGGAAGAACGGCTTTACATGTTGTTGCAGGGCGTGTTACAGGCCAGTACTACCGGGACAACATCTTGGCAGTCCATGTTGTGCCGTTCGCACGACGTCATGGCCGCCGTTTCATCTTCCAGGATGACAACGCAAGATGTCACAGGGCCAGGATCGTTACAGGTTACCTCCAACAACAGAACATCACCACATTACCTTGGCCAGCACTGAGTCCCGACCTCTCCCCCATCGAGCATGTCTGGGACATGCTTGGACAGAGGTTACGTCAACGTCAACAACGTCCTGCCAATGTCCAAGAACTTGCTGCTGCGTTGCAACAGGAATGGGACAATCTGGACCAAAATGACCTTAGACGTCTCATTAGGAGTATGCCACGTCGGATCAATGCTTGTTTGGCAAACAGAGGAGGATTTACCCGTTACTGACTTGGTTGTGATGCTGTGGTAACTTTGCTGTTTGACCCCGGGTATCATTTTACCCTTATAATGGTCAGTCTGTGCCTTACTTAGTCTAACGATCATTTGGAATAAATCGATGAATGTGAACTTCATTTCATTTTGTCATTTGTTTCTTCGTCAGTTTCATTAGGTGACTTTAATAACACTTAAAAATCAAATATCCCCTACTTTTTTTGAATGGTATATTTGATAAGACTGCTGTCCCATCAGACATATTTGATAGACTGCTGTCCCACCGTATAAAACTATGGTGGGCCGATGTTGTCTTATTTTATGTTATCTTATTTAGTGAAAGCAATTATATAATGACAGACAGCTATATGGATAACACGAGGCAGTGAGAGTATCCTCATTGAAACGTTGAAGTTAATAAACCTAGGGGATGCCCGAGAGAACGTTCCGGAGTTGAATTCTGTCAAACTCAAAAATAGTGACAATCGAGTAAAAATGGGAGTTTGGGCTAGAAGGCATGCGCTTGACTGCATGAGATAACATATCCATTAGGCTTAATTACGTCACGATTCTACTCACACAACTTCCGTTGTCGGGAGAGAGAGGGGGGGGTCGGGGGTTGGTCCACTAGACACAAACTAGGTCATTTCGGGACTAAAACATGGTTCAATTTTATTTCAATAACTCGCTTCTGCATAGGGTCTTTAGCAGTGGGAGGAAACCGGAGGACCCGGAGAAAACCCACAAGGTTGGACAGGCGACCCTACTCCTTGTCACGTACAACCGGAAATCGAAACCCCCGCCAGTTGACTCAATGAGCACGTGCTAACCATTCGGCCACCCAACCCCCTCCGTTGTCGTGAATGTTATCTATAAAGCTGTCTGTTATTATATCTTACAGATTCCAATAGCTCATCCTAGATTATGGTTATTGTGTAACGTCGTTAATTTAAAGATACATTATGGGAGATAAGATAACGAGATGGCAGTTCTCGCTATAATAGTTAAAACTAGATAGTGTAAAGGTAATTTGCTAAAAATTTCAGTCAAATTGATCCACAATGAGCCGAGAAAGAAGCGGGTGAAATTTTGGCATAGTCTCGATCATCATTACTAAAATCATTAATATAAACAGCTTAGTCTCGATTATCCACTTTTGTTGACTTAATTATCAACGGCCGTTAGCGGCATATAGGAATCTAATCCAGCCAACATCGAAGGCTAGACTTGATATCGAGAGTTTATTATGGTTTGGATAAGTTAATTAATGCCTAATTGATAATTTAGATAACATTTCAGGCCTAAAGAAAGACTTGTAATAAGCAGATTTTGCTCTTGCATAATGCATGTTAAGTATAATATGTTTAATAATTTGTATATTTATAAATATATTTATGAAGTCTATAAATTAAGACTCAAAATAGTTTTGTAAATATTTGTTAAAAATAAACCATAAAAAGTACTGTTTGATTTATTTATTTTTTTTGTTAAATCAAAGTTCTAAAAAAAAATGGCGTTTCATGTCGTGTTGGCGGCGGCGGGAAAGGCGGGGGGGGGGGGGTGGTTGACGGATTAACACCAGAACGTCAAAGTCTCGAATCATGGGCCAATGTGTTTATTTCAAAATCGCCTACAATTACAATTTGAAACTAGTGACGGAAGGAACTCATTTATAAGTCATTGTTAAATAGAACCCGATTATCATTTTTCGTGACAGGGGAAATAACTCCGTATATTATTTGAAGAAAAAAACCTCGCTGATATTTATTTTTTTTAGATTGTAGGTGTTGTATACCTGGATTTTTATTAGTGAAACCAAAATGATAAATTAATCAAGAATCATTTTAAGGCATTTATTAAGGCTCGCTATTTGGTAACTACATGGAATAACGCCAAATTACCACTCAATTAATTTCAATGATCAATTTATTGTTTTAAGAAGAAATGGGGTCTAGAGAGAGAGAGAGAAATGGGGTTTAACGTCCACTCGACACAAACTAGGTCATTTCGGGACTAACATATAGTTTAATTTTATTTCAATAATTCGCTTGCGCGTAGGGTTCTTTAGCAGTGGGAGGAAACCGGAGAAAACCCACGAGGTTGGACAGGCGACCCTACTCCTTGCCACATACAACCGGGGATTCGAAACCACGCCAGTTGACTCAATGACAGACTTTATGGTACAGCGTGCGCACGCTAACCATTCAGCCATCCACCCCCCCTGAAATGGGGTCTAACATCCACTCAATAGATACTTGGACATTTGGGACTATTGCGTCTTTATTTCAAACATTCGCTTGCACATTGGGTCTTTATCAGTGGTAGTAAGAAAACCGGGGTTGGGGGCGGGGGAGATAACCCACATGGTTAAGAAGGTAGAAGTGTGGTTCGAATCCATGTCAGTCGATTCAATAACAAACCTGACAATCTAAAGTGAATTAGTTAAGACCATATGGACACCCAATCTGGTTAAAACACAGATCCTATTTCGTTTCGTTTTTATAGTTCAAAATTTCGTTTTACTTGTCTTTACTACACTTGGATCTGGAAGAGTTGTTATTTAACTCGTGTTCTGAATGGTGTCGGGATAAGCCAATGAAACGGTCTGTTACGGCGAGCTTTTCACGGAACTGTGGGTAATCCACTAGTAACATCAATGCTGATTGGTTAATCAAATGTCTGACATCATAGGGTCATAAGTCAGTCTTTTGACCCCTGATGTGACCTATCGCTATAACTTGTCAGATCTTCATGTAGTGTAGGCCATCGAAAGTATAAAAAACGAAACGAAATATAGATCTGTATTTTAATCGGATTGATGGACACCCTTCCCTTATTCTTGTGTATGGTGGTCTGAATCCTGAATCCATTTTATGGGCATACTACTCTGTATTTGATAACAACAGGGCAATGCCTAAGAAATCAATGCCACTGTGAATAGGTTTTATTTATCGTTTATGTAAACTGATTATTCAACATTCTTGTCAGTCTGAAGATAATACGTTTATCTGTGGATAAGAAATGAAAATGAAATGAAATGGGGTTTAACATCCTACTGTTCTGCTCCTAAACTGGGCTAATGAAGACGGGCATACGCCATACAGTGTGCTATGAGTGAAATTTTGCCCGGAGAGCGGCGCTACGGCCTACTCTTATATCAAATTCCAACTGCCGAGGGATCTTTTACGTGCACGCCAATGTGTACACGGGACCTCGGGTTTTCGTTCCATCCGAACGACTAGACAGCTGTCCTTGTCAGGCCCTCCGTCCTGCATCACTGACATGGGGAAACCACGCCGGAAAATCTGGATAGACTTTCTCGGCCAATGCAGGGATCGAACACCCGACCTACAGGCTAGTGAGCCAGCGCCTTACCCACCGTGATCACCCTGTGGATAAGACCCACCAAATAAAATAAAACAAAATTTAGATAATTTATTTAATGATAAAATGAAAGTAGGGTTTTGCCCTAGACCCTAGAAAAACATAAAATGAATATAAGATCTGTCTGATATTTCCTACATGACATAACTCTAACACAAATAAAAAAAAATGATATAAATACATGTACTTTCAACATATGTATAACTTTTTAAACAAAATCATACCTTGTATCAAAAAAAAAAAAGTAGACATTATCTGAGAATCTATTAATTATGTAAACACAGCACTCTTAATTTCATGTGAAGTATTAACAAGGAATAATATATAATATACACCCAGCAGCAAGAACGTCAGGATACAATTTCTGACGAGCATTAAAATGGCTCATTTCCATTTTTCGCTAATACACGTATGTACTCTGGTTGTTTAAACATACATTATACAAGAGCTAAATCTGACTATTGCAGGTCTTTCTTTAGGCCTGAAATGTTATCTAAATTATTAATTAGACATTAATTAACCTATCCAAACCATAACCAACTCTAGATGGCATCAGATATCTCCGATATTAAGTAGATTAGAGCGGTTCAGCCATATTTTGATTTAATCTAAAAATAGTGAAGCGAGGCTAAGCTTCGAACAACCAGTGCCATGGTTGCAATTAATGCATACATCATGCCAAACTTTCAAAAGCTAATATATTTGCCCGCAATGAAGCCATTTGAATGAAATTTTCATTAAATTAATTTTGCAATATCTATTTTCGAACTATTATAGTAAGAATGGCCAGCTCTTTATCTAAATCTTACATAATGTATCTTTAATATATTATTAAGAAAACCTTAAATATCATCCTGGCTCAGATTCAATTGGATTTAAAATAGGCCTATCAATCTGTTCACCCACTACAAAATGGTCGAGGACTTATTATATAGCAAGCAGCATAGATAGAAGAAATTTCATATCATCATATCTGTAAATACTGAGTGGAACTGAACCATTTTTAGACTAATATTCCTATTAGAGATTCATATTTAAAAATATTGTAGTTTGCGACAGATTCTTATTGCGATAAAATCATGCAGTGAGATTTTAACTTAATTTCAGAAACAATGTGTTTACAAAGGTTTGATGACAAGGCCAATAACTTATCCTAAAGTAAATGCAATGGCAAACAGTCCCACCATATTCGACAATTTATAAAGAAACAATCCGTAAAGCGTTTAAAAGAATTGTAAATAAACGTAAGGACGGACAGATAGAGTGACGACAGTATGCATCCACCTGTATGAAACTTAAGGACGGAGTGACGACAGTATGCATCCATCTGTATGAAACGGAAGATAATTATTCCTAATTAGGAAATTGAGATTAAAATGAAGGTTTGAATAAAAAAATAAAAGCCCCATTAAAACTCAATTTTCATTCTAAGACTCCACCTTTCGGATGAAAAATATTATGATATAAAATATACACATAATAGAAATATGAGATAGGGACAATAACACTCTTGCTGGCTTGACAGCTCCAGAAAATAAATAATAGCCTTATTCTAAGTATTAGATGTTTAAGTGTCCTACCTGTTGTGTAAATTATCCATTACATCCTATTTTACTTGTCCAGAGGGTTCGAAAATATTTTTAAATCCAAGTCACATTTGAAAAGGTTTACGTTAGACGTTTCAAACCATTATGTTGAATTTTTCAAATTTTTTAAATTAGGTGTGTTAAGATGAAATTTGTATCGTCAATTAATTGGAATATTGTAAAATAGTACAATTTGTTGACCAGAATAAAGACTGGGACATATTATTCAGTTACAACAAGAGTGGTATTGAGTCTTTAACACTGTAATCTGGGTATCATTTAATCTTGTGTATCTAGCACTAATGTCTTTCACATTCCTTTAATACATGTATCAAATATTTGTTTAAAAACTCGAAAAAACAATATAAAATCATCTAATTTGTACTTGTGTCCAGTTTAAAGCTGAGCATTCAATTTTGATAAAGAGTGTTCAATTTACAAGTATTTAATTTCTTGACCACTGTTCAAAAATTAATCATTATACATTATTAATCAATTTGAGAAATTAAACACTTATTATCAAAATTGAATGGTCAGTTTTAAACTGGACACAAGTACAAATTAGTTGATTTTGGTTGATTTTAAATGATTTTTAAACAAAGATTTGATATTGAATGAATGAAAAAGAAATTAATGCTAGATACACAAGATTAAATAATACACAGATTACAGTGTGAGCAGTAAAAAATATTTAAAATGTTTATCTAACATAACATAACATATATACATGAACATACATTGTTCATAATCGATTAAATTAATATCATGAATATGAACTTTAGATAGAGATATCATTAAAATTCAATAGGATTCTTCCTTTCACTGAACACATTACAAGCAAATCTAATAATAACTTTTGTTTTTTAGAGTGTTCACATGTTTTTACAAACGACAAGAAATTTTTAAAACATCGGGTGATAAGAGTGTCATTAAGAGCGTTGAACACAAGAAATTTTGGACGATGAACATGGTCGACGACAATATAAGCATACAAAATGGATGTATAAAAAATCTCCAGAGCACACAATTTAATTTTTAGTTCCAAAACATTCTTCTTTCATTTCAATAATCTTCTATATAAAATAACTATGTAAATTTCTAATAAAAGACTGGATGATCAATGTAATGCAGTGCCATAGCTGGTTGTCCAGTCTCAGACAGGAGTTACAACTATATATATATACAAACACATTTCAATATGAGCATATGAAAACCTCTCTAGAAGACATGATTTTTAGTCTTTTCAGATCTTTTAAATATATTTGTTTTAAATGCTTGATTTGCTCCAAGGCACAATAAAGTTAATGATCGCATTACTTTGCTAACAAGTTCTGTTAACATAAATTTAAAACTGGACTGCTGCCTGTTTACACTGTATTTAATATATTAAGTCCATTCCTTCACTTAAAACTTTTAAGTGAGGAAAATCTCAAAAGAAAACTTGTCTTCCAGTAAATTTATTTTTGTTATTATTTCTTGTTCCACCAAATCGTTCGTTCAGAGAAACCTCTGTCTGAAAATAGAGAAAACATTGAGTCACATACTGAGCAGAAGACGGTGAACTCCATTTCATGAAACAAATGTGAGAATTTCTTGCTCATCAATATTGTTTATATTTCTCTAGTATCCAAATCAAATTTAAGGATACATTATGGGAGATTAGATAAAGAGCTTGCAATTCTCACTGTAATAGTTTTAAAACTAGATAATGTAAAGGGAATTTGCTGATAATTCCAGTCAAATTGATCCACTCTGAACTGAGAATTTAGCGATTGAATTCTAAGCCCTACACCTTGTCACACTGCATGGTTTCAAAAAGCAACGCCTTCAAACTGTACATACATGTATTATAAGGCAATGCCGGGAACATATCGTAATAATAAAGTTACAGCACTGATGTAAAGACAGCTGTTCAATAAGCACATTTTATTAATCATCTTCCTTTCCATCAATGGCCCTCATACGCCAAAAAGTCCCCTTAGCTAAAAATGACCTTTAGTAATCAATAAAATAACATTGTGGAAAAAGCATGCCAAAACAAAAGGGTGCAAGTGTATTATAAGTAAAATGTGTCAAATTCAGATAAGAATAAATATCAATAAATGTAAAAAATGTGAACATACATGTATGCTGTTCCATTCTGTTATATGGATCAATCAATCTGATCAAAACACAGATTCTATTTCGTTTTGTATTTTATAATTCAAAATTTCATTTTTATTTGTTTATACAAAACCAGGATCTGCATGAGGGATTAGCCAATGAAACTATTTGTTATGGCGACTTCTTGGCGTGCAATGCATGGAACTGTGGGTAAACCACTAGAAACGTCAACGATGATTGATTAATCAATGTCTGACATCATAGGGTCAAAAGTCACTCGTACAACCCCTGACGCGACCTTACAGTACAACTGGTCAGATCTCCATGTAGAAGAGGCCATCGAAAGTATAAAAAACAAAACGAAATATAGATCTGTATTTTAATAAAATTGTGGATTAATAGAACATGCAAGAAATAGAAACAAACTCAATATGTCACAAACTGTACAATATGAAATATCAGGAACCAACACTAACATTATCAGAATCATTCCCGAAAACCCATCACTTCTCCCTAGCACTTAAAACTTCTAGGTTCATCACGCACATGGATTCTATATATTAAATGTTGCTGGTAAAAATTTACATGGTTTTCCTGTGATAGTATCCAATACATATATCAAGACTTATTTTTAAAAAACGAAAATCTTGACTGTAAAGAGCTATACTTGTATGTATGTACGTGTGGTGAAAATCAGAATGAGAAAACATAATGGCACCTGGTACAATCTTTTATTGATACACCATGAATTCATTACTATGTCATATTTCAACAAGGATAAACTAAACTTTATCATCATTTGCCTCACCCTGTAGCAGCGAATATTTGTATCCTTTGTTTGATAAAAACAGAAAGAGAGAAAGAGAGAGAGAAAAGGGGTTCAATAATTCACTTGCCTGTAGGGGTCTTTAGCAGTGGGAGAAAACCGGAGGAAACCCACGAGGTTGGACAGACGAACCTAGTCCTTGTCACGTACAACCGGGGAATCGAAACCCCGCCAGTTGACAAAAACAGAAAGAGAGAGAGAGAAAAGTGGGGTTTAACTCCACTGACACAATCTAGGTCATTTGCCCCATGTGGTAGCAGTACATATTTGTATCCTTGTCAAAACGTTAAACAGTAATAAATGTAGTAATTATACATCCAATAAAGATAGGTTGCCAGGCAACTAAACATACGCACACAGCAGCTACATTGTAAATGTCAATGTGGGTGTATAAAAATTGTACCTGGTATTAATACAACTAACATGTTCTTTAGATTACAAGTTACTTGAATGATTTATTTCAGCGAAATGTTATTCTCACTTAAACAATTTATGTACGGTACTTTTAAAGATGATGGGTTTCCGAGAATCATGTAGACTATATCTACATACCCCTAAACTGGCGAAAGTATTAATATCAAATTCATAGTTTTGATGTTTCTCAGGTTTAACAGTGATATTCTGCAAAACAGAATCAGTAAACATCTTTAAAAGATAATTGTTAACTTTCTCTGTTCTGTTGGGCATAATATTTAGAGATTTAGAGAGAGAGAGATAGTAATGGGGTTTAACATCCACTCGACACAAACTAGATCATTTTGGGACTAACACATGGTTCAGTTTTATGTCAATAATTTGCCTGGCATAGGGGTTTTTAACTGCGAAAGGAAACCAGAGGACCCAGAGAAAAACCATGAGGATGGACAGGCGAACCTACTCCTTGTCACGCCCAACCAGGGAACAGGGTATTGAAACGTCAGCTGACTCAATGACAAATCTTAAGATACAACGCGTACACGCTAACTATTTGCCCCCCCCCCCCCCCCGAATTAAAAGGAAGCCCATCGAAAGATTTTATCAAACTATTACAGGTGGAGCTGGCCTAATCATATCATCTGCAGACGATCGAATTAAACCACTTTTGCAGTGACATACGATGTAGAGGTTAATAAGTTTTCAAACGATTCAAAATAACAATCAGTACATTTAAAGACAATTTACTCATGTTTGTTTATCAACCCTGTATTTAAGATAATCTATTCATTTTTGTTCTTCCGTATTGAAATTAACTTATCTCATAAACTAATCAAGAACAGAACAACATTTTCATAATTAATTAACAAGAGGGGAAGAATACAGCTATAATTCAAACTTATTCCAGCAAATAGGCACTCCAGGTTGGGTTTTTTTTTTTATAAAAAAAGGAGATATTTCCTTCAAATGATGGCTTACGGTTATCATTATTTTGTTTAGAACAGCCAAATGCAGAGAAGACTACAGATAAATATAAAATCAAAGTACTTCATCAAGCAACACACACCAAGTTAATTACAATTACACACAAACACTAAGTCAATTACAAACCAAGTTAATTACACACCAACACCTAGTTAATTACACACCAACACCAAGTCAATTACACACCAACACCAAGTTCATTATTTAGACTGTGCCACTTTTACTAGTTATTTTATTACCAGGTCTTTGTACCAAATGATTATATCTTGTGAACCACAGGAAATTAAAAGCACCTTCATTTTATCAAAAAAGAAACAATTACTTAATTATTTATATACTTACAAAAGACTGTTTCTGTTTTCTATTTCTGTTTTGTCTTTTTCTGTAAAATAAAAGACATATCATAATCTATTTTTAGCAGGATACTCGGTTTTGCCCGGGGCCCAAATTTGTCAGGAGACAAATTCGCCTCTGGACCAATTTCAATGGCCTAAAACATTCACGGGGTCATACCGGTTAATGTGTGGTGGAGTGTGGCGACTAACATACACACACCCACTTTGATTTTATTTATATAGAAAATAAACTGCTAAGCTGAAAATTGAAATAACCAAGAGAGATAACTCCATATAAGTGACTGAAAGGACAGGTTAACACTTTAATGTACCGGTACCTACACGAACATAATAGGGATGATCGATTTCAGTCCAGAACGTCCTGAATTGACAGAATCGCAATCGAGTGGCGCAGAATTCAGTCGTGTTACAGTTCTGTCAGTCCCGACACTGGAGGTGGTATGAGTAGAATCGTGACGTAAATATTCACAAAAAATATGTTTCGGCTGCATGGTTGGTTGAGATATTTTTCGGTCGACACATGCATTGTGGTCTGAAATACCCCTTTTCACTCCATTGTTACTATTTTTGGAATTGAGAGAATATAATTCCAGAACATTCAATCAAGTATCCTCAATGACTCAGAGATTAAAAACAGCGTTCAGCTACCATCATGTTCTGTATTTGTTTATTCACGATATGGAGAGAGAGAGAGAAATGGGGTTTAACGTCCACTCGACATAAACTAGGTCATTTCGGGACTAACATATGGTTTAATTTTATTTATATAATTCGCTTGCACGTAGGGGTCTTTAGCAGTGGGAGGAAACCGGAGGACCCGGAGAAAAGCCACGAGGTTGGACAGGCGACCCTACTCCTTGCCACGTACAACCGGGGATTCGAAACCACACCAGTCGACTCAATGACAGACTGTATGATTCAGCCATCCAACCCCCCTTCACGATATGGAGAATGGGATTTTATTTTATCTTTTTTGAGAGCGAGAGGGAGAAATGGTGTTTAACGTCCACTCGACACAAACTAGGTCATTTTGGGACTAACATATAGTTTAATCTTACTTCAATAATTCGCTTGCACGTAGGGCTCTTTAGCAGTGGGAGGAAACCGGAGGACCTGGAGAAAACCCACGAAGATGGACAGACAACTCTAATCCTAACCATTCGACCATCCCCCCCCCCCCTTTATGTTTTTTGATGTACATGTATTCTTACCGTGGACTAGCATTAGATACACTAACTGTTAGACTGTCATCATATGATTGATTATTTCTATTATTCCACCTGAAATAATTTAATAGTTACTGATTATATCGTCTCTATAGTGATGGACCAATAATTGGTTTCTACACCTGTAATCGGCCGATAAGTGGCCTATCAGTAGAAATCGGAGGAGTTGCTTATATCTGTTCAAAAGGACTCGGTAAATACCTAATGCATTACAAACACATAAATTCACAATAGATAGTTTTAGTTTCAATTCTAGTTATAGATATGGTGGGAGAATGTCACGTGATTGCAACTGTTGACAGGCGTGACGCTATCGCTTTGATGTTGTATCATTACCACACAAACCATTCTGACATCTATTATTGACATATAGGTGCCGATCACGCTAGGGAATCACTCTAGGGAATTATATCGTATTCCACATTTAATAACTGATAATCTCGATTTTATTAATTAATAATACAACAAATCATTTTAGTTCACGATAGACGGTGTGTATATTTGACTACGTAGGAAGCATGACCCAATTATTTTTTCCTTAAAAAAACATCACGTTCTTGTTTGATTCTTCAGGTAAAATAGTACTTATCTTTTATTACAAGTCCCGTCTTCATTAGCATATCTTTTATTATAAATCTCGCGTTCATTAGCGTATCTTTTATTATAAGTCTCGCGTTCATTAGTGTATCGTTTATTGTAAGTCTCGCGTTCATTAGTGTATCGTTTATTATAAGTCTCACCTTCATTAGTGTATCTTTTATTATAAGTCTCGCCTTCATTAGTGTATCTTTTATTGTAAGTCTCACCTTCATTAGTGTATCTTTTATTATAAGTCTCGCGTTCATTAGTGTATCTTTTATTATAAGTCTTGCGTTCATTAGTGTATCTTTTATTGTAAGTCTCGCCTTCATTAGTGTATCTTTTATTAGAAGGTCTCGCGTTCATTAGTGTATCTTTTATTATAAGTCTCGCGTTCATTAGTGTATCTTTTATTGTAAGTCTCGCCTTCATTAGTGTATCTTTTATTATAAGTCTCGCGTTCATTAGTGTATCTTTTATTATAAATCTCACGTTCATTAGGGTTTCTTTTATTATAAATCTCGCGTTCATTAGGGTTTCTTTTATTATAAGTCTCACGTTCATTAGTGTATCTTTTATTATAAGTCTCGCCTTCATTAGTGTATCTTTTATTATAAGTCTCGCGTTCATTAGTGTATCTTTTATTATAAGTCTCGCGTTCATTAGTGTATCTTTTATTATAAGTCTCGCGTTCATTACGGTTTCTTTTATTATAAGTCTCGCCTTCATTAGCGAATTTTTGGCAAGATATAGATGCCTTATATTTCCAGGATATGTAAGAATATAAAGAAACTCTTAAACAAATTTTAAAGCTTCAAAATTTTAAAGTCACATTCTGCAAAATCTGGCGTTACAATTAAAAGCATTTACTTACTGATTCCGTCTGTTATTCAGTTTCTTTCCTGTATTGCCTAACTGTGTTAACGATAAATTACTTCCGTAATTCCTGTTTATTCGAGGTCTATTAGTATTTCCCTGTGAATTTTGTTGTCGACCCTGGTTAAGAGATAAAGAACTAGAGAAGTTACGTTTCATTCTGTTTCTTTTGTTTTGTTGTTGAGTCTGGTTTAATGATTGAGAACTTGTGAAGTTACGTTTCATTCCTTGTCTAACATTCTGTTGTGGAGAAAGTTGAGTTAGCGATAGAGTACTGCCATAATTCCTGTTTATTCTGGGACGTTTCTGTTGTTGATTCTGAAAATAACAAGACTCAGCTATAAAGTATGGACCATGGGTTCCACATCGGCCGTATATGCCGACAGGACCTAGGGCTATGGAAAATGACCGTAACTAAATCTGACCCAACGGTTATTTTGCATACCGGAAAGAGAGAGAGAGAGAGAGAGAGAGAGAGAGAGAAATGACGTTTAACTTCCTCTCGGCACAACTAGGTCATTTCGGGACTAACATATGGTTTAATTTTATTTCAATAATTCGCTTGCACATAGGGGTCTTTAGCAGTGGGAGGAAACCGGAACACCCGGAGAAAACCTCGAGGTTGGACAGGCGACCCTGCTCTTTGTCACATTTAACCGGGGATTGATTGGTTTTATAGAGTTGTATACTATGGACAAGGCATGTCACCCATTTTATTAATAGCATAAATACAATTTGGCGCTCCTTAATTCAAGAAAATGTAGAATTACTCTTGCATTATAATTAAGAAAAGTTTTATACAGGAGCTTTTTTCTCATTTTTTAAATTGCAAACAGAGAGATAACTTATGAATTATATATGTTATTCATTACCCAATGAACAAGCCCTGAGAGATGTCACAATGAATTGTAAATCAACAAACAGATTGAGATGACAACGATCATTTTATATAAAGATACATTATGGACGATAAGATAAAGAGCTAGCAGTTCTCACTATAATAGTTGAAAACTTGATAATGTAAAGAGAATATGCTGAAAATTTCAGTCAAATTGATCCATTCTGAACCGAGATAATTAGTGATTGAATTTTAAGCCCAGCCTTGCTCATCATTACTAAAGTCTCGATTATCTATTTTTGGATATAATCATCAATGAGCACTGAGCTGCAGATTGGATTCAAATCCAGTGAAAATCTGACACATAAGATGGCATCGAGAGTTGATTAAAGTCTTTTCATGTTAATAAATGTCTAATTAATAGTTTATATAATATTAGAGGCCTAAAGAAAGACCTGCAATAGGCAGATTTACCTCTTGCATAAAGTAAGCTTAAGGTCACACAATTACCTGTAATCCTTGTCTTTTATTCGTGAAGTTTTTCTTGCTATCAATTAATGCAAGTGCTTGCTTAGCTTCCCGTAGTTTCTTCAATGCATCTTGTCGTTTCTTTTGTAGTCGATTTTTCGTGAAAGAATTATTTGTTCTATTTTTATTTACGTTTCCTTTGCCTTGGTATCCACCCACGCGATTAAATCCACCAGTTCTCTGGTTTCTCTTTGTCCCATCTGATCTGGACGCACCCCCTTTACCCTACAAAATATAATATATATGTTACACTCTATGCACTGTAACCCAGGTATCATTTAATCTTGTGTATCTAGCACTAATTTCTTTCACATTCATTCAATATCAAATCTTTGTTTAAAAATTCTTAAAAATCATTTAAAATCACGAAAAATCATATTATTTGTACTTGTGTCCAGTTTAAAGCTGACCATTCAATTTTGATAATGAGTGTCCAATTTAAAAGCGTTTAATTTCTCGACCACTGTTAAAAAATAAACAATTGATTAATGATGTATAATGATTAATTTTTGAAAAGTGGTCAGGAAATTAAATACATTGTACTTGTAAATTGGACACTCATTATCAAAATTAATCAGCCACGCTTCATCTAATAAATAGGCCTACTATAATATTTACACCAACATCACCAACAAGAGAGAGAGAAAGAGAGAGAGAGGTTTAACTCTACTCAACACAAACTAGGTCATTTCAGGACTAACACATGGTTCAATTTTATTTCAGTACATTGTAATTCGCTTGAACGTAGGGGAAACCGGAGTACCCCATGAGGTAGGACAGACGACCCTACTCCTTGCCACATACAACCAGGGAATCGAAACTACGCCAGTTGACTCAATGACAGACCTTATGATACAACGCACACATGCTATCCATTCGACCGTCCAACCCCCCCAATCAGCAACAAACAATTTAATTTATAATAAGAAACTGCTAAATGTACATTTCTAAAATACCGTATTTATCATGTAGACCAATGTTACAATGTTGAAATTGACTCTAATCACTGTTAAAGGGACAATAACTCTCTTGCTGGCTTGACAGCTCCAGAAAATCAAAAAAAATAGCCTTATTCTAAGTACTAGATGTGTTAGTGTCCCACCTGTTGTGTAAATTATCCATTAAATCCTATTTTACTTGTCCAAAGGGTTCGAAAATATTTTTAAATCCAAGTCACATTTGAAAAGGATTACGTTAGACTTTTCAATTCATTTAGTTGAATTTTTCCAATTTTTTAAATTAGGTTTGTTAAGATGAAATTTTTATCATCAATTAATTGGAATATTGTAAAATAGTACATGTACAATTTGTTGACCAGAATAAAGATTAGGACATATTATTCAGTTACAACAAGAGTGGTATTGAGCCTTTAAAACATCTTTTCAGTGAATATTTATTAACAATTTCTAAAGTTATCATAAAATAGGTCGGATGCACATGCATTGTTAACAGTCGTTTATATTCTCATACAGATAACAATGCATGTGAGATTGACGATACATCAATTTAAAGCCCTAAAAAATAATCTAATGTTTAACTCGATTCTGAATTACAGTAAAATTTACTTTCTGTGACAATAACTTTAGAAAATTCAGTTGAGTTGAGTTTTCAGTTGGCTATTTTTTCAATGTACAATGTACAATGTATGCCGTTCAGAACTACATACTACATATTTTAATCGAGTAGACTGAGAGAGAAAGTGAGAACACAAAATAGGTGAGAGAGAGAGAGAGAGAGAGAGAGAGAGAGAGAGAGAGAGAGAGAAAAAAAATGGGGTTTAACGTCCACTCGACACAAACTAGGTCATTTCGGGACTAACATATGGTTTTTTTTTTAAATTTTATTTTAATAATTTGCTTGCGCGTAGGGGTCTTTAGCAGTGGGAGGAAACAGGAGGACCCGGAGAAAACCCACGAGGTTGGACAGGCGACCCTACTCCTTGCCACGTACGCCCGGGGATTCGAAACCACGCCAGTTGACTCAATGACAGACTTTATGGTACAGCGCGCGCTAACCATTCAGCCATCCAACCCCCCCCCCCCCACAAAATAGGTCATTTCGGGACTAAGATATGGTTCAATTTTATTTCAATAATTTGCATGCACGTACATGTATGGGTCTTTAGCAGTGGGAGGAACCCAGAGGACAAAGAAAACTCACGAGGTTGGGCAGTTGACTCAGTGGCAGACCTGTATGATGTAGCGTGCACATGCTAACCATTCGGCCATCCAATACCACTAATCGAGTAGAAGTTACAATATGTTGCCAAAGATCCACATGTATATGCAGCTCTTTTTGTCGCGGGAACTCTCCCAATGTTCTATAAATTATTGATATTTTATAAACCAGGCCCGTAGCCAGCAGGGGGACAAAGGGGGTTATTTAACGCGCCGAGCCGATGGACTGACGTAAATTTTAAACACTGGCAGCTGGCTCCCCACCGCCGAACAGCACCCTTTCCATTGGACGCGATACAAAGCCAACAACCAACATGCCCATATCAGTATGGGCACCCCATAACGCCCAGTGACATTGGTTGGGCTGAACCCCCTTGCTCCGCTAGCCATGGGCCTATAATAATTAGTAAATTATAGTTTTGGAAATATTTGTACCTGTCTGTTCAGCGGGCTTTTACCCAATTTTGTTCGTTTATTAAGTTTGATGATGTCATCTGAAAAAAATTGAAAAAGATTATCAATTTGGACTTTCAAATACACTGAATGAATGGTTAAATCTATCCAACTTTACAATTCTCTACTTCTACAAGACTCTAGCATGCACCATGTAACAAAGATGGAATCTGTGCAAACATTAAATTGAGAAAGAGCCAGATGCTTTGAATGACTTACATGCATGTATAATTTATACTACATGTATAAATGAAATGAAACAGGGTTTAACTTCCTACTGTTCTGCTCCGAACTGGGTTAATGAAGACAAACATACGCCATATAGTGGGCTATGAGGGAAATTTTGCCCAGACAGCGGCACTATGCAAGGATTGAACACCTGACGTCAGAGTCCGCAGAGTATGGCAGGTGCTCCCATGAGCAAATTTTTTGAGAGATCGGTGCACACAAATTTCTTTTAGATTTGCATGTTCTTTATGGCACAACATTTTTACCTTGCACACAGCAACTTGAATTTGTACTACATGTACATGTAACTGTCATGTTTTCTGTAATCCTCTGTCAATCCGCAATAACCAGGGGTTCTAAAGAAACACAACTTTTCCAAGGGAGACAAATAGCATAATGGTAAGTAGTGTCTCATTGATTGAGTCAAATTGACCCAATCAAGTTGTCGTGTATGGCTCATGTACATGTGCAATGTTTGCTACAATTTCAAATTTCAATCGTAGGCCCTACATTTACTTTTAATTTATATTACATGTACACGACAGGCAAAAATAGCCTATTTTATCACGCATGGAATTATTTCCTTCATACTGTAGCATGCGTGACAGGTGTATATATATATATACCATACAGTGTGTTATGTCATGCATGAGGAAGTATGGATCACTGCACAGTAAATATATAAGGATGAATATCAAATGCAATGTGAGTTAATAAGGTTTAATTTTGGCATACGTTTAATTGGGAACTGGTTGTATTTTCTACACGGATTTTCTACGTGGTCCATAAATTTACCCATAATAAACCAGAACATCTTTAATTACATGTTCCCCAAAATAGTCGTTCGGATGGGATGAAAAACCGAGGTCCTGTGTACACATTGGCGTGCACGTAAAAGATCCCTTGGCAGTTGGAATTCGATATAAGAGTAGGCCGTAGCGCCGCTGCCCGGGCAAAATTTCCCTCATAGCACACTGTATGGCGTATGCCCGTCTTCATTAGGAGCAGAACAGTAGGACGTTATATCCCTAAACTTAACTCTCTTTTAACTGTTCTGATAAAATCAAACCGAAGTAAATGGAAGATCAAAGCAAGGAGGACAACTCTTATTGTTAATGTTATTAGGTTCGGATTGTTTCATTCACAAACCGTTTCAAACGAGGCTGTTTCATATAATGATAAAATTTCTTTTAGAAATCAAAACATCACATTTCATCAGAAACATACAGCGAAAACCAAATCTTGAACCTACAGTACTACGCAACCGGTAACCATAGAAATATTTCTATGTCGATAACAATACTAAAATAGGAGTTGGCTTTCTTGGGTAATTTTATCTTCATTTATTTGCTTTTTTTTTATTCTGAACTATTAAATAAATTGTGTTTAGTTTTGGGAATATTAATCATCTATACAATAAAAATGTGTTGTTTTATTCAAATACAGTGTGTTTTGGGTACCGGTACGGTAATTAAAGGTGTTTTGGGTTGTTTTGGGTAAATCTATGGATCCATCTTCTACGTACATTGAATAAGGAAGTAAATATTAAAAAAAATACTTTATTTGCCACTATTAAAGCCCAAAATTTATATCTGACTGGGATCAATAACTTCATTACACAGGGCCTATATTTATTATTATTACTATTAGGCTAGTATTACTAAATTAGAAATAGGAAAGAGAATTTGTAGCCTATTTGTTACTTTTTGGGGAAGTATTTACTATATGCCAGTGCCCCTTTATATCACTTCATGTCCACATGAGAAAGAAGGTGTGTAACAGGTGTTGCCACGTTCTTAGTACTCATATTACTTTCTTCTTATCTGCCACACCGTCACCAAATTAGTCAATAACTTTTTACATTCACGTATGTATGTAAATCTGCAGTAAAAGTTTAACTAAAACGTAGTAAAAACTCAAGAAATCTTCCGTCGAAATTCATTATTTTTATACCACCAAATAGCTATATAATAGAAGCTTTCAAACATTTCTGTTCGTCAAATTAAGAAATTAAATTTCACCAATATACTTTACCTAGAGACATATCAACTTTGCTAACAGTTCCACTCATGTTTACGACTTTCAACAATCGGCATTGACTGAAAGGTGGCGCAACGATCGACTAAAGGTAAATTAAAAAAATAGAACGTTTGGCTTTCAGAAACGAAACGAATTTATTTCGGCGCAATATTTTGCTTGACGATAATCACTGATTAGTTACAATGTAGAGGTAATAGATGCTGTCTAAACAAGACAACTAAAACAATGACTATTTAATGCGGGCTTAGACTACACAGATTATCTTTTAATTTAACCGACATTGTATTGTCTTATTATATCCTAATTCGCTAATCTTGAAGGCTATTAATTCATGGGTGTTTTCTTTGCCGTTAATTAATTACAGTCCCGTACGTGTAGGCTATTGTTTAAACACATTAAGTGCTACACAACTCATCATTAATTTCTTTGATTCATGTTTTAATCAGCTCTTTATATTTATATTGGAGACGCCAGAATTTTACATTTTTTTAAAGGAGTTGCTAGGGGCCCCCCAATTCGTTTATATTGGAGACGCCAGAATTTTACATTTTTTTTAAGGAGTTGCTATGGGCCTCCTAATTCACCCAATTCGTAGCGAATGGGACTAAAATTGTCCCGACAACCATATGTCCATCTGTTTTATTACTGAATTGTCAGTCCTTTTATTGAGGGACGTCCATTTTATCGTTAACCGATGATATGGCGCGGTCGATCTATCTTTCCATTCAAAATCTCAGCGCACATGTATGCTAATAGTAATATGCGACTTTTGGCTCTAGCATAACGCATTAATGGTCCCCTACGGTGGCTGATTTAGGACCCTGATTTAGCGCTCGAGATACTAAGTCGAACGCTTGATATACTAAGTCAAGCGCTCGAGATAGTTAAGTCGAGCGCTCGAGATAATTATGTCTAGCGCTTGAGATACTGAACCGAGCGCTCGAGATATTTAATGATAAACTTGCAGAATAAATAATAAATATATTCATTTGTTCGTTTTTACAACTCATCCAAAGCTGCAGTAATGGAGCGGATACCCCCCCCCCCTCCGCACACAATCCATCCTATGGCCACCACCACCACTTAATATTTCCCATTATATTTACCCCCTTCCAAGTGGGGAGTATATTGCATATTATTTATTATACGAGAGAGAGAGAGAGAAATGGAGTTTAACGTCCACTCGACACAAACTAGGTCATTTCGGGACTAACATACGGTTTATTTTTTTATTTCAATAATTCGCTTGCGAGTAGGGGCCTTTAGCAGTGGGAGGAAACCGGAGGACCCGGAGAAAACCCACGAGGTTGGACAGGCGACCCTACTCCTTGTCACGTACAACCGGGGATTCGAAACCACACCAGTTGACTCAATGACAGGCTTTATGATACAGCACGCACGTGCTAACCATTCGGCCACCCAACCCCCTATTTATTATACGAATCAATAATTACTCTGTAACCTCGATATATAACATTATTAATTCGTATGTTCAATATATCTCATTTTCATTATAATCGTCAGCTGTAGTACGCTGATTATATCTTTCATGAAAATTTATATTGTTAGCTTATGTCCAGCTAAATATTATGCTGATTTAAGGTTTTAGACATTTTAAATGTATTTTGTTTTAAATAGTAATGCATAAAGTACATACTCGTAAATAACAGTATAATTGATACAATAGCCGCGTGCTAATTATCATCAATAATGATACTGTTGTACGAAGTATTAATGATGGTTCCAGGGGCGGATCCAGAGGGGGGGGGGTTGGGGGGTCGACCCCCTCCCCCTCTGCTCATCTACATATTTTCATTAGCCCAGTATAGGAGCAGAACAGTAGGACGTTAAAAACCCCATTCCATTTCATTTTCATTTGTATCATCAGTATTATATCTTGAAGACGTTAAAGACATCATGTGTTAACAACCTCTTCTTATTATTAGGTAACATTATGAGAACTAGTGACAATTAACCCAAGGGTTGCGTCAAATCGGCAAAAACAAGATAAGGGCACGTTCTCAGTATTAACAATAGAAGTTAGTATAGAATAAACTGAAGAAAGTAGGGCAACTGTGCAGTCTGTTAAAGACAAAATGATTACTGTAATATATCCTACAGAGAACATTATAACAAAATCTACAGAATTCTATAATATTTTCCTATAGAAATTTTACCATAAATCTGTAGGAAAAATTATAGGATTTGTACTACATAAACTGTACAATATTTTGGGCTCCCCAAAATTCTGTAGTATAGAATTTCATTCTATAGAAAATGAGATAGACCCACCCCACCCACCCAACTCTCTAAAATGTTCTATAGAATTCTATAGAAAACTACATTGGTATTGTATAGGACAAACTTCGACTGACAGTCTACTAATGTCATTGTTAAACCGATAACGGAGCCTTACGGCATGTTAACAATGTTAAAGTTAACGGGGCTTCCAGCAAAAGACCTTTTCCCTTAGTTACATATAACGCGACCCGTTAACTCATTGTGGGCAACCGGCCACTGGTTATTTCAAGTATGCAATTTAGAAAAGAAAATTTAATTCATATTAATTATAATATTTATTTTATGATCAGTAGTGGAATACCGCGTTTTATCAGTGAAATAAAAGTGTTATTCCACTGGCTAAAGTAGTCCATGTTGTTTTTACCTAAAATGATTGTAAAATCATAAAATAAATAGAACATTTGTCGTTTTGTCGTGAATAACATATTTTATTTCATCTCTAAGCAAGAAAACGTTTATATTTTCACTCGTGAAAATATAAGTTTTCTTGCTTAGAGATGAAATAAAATATGTTATTCACGACAAAACGACAAATATCCTCTATGTCTTATCTATATATATATTTGTGACTGTCGTTTGTCTGTCTGTCTGTCTGTCTGTTCGGGGTTGGCGGCTACACTAGGTCTGCCCCGAGTCTGAAATTTGGGGTATAGGGGTAACTCGGACCGGGGAGTAACATAGGCCAGGTGGCGTTAGTCTACCACTTCCGGTTTCGGAGTAATGACCCCCGAGCGATGCCGGTCTGTTCGGGGTAGGCGGCTACACTAGGTCTGCCCCGAGTCTGAAATTTGGGGTATATGGGTAGCTCAGACGGGTGAGTCACATAGGCCAGGTGGCGTTAGTCTACCACTTCCGGCTTCGGAGTTATGACCCCCGAGCGAAGTCAGTCTGTTCGGGGTTGGCTGCTGAAAACTGTCCCGAGTCTGAAATTTTGGGTATAGGGGTAGCTCGGACCGGGGAGTAACATAGACCAGGTGGCGTTAGTCTACCACTTCCGGTTTCGGCGTTATGACCCCCGAGCGAAGCCGGTCTGTTCGGGGTTGGCGGCTACACTAGGTCTGCCCCGAGTCTGAAAATTGGGTATAGGGGTAGCTCGGACCGGTGAGTAACTAGGCCAGGTGGCGTTAGTGTACCATTTCCGGTTTCGGAGTTATGACCCCCGAGCGAAATCTGTCTGTTCGGGGTTGGCGGCTACACTAGGTCTGCCCCGAGTCTGAAATTTGGGGTATAGGGGTAACTCGGACCGGGGAGTAACATAGGCCAGGTGGCGTTAGTCTACCACTTCTGGTTTCGGAGTTATGACCCCCGAGCGAAGCCGGTCTGTTCGGGATTGGCGGCTACACTAGGTCTGCCCCGTGTCTGAAATTTGGGGTATAGGGGTAGCTCGGACCGGGGAGTAACATAGGCCAGGTGGCGTTAGTCTACCACTTCTGGTTTCGGAGTTATGACCCCCGAGCGAAGCCGGTCTGTTCGGGATTGGCGGCTACACTAGGTCTGCCCCGTGTCTGAAATTTTGGGTATAGGGGTAGCTTGGACCGGGGAGTAACATAGGCCAGGTGGCGTTAGTCTACCACTTCCGGTTTCGGAGTTATGACCTCCGAGCGAAGTCTGTCTGTTCGGGGTTGGCGGCTACATGTGCCCCGAGTCTGAAATTTGGGGTATAGGGGTAGCTCGGACCGGGGAGTAACATAGGCCAGGTGGCGTTAGTCTACCACTTCCGGTTTCGGAGTTATGGCCCCCGAGCGAAGCCGGTCTGTTCGGGGTTGGCGGCTACACTAGGTCTGCCCCGAGTCTGAAATTTGGGGTATCGGGGTAGCTCGGACCGGGGAGTAACATAGGCCAGGTGGCGTTAGTCTACCACTTCCGGTTTCGGAGTTATGACCCCCGAACAAAGCCGGGTATCCTGCTAGTATTTCTATACTATAATGGGGAGGGGTGGGGTCGGATGGTTAACGCGTGCGTGCTGTATCATAAGGTCTGTCATTGAGTCAAGGTGGCGTGGTTTCGATTCCCCGGTTGTACGCGACAAGGAGTATGGGGTTGCCTGTCCAATCTCGTGGGTTTTCTCAGGGTCCATCGGGTTCCTCCCACTGCTAGAGACCCCCTACGTCCAAGCGAATAATTTTAATAAAATTGAACCATGTTCGTTCCGAAATGACCTGGTTTGTGTCGAGTGGACGCCCCCCCCCCCTCTCTCTCTCTCTCTTATACTATAAGTTTCTGGTTGAGTCAATATTTAGAAGGGAACTCCAAATATGACGATGAGTTCAAGTCTAGGTTTTGTTTAAACTTTCAATAAATTATTCTGAATGGAAAGGGACGAAGAGGATTTCAAGCGGTTTATAAGTATAATAATCACTTACTCAAACATTAAAGACGCATTATGTAAGATTTAGATAAAGAGCTGAGAGTCCATGTTATAATAGTAAAAACAATTTGGAAGATGTAGCATAGATTGTTATCTCATCAACGGTACTGGACAAACGAAACTAACGATCTAACGCGTGCTCTTTACGTCATAAGGTCTTTCATGGATTCAATTTCCAGCTTGTAATTGACAAGGAGTATGGTCGCCTGTCCATTCTCGTGGGGTTTTCCGGATACACCGGTTTCCCCAGACTGTTAAATACCCTTTACGACAAGCTAATTATTGAAATAAATTTGAACCATATGTTCGTTCCGAAATAAGTTTGTTCGTGTCGAGCGTACGTTAACCCTCCACCCCCCGCCTCATTGGGATTAAATATTAGATATAGTCGTATTATGACTGAACATTACACATTATGATACACATAGTCCTATTATGATACACATAGTCTTATTATGATACACATAGTCCTATTATGATACACATAGTCCTGTTATGATACACATAGTCCTATTATGATACTCATAGTCCTATTATGATACACATATAGTCCTATTATGATACACATAGTCCTATTATGATACAGCAGTACACGTAGTCCTATTATGATACTCAGAATCCTATTATGATACACATAGTCCTATTATGATAAACATAGTCCTATTATGATACAGCAGTGCACGTAGTCCTATTATGATACTCAGAGTCATATTATGATACACATAGTCCTATTATGATACACATAGTCCTATTATGATACAGCAGTGCACGTAGTCCTATTATGATACCCAGAGCCCTATTATGATACACATAGTCCTATTATGATACAGCAGTGCACGTAGTCCTATTATGATACTCAGAGTCCTATTATGATACACATAGTCCTATGATACACATAGTCCTATTATGATTAAACATTACACATTATGATACAGCAGTAAACATAGTCCCATTATGATATGTACTAAATATGTTCCCTCAGAAAATAAAGTCATTATTATTATTATTATCATTATTATTATTATTATACACATAGTCCTATTATGATTAAACATTACACATTATGATGCAGCAGTACACATAATCACATTTTGGGAAAGAATCTCTTTACTCAAAGGCCTAGTCCTTTACCATCATTTGCATCAGATATAACGTTATTCTCCCAAAACTGCATTAATATAGCAGATTATACGAGTTGATCTTTATTAAAGCGATAATTTCATATTTTCTAAGAAAGTCAAAACATAATTATTTCTATGTCTTTTGCTCAATAGGTTGTCAACTCACTATTATACGATCATAGGTATTATTCTCTCACTTAAAAACCCTTTGATCCCGGAAATAATAACACAATTACCTCCCTTGTTTTTCTGTTCCCCCATGGAATAGCTATCTTCAAACGTTTGGATTTGAAGTTGAAAATGATATTTTTGCCAATTTCTCAACTGGCAATAGTGAATTATAGGATTAATAGGATTATTCTTTAACAAGGTAAGCCTGTTTATAGATACCATCTATTTTAAGGCTTTATTTTAATAAATTTTAAAAATATAACTTAAAAATATGAAATTGCAACTTTAAATTTGACTTCAGTATGCTGAGTATAACTTTTTTTTTTACTAAGCGTTCCAAATTCTGATTGGAAAGTCGAGTCACTTCTGGTTTGTCAACTGTTAATTTATTACAGACCCTAGTAACTGACTTAGGCTATGATGACCATACTCGAATTTTATGGTCACCCAAACATTTGCTGCCCCCCCACCACTTCCCTCCTACCACTTTCTTCCCTAACCCAGGCCCAGGTCCGATACATTGTGGTTATATTATAATAATTACCTCCTATATCTTCTTAGATCCACCCGACGCTACGTTTTCATCTTATAGGCAGATGGAATTAATCAAATGATAAACCAGGCCAGTCTCTACAACTCCCCAACCACTTTTGTCTTTCACTATGCCCGTACGTAACTAACGTACGAAAATTAAATGGTAGCTGGCTTTTTTTTCGCACGTATACAGTGAATGGCCATTTTGCTCAGTAATCCCAGCCAGAATTTGGCTATTTTTTTAAAATTGCGTTAAAGTTTTAAATTTTTGTTTAGAACTGAAATAAATAAACTTTTAGTCAATCCCCGCGCTAAAAACGTTAACAGAATTGATTGTGTATATCTGAAATAGACACGTCCGAAGCACGAAATAGTGCCAATATGCCGACGTCAAATCTAGAGTTGTAGATGATGTTATTTTGGTGCAAAAACATTGGAAGAAGCGATAAGACGGATTATACAGTCCTTAAAGGCTGCAAGAAGGCTATTGTTTACAATGTAACATTGTGTCTTGTAATGTTGATAATGATCATAATGATGGTGTTTACATTTGTTTGTTGATGTGACCTCATGACCTGTGACGTTTAGATAACGTCATATGGATATCATGGTTATTCACTGTGTCAGAGTCACTTCTCTGCAGGTAGGGTGAGTCTGTCGTTCAGATTGTCACTATACCCTGTCCCCACAGTGAACCTCGTGCATAGGAAGCATAGAATATGTTAGTCAGTTTTAATAATATATGCGTTATCACCATGATTTATCATACGTCATGGATATTAAGGGGCGTAATGTGTGCATACAATCAGCTTAAGCAAATTTTAAGCTGAGCCATAGTTGCTCCACTTGTTCTCCTGTTAAAACGTTGGAAATTTTGGGTGAGTAATATTTTAGCTGTATTAATGCTACAAAGATATTCTCAAGTATTCTGAATTTTAAACGTTTAAAAAATAACTTTTTTTTAAACAAGTGATAATTAAATTTGTTCAGGAAGAAAAAAATATTGCATTATTTCTTTAATCTGAAAAAAAGAGAGAATGTTATCTCCCAGAAAGTGGCCAGATGGAAATGATTATTTTAAATTAAATCAGTATAGTTTTATACTGCCATTATTTTGCATTTCATCTTTGATTAAGATAAAGAATTCTAATAATCGTAATGATATTTGTAATTAAAATAAAGAATTCTAATATTCATAAAATGATATCTGTAATTAAAATAAAGAATTGTAATAATCATAAAATATTATCTGTAATTAAAATAAAGAATTCTAATAAACACTATAGTATTTGTAATTAAAATAAAGAATTCTAATATTCATAAAATAATATCTGTAATTAAGATAAAGAATTCTAAATAATCATAAAATGATATTTGTAATTAAAATAAAAAATTCTAATAAAAATAATAATATTTGTAATTAAAATAAAGAATTCTAATAATCATAATCTGATGTTTTCTAGTTTGAGTTCGACGCCTGTTTTGCACCATGAGTGATACCCACAGATTTCATGTTGCGGACTTCGTAATATTCAGTGTTACAATTCTTATATCCATCGGTATTGGTATATACTATGCGCTTAGCGGTGACAGACAAAGAACGACGTCGGAGTACCTGGTCGGAGGGCGTAAGATGAGTTTTATGCCGGTAGCCATTTCGCTACTGGTGTCTTTCGAGTCCTCGATAATGATGTTAGGAGTTCCTGCCGAGGTTTACGTTTATGGAGTGCAATGGATTATGGCAAACCTTGGATTTTTTACTGCTAATTGGATTAGCATGTGTCTGATAGTACCATTAATTCACCCCTTAAAAATCACAAGCATTTATGAGGTTAGCAATTTACAAGTTTATATGTGTAGGATAAAGCACAAGACTGGGGTTATGCTGGGGGAAAAAAAGACTCACGGAAAAAACCCGAGAAAAAGAAAAACCGAGCCCGGCAGGCCGAGATTTTTCTGTCGAGGGTTTTTTCCGTGAAGTCTTTCTTCCCCAGCATAACCCCAGCCTTTGAGATTGTGTGAACAGTCATAATGCCCCAGCCTTTGAGTTTTTGAGATTGTGTGACCAGTCATAATGTCACAGCCTTTGAAATTCTGTCAACGTAATCTTCATGTAACAGTTTTACATAGGAACCCTATTTAATTCAGAGTCAGGAACCCTATTTAATTCAAAGCCAGGAACCCTATTTAATTCAGAGCCATGTGTAAAAAACTGCAACAACCTCTATCTGTAAAAGGTAAAAGTCAAACTACATTTTACTATGAAAGTCAAGCAATCAAAAACACACGTCAAAATGTAAAAATAATAACCCGTTGTTATTTTCTGTAAGTTTAAGCTCATTATATTGAACTGTTCGAAAATGCTCAACAAAATCATTTAACTCAGTCACCGAACTTTGGCGTATTGTTTAGAAATGAAATGAAATGGGGTTTAACAACCTACTGTTCTGCTCGAACTGGGCTAATGAAGACGGGCATACGCCATACAGTGTGCTATTAGGGAAATTTTGCCCGGACAGCGGCACTACGGCCTACTCTTATATCGAAATCCAACTGTCAAGGGATCTTTTACGTGTAACGCCATCCGAACGACTAGACAGCTGTCCTTGTCAGGCACTCCGTTCTGCATCACTGACAAGGGGGGGGGGGACCACGCCGGAAAATAATTGTTTAGAACAGAACAGAACTTTATTAACTACACAGATCGTCTGCATGGCATATACAAGTGTTAGGTTATTTACATGTATACAAGCTGTGAGTTTCCTGACACCGACACGACCTCCATCTTATATATAAAAGTTCCTCGTGGGTTTTCTCCGGGTCTTTCGGTTTCCTCCCACTGCTAAAGACCCCTATACGCGCAAGCGAATTATGGAAATAAAATTCAAACATATGTTAGTCTCGAAATGATCTAGTTTATGTCGATTGGACGTTACCCCGCCCCCCTCTCTCCCTCTCCCTCTCTCATATAAAAGTTATTATCCCCACACTACTACAATGGTGACTTTTGGAAGTTTGGCGCTAAGTTTTTATATTTTTCGAAAAAGATTTTCAGAATACTGGACTAAGATAGACGTCGTCTATGCAATTTACTACATTTCATTTTGTTTCACAGAATTATTAAGAACCTTTATAACATCGGGGAGGGGGTGGTTAGTGCACGCTGTATCATAAGGTCTGTCATTGAGTCAACTGGCGCGGTTTCTATTCCCCGGTTGTACGTGATAAGGAGTAGGGTCGCTTTTCCAACCAGTCCAACAAGACACATTTTACAGTTTCTTACTGGATCCAATATGTGTGTTTGTTGTCTATATATTGTGTCCTGTCCGTGGGTTTGTCTTGAATAATTGTTTATAAGTAGTACGCCCCCCCCCATGTACTTTCTATTACATATCAAACAAGATATTATTTGATATTTGCATTTGTTGTTTGTGGTGTTCATATATTGTGCCCTGTCCGTAAGTTTGTGTTGTGTACCAAACAAGATATTATATTTCTAGATCACTGAATGTATTTACTTCCACTAGTATTTTTGTATCATTACAGTATCTAGAACTCCGTTTTAAAAGTAAAATTGTACGAATGTTTGGTACCATTTTAGGCGTGCTGACAACGGTAAGCAATTGGAACATCTATGGTTGCTAATGGAATAGTGGACTTTATTAAATTTCATATTATTGCTTGGTAACACGTTTAAGACACTTATAAGCATAGATCCTATTTCGTTTCGTTTTTTAGTTCAAAATTTTGTTTGACTTGTCTTTACTACACTAGGATCTGGAAAAGTTATTATATTACCGGTGTTTTGGGTTGAAGTGAGGGATCAGCCAATGAAACGGTCTGTTACGACGACTTCTTGGCGAGCCATGCACGGAACTGTGGGTAAGCCACTAAAAGCGTCAAAGCTGATTGATTAATCAATGTCTGACGTCATAGGGTCAAAAGCCGCTCGTATGACCCCCTGACACGACCTTCAAGTACAACTTGTCAGATTATAGGCCACCCAAAGTATAAAACGAAACGAAATATAGATCTGTATTTTACTCAGAAGCAAACAATATATTCTTTATGCTAAATTCAACTTCCAAATGATTCACACTGGAGAATGCAATTAAATTACGCACTTGTCTTAGATCATTGTAAGTTTTCAGAAATTTGTAAATGTGTCCCTTTCTTTAATTATAATGGATGTTTTTATTATTCAGCTATGGTATATGGGTATTGTATTATTTGGTCCCGGGATAGCTTTAGAAGCAGGTAAATATTAAATGTGTCGATTATTATGAATATTATATAAATATTATGAATTTTCACTCTACCTATAACAGTGATTCTCAACCTTTTTTTGCCAACGGCCCACCTTGGAACGCAAGAAAAAATAGCGGCACACCTGACTAAATATGAATAGTCATACGGCATACAACCGTAGACAGATACTAGTCATAGAAACATAGAATGTCTTATTCTAAATAAAGAAAAACACAGCTATGAACTTATCAGCCAATAGTCAATTGGGATCATGTGTTTTTTTGGCATTTTCTTAGTGTGCCTTTAAATTTCGCGGCACACTTAGGAAGATCTCGCTGCATACTGGCTGAAAATCACTGCCCTTTAAAATCATACAGGCATAAAAAAAAATGTTATTAGCTTGACCCAAGTATTTAAAATGAAACATAGGTGAAAGCGGACGTAAGCCATCAACTCATATTATATTTCCTCTTACGGTTTGCTTTCAGTAACCGGGTTTCCCAAAGGTGCCTCTATTGCCCTGATAGCTTTTGCGGCGGCAATTTATACATCAATCGTAAGTATTTTTAGATTTTATGTGTAAAATTCAGGCTTAAACCCTGTTTAATTTAGTGAGTAGAGATGTTTGACGTTGTGATTCTTTGATAGTTTAGCGTATGTATTTGATATGGCAAATCGTAATGCGATAAATGAAACGAAAAACCAACATTTACATTTTTGAGTTAAATATGATACCTTTTGGATTAGCAAACGCTCTGGATATTTCAAGGGTTGCAAATTTTAAAAAAAGGATTCCCATCTTATTTCCATTGCCTTTTTTCATGACAACTTATATTTTCCGAGTCACTTAGACCACCTTAAAATCGGGTCTGATCGTTTATCTTGACACAACTTAACATGTACTAAAAGAAAAGCAGTTATTAATCGAGATTAACCAACTGTTAACATATCTTGGGGTCCTGCAATAAGAACAGCCTTAAAGTAGCTAAGTCTCTAACTCAATATCATCCAAAATCTTCGATATTGAAATCACGAATTATTTGTCAATTTAAATCAACATTGATGTTGTGATCTTACCAGGAAAAGATGGGCTTCTGATATCCAATATTTAAGACAAAATAAACATTTTACCATTGGTACACGAATCGTGTACCATAATGCGTTTCAGCGCCATTTGTAACAATAGACTCGCAGACCGCGACTAGACATATTCCACAAGCCATGTCAAACGATGACGTCATATTCTTATCTGGAGAGCATGCGCAATAAATACTAGACTGGAATAACCAGACGCTAGAGGTTGCCATTCGGTTGAGACTTCTGGAGTATTTCGCCGAACATAACTGATTTGAAATTAGAGTAAAAACGGAAACGATTGAATATAAATCAGTTTATATACAATCATATTACATTATTATATGCGTTTCGACCCATTTGTGTCAATGTCTAGATCCCAAATATTAGCGATTTAGCTCATTTAAGGCAATATCGGTCAAAGCTATTGTGTTTGTGAGAGGGGCGAGATGTTGGGGGTTAATGCGAGCGCGTTAGATCACGCGGTCTGTCTTTGAGTTAACTGGCGTGGTTTCGATTCCACGCTAGTACGTGACAAGGAGTAGGGCTGCCTATCCAACCTCGTGGGTTTTTCTCCCGGACCTCCTGTTTCCTCCTATTCCCAAAGAGCCCTACGCGCAAGCAAATTATTGAAATAATATTGAACCATATGTCATTTCCGACATGACCTGGTTTGTGTGTGTGTGTGTGTGAGAGAGAGAGAAAGAGAGAGAGAGAGAGAGAGAGGAATATTCAACTAATAACCAATATCTTTGAATTAAAGGGCGGTTTAAAAGCTGTTGTTTGGACGGATGTTTTTCAAGCTATAGTTATGTTTAGTGGCTGCTTTGCTATTTTGATAAAGGTATATTGTAACTTGACTATTCCTTTGTATTTTGTTGTTTATTTGTATATACATGTATGGTTTTTTTATAATCATATCTACATCGTAAAGCGCCACAGAGCAGTCAGACTGACTGAATGTTCAGCGCTATAGAAAACGGTTATTATTATTATTATTATTAAGTACTGTTTGGTCAATAATTCAATTATTTTCTCAAATTAAGATGAATATATATACATCTAATTCAAATGTGCGAAAAGCCTAATACACGTATATTTATTTTTATTCCTGCAGGGAACGATGTACTCTGGTGGACCAAAAGCTGTTTGGGATACAGCCGAAGAAGGAGCGAGAATGAATTTCTTTGTGTAAGTGTTGTTTTTAATTTAAACATACATTATGCAAGAGCTAAATCTGTCTAGCGCAAGTCTTTCTATAGGCTGCACATGTTATAAAAATTATTAATTAGACCTTTATTTACCTGACAAGCTCAAAATCAACCCTGTTGACCCTCGGATGACTTGGATTTAAACAGTCGTCCATTTAAAATTAAATCAAGAAATGGCCGACCAAGCTAACGTTTACCGTTAGTCACTGACGTTACTACCGGAAACTAGTGATGAAAAGCCTACCGAGCGAGGCTACCATAGCCATTGAGAATGTTACTTGACAATCGAGAATATGTGGTTGGAGTTATCGTCTGTCAATCAGACGATCGACAATCCTCGTAGACACAGTTGATGCCTATTTCTAGTCAAAACTTCCAACAGTGACAACTCCGTTCAGAATAAAGTAATTTGACTGAAATTTTCAACATTTTCTCTTTTTATCTTCTATTTTTGAATTATTATAGCAAGAATGGCTAACTCTTTATTAAACTATTAACTAATGTATCTCTAATTGTTTTATCCTTGCCGAACGTATGTACATGCATGAAATGAAAATGAAATGAAATGGGACTAATGAAGACGGGCCTACGCCATAAAGTGTACCATGAGAGAAAGTTTGCACGGACAGCGGCACTACGGCCTACTCTTACATCGAATTCCAACTGCCAAGAGATCTTTTACATGAACGCCAATGTGTACACGAGACCTCGGTGTTTCGTCCCATCCGAGAGACTAGACAACTGTCCTTTTCAGGTCCTCCTTCCTGCACCCTTAACAAGGGGAAACCACGTCGGAAAACATGTACATGTATAAAGGTTGCTTTTGTCCATGTCTTTTGGACGAGGCAGTCGCACTAACTCAGCGAGTAAGACGTTAGCTCGCTAACCTGGAGGACTCGTGCTCCATCCTGATGTTGGTGGAGAAAGTTCATCGAGATTTTCCGACGTGGTTCCCCATTGTCAGTGGTTCAGGAAAACGCATAGACGTTCGGGTGGGACGAAAAGCCGAGGTCCCATGTACACATTAGAGTACACGTAAAAGAACCCTTGGCAGTTGGAATTCAGTATAAGAGTAGCCCGTAGAGCCGCTGTTTAGTCGAAATTTCCCTCATAGTACACTGTATGCCCGTCTTCATTAGTCCAGCCTGTGCAGAACCGTATGGAAGAATTTGGCGAAATCTAGTAACTCGGCATTAACAGATTAATACACGAGAAAGTGATTTGTACTGTATTTTAAAGTGGGGGTTATGGTGGCTAAGTGGGTAAGTCGAAGCTTGTTCGCTAGCCTGGAGGCAGGCCCGTGGAAAAAATTTCGACCATAAAAAAAATATATATACATTGTCCGTCAATTTTACAGAACCCCTGAGAACACTTACCGCCCCCCCCCCCTTGTTGCTCTGAGCTTGTTACGGCCCTGCCTGGAGGCCGGGTGTTCAACCCTTGCATTGACTGAGAAAGTTCATCCAGATTTTCCGGCGTGATGCAAGACACAGGGCTTGGCAAGGACAGCTATTTAGTTGTTCGGATGGGACGAAAAACCGAGGTCCATGTACCCATTGGCGTGCACGTAAAAGATCCCTTGGCAGTTGGAATCCGATATAAGAGGAGGCCGTAGCGCCGCTGCCCGTGCAAACTTTTTCTCATAGTACACTTTATGGCGTATGCCCGTCTTCATTAGTCCCATTTCATTTGATTTTCATTGGAATTTCATATAAGAGTAGGCCTAGTGCCGCTGTGTAGCATCGTGGGTCTTCTGTCAGACATGGAGAGCGGGAGATGGAAACCGGTCGCCACATCCTACGCATGACCCATGCATCTTTCCTTACTACATATCTTACTAGCCTTGTGAATTTGTCTCTAGCTGTCTTTACTTCTGCTTCACGTTGTGTATTTACTTCTTACTGTTTTCTTAAGACGTTTGTCTTCTCGGTAGTTATAACAATGCAACAGTTCATTTTAACATTTTATATATCATATTATAACCGGATACAAGCATAGCATAGATTACAATAATAAAGTCATTCTCAAACACTAGCCAGGCAGATTGGGCGAGTCTGCTGATAGAAACTGTTACATCTTTCCCCTTCTGGAATCAAGCTGTTGTCTGACAATCGCCCACCAATATGATAGTTTTGTAGCTTTGGGTTTTGGACCTTCAGTTATCTAATTGGTCAAATATGATGTAAATAATTACAGAGATTGGTCAAACTAAACCAAATGATGCAATAGGTAAATTTCCAGTCACATGTTTTATGACACAATCTATCCTTGAACTTAGACCCTCTTTCCTGTTATTTTCACACTATTTCATAAACAACTAATGGGCGTTTTAAATAAACTCATACCATGGCTAATATACTGACAATAGAGAATAATTTGTAAAGATACAAATATTGTTTAAACCATCTTATATCTCTATTCCTTGTCTATAAATTTAAAAAGAATATTACAAGGATATTCTTATAGCTGTCCGGGCAAAATGCCCCTCATAGCACACTGATGGCGTATGCCCGTCTTCATTAGCCCAGTTCGGAGCAGAACAGTAGGACGTTAAACCCCATTTCATTTTATTCCATTTCTGTATTTAAATGATAGTGGGTTATACGAATTTGGAGATATTGTGATATTTTTAAAAAGTATTAAATTTACCAAGTAACGCTAAGTAATGAAATGAAATGAAATGGGGTTTAACGTCCTACTCTTCTGCACCGAACTGGGCTAATGAAGACGGGCATACGCCATACATTGTGCCATGAGGGAAATTTTGCCCGGGCAGCGGCACTATCGCCTACTCTTACATCGAATTCCAACTGCCAAGGGATCTTTTACGTGCATTCCGTTCTGCACCACTGACAAGGGGAAACCACGTCGGAAAATCCCGATGAACTTTCTCTGCCAATGCAGGTAACGGTAAGTAGACTATGATATTAACACCATTTCTTACACTGTATTTAACCTTCTTTATAGATTTGATCTAGATCCCACAATTAGACATACATTCTGGGGTTTATATTTTGGAAGTCTTGTCCGTGGACTCGGATTCGCATTTAACCAATCCACCTGCCAGAGAATATCTTCAACACCAACCCTTAAAGACGCCTACAAGTAAGAAAGACATTTCAGCCAATCTTATTCCCCCCCCCCCCTTTGAAGAACCTACAATTTCACAAATATAAGTACGATCATTAAACATACATTATGCAAGAGCTTGATCTGCCTACTACAGGCCTTTCTTTAGACCTGAAATATTATAAAAATTATTAATTAGACATTAATTAACTTATCCAGACCATAACCAACTATCGATGTCATCGCTAGCCTGCGATTTTTACTGGATTAGGATCCGATCTTCCGCTCTACGCTCATTCATGATTAAATCAAGAAATGGATAATCGAGACTATATATTTTATAGTATCGAATTGAGTAATGATGATCGAGGCTAGGCTGAAAATTTAATCGCTAAAATCTCGGTTCAGAGTGGATCAATTTGACTGATATTTTCAGCAAATTCCCTTTACATTATCTAGTTTTTAACTATTTTTGTGCGAACTGCCAGCTCTTTATCTAATCTCCCATAATGTATCTTTAATTGGTATGTATTTATGTAAATAGTTGTAAAGATAGATGCCACTGCCAGTGTAAAAACCTGACTAAATATAATACTCATAAATTATCACTATTGATTACACCAACCTAATGACAACTGTCTGATTATTAACAATCTGATTAAAATACAGATCTATATTTCGTTTCGTTTTTTGTATACTTTCGATGACCTACACTACATGAAGATCTGATCAGTTGTACTGGAAGATCGCGTCAGGGGTCGTACGAGCGGCTTTTGACCTCAGACATTGATTGATCAATCAGCGTTGACGTTTATAGGAGTTTACCCACCGTTCCGTGCAGAGAACGCCAAGAACTCACCGTAACAGACCGTTTCATTGGCTAGCTTCTCACATCAACTAGAACTCTTCCAGATCCTAGTGTAGTAAAGACAAGTAAAACGAAATTTAGAACTATAAAAAACGAAACGAAATAGGATCTGTGTTTTAATCAGATTGACTTAACATTTATTTTTATAATGCAGAATGTTATTAATTACGACGCCCAGTCATTTCATTGCTCTGTCTCTGGCGGCATATGAAGGTGTTGTGGCTTATTCCTATTATACAACGCTGAGATGCGATCCATTAGAATCCGACCAGATATCCGACCCTAACCAGGTAAGATAGGGTTGGTGACTACCACTTTTCAATTCTTGCATAGATAAAAATTCACAATTTTTAACATTTGGAAATGTAATGAAATAGGGTTTAACTTCCTTTTGTTCAAGTGGGAAAATTTTAACATTTTGTCGATTTCCGTTATAGCATTGAAAAAAAAAAAGAAAAAAAGGTGGGTGTGTCAGTTGAAAAGTATGCATTATGATACAGAAACACATTTATTTATATCAAATTTGAGATTTTATGTTGACATTTAGATTGGAAATGAATTTTACATCAGAAATAGTAGCTACACATATTGACTGAAAAGTCGGTTATTCAGAAAGCCAATGGGACAAAAAAACGAGGTACCGTGTACACATTGGCATGAATGTAAAAGATCCCCTGACAGTTGGAATTCGATATAAGAGTAGGCCATAGTGCTGCTGCCCAGGCAAATTTTCCATCATATCACACTGTACGGCGTATGCCCGTCTTCATTGGCCCAGTCGGAGCAGAACACTTGGACGTTAAACCCAATTTCACTTCATTTCATTGTGATATACAAAGAACCGCTCAATTCGCTTACTCTGACTACGAGAATCGCCATTATCTACGTCTTCATTCTTGGATGTATGTGCGAGGATTAGTTACAGGAACGAACTTAGTGTTTCCCTCCAATCCCAGGTAGCCATGTTGGTTATTCCTGTTTTGTTTGTATCTTTGTAATATCGATCTGTATCTTTGTAATATCTATTTATATATAGAACCTGTTTATATATTCCACGTGCTAGAAGTTCAGATTATATATTTTGTTTTTAGATCATTCCATTTATGGTAATGGACATGTTCCGAGAGTTACCAGGCATGCCGGGACTCTTTTTAGCATCCCTGTTTAGTGCTTCTCTAAGGCAAGTTTCATTCTTATACCTACAAGAAAATGAAATGGGGTTTAATGTCTGACTCAAATTGAACCATTTTACGTGGGCCTTACTTTTGCGTCAAGTGATGTATTAACCATTATGCGAAATAAGAACGTACTTAGGGCATCCTGATAATGGAGGCACCACAGAAGGTCTGCTTTGTTTGATGCCAAATTTAAAATATTTGATTTCAAATTCAAATAAGAACAGACGATTAGTTTTTTCATTGTTTTTGTCTTTTCATACTGTTACCCGTTTTGTCGCATTTTCGTTAGGCTTGAAATGTTATATATAGAGAATCTCCTACCAGTCTTTTTTGATATCAAAAAAGACGAGTAGGAGATTTTATTTTTCACCCAATCCCTTCTTACATGCACAAATAGATAAATATAATTCTTCGCTGTAGATTTAACTTTTACTGAACATTATGGCGTAGTGATACATCATTTTTTGACAGCAATTCAACCATTGCAAAGTCCTTTATATTGACCCAGTGTTTCCATCAAGGTCAATTGAATAACAATAGTTCATTTTTAATAAAATAAAAGTTACTTTAAATAAGAAATGAAAAATGTATTGAGAATAACTCTTTTGCCAAAAGCGCTTTATTTTTCTGAAAGGGTTCCAATACAATCTCAATCAGCCTACTAAATTTCATAAGATAATCCTCTCATCGCTTAAAAATATAAAAACAAATTGAGCTCTAATGTTCTAATTCACTTAAAGTGGGATGATATTGAATGATTGGAATGTGGTTTAACATCCGTCTTACATGGGGATCCACGGTGGCTAAGCCAGTAAGGTGCTGGCTCGCTATTCTGGAGGTCTCGTGTTCGATTCCAAGAAAGTTCATCGGCATTTTCCAACGTGGTTCATCCTTGTCAGTGGTGGAGGAAGGACGGCCTGACAAGGACAACTCTCTAGTCGTTCGGGTGGGACGGAAAACCGAGGTCCCGTGTATACATTGGCATGCACGTAAAAGATCCCTTGACAGTTGGAATTCGATATAAGCGTAGGCCATTGTGCCGCTGCCCGGGCAAAATTACACTGTATGGTGTATGCACGACTTCACTGGCCCAGTCGGAGCATAACAGTAGGCCGTTAAACCCCATTTCATTTCATTTCCTGCTTACCTGTTGCCTTCAGTAGATTCAGCAACATACATTCCGTCGCATTTCTCTTTTCAGCACTCTATCAACAGGATTAAGCAGTTTGTCGGCTATCATTCTGGAAGATATAGTAAAAGAGATACCAAAATTTAGTGCCTTGTCTGAAATCAAATATACTGTTATCGCAAAAATTTCAGGTAATCCACAATAACTTATGATTCTAAAATATCTTGTTTCTACTCGACTAGACGTAGCCTGTCTGGTAGTGTGACTTTGTGATAAAACAAAAAGTATTAAGTGGTGATAAGTGTTCTAGAAAAAGTAAGCGCACACGGTTTCGAACACGACACCCCAATTTGTTTTTGAAAAAGACAGGATTTCCCCGAGTGAGAGAGAGAGAGAGAGAGAGAGAGAGAGTATTCAACTAATAACAAACTGCGTGGATTTTCTCCGGGTCCTCCGGTTGCTTCCCAATGCTAAAGACCCCTGAAATAAAATTGAACCATATGTTTGCCCCGCGGTTTCCTTCCACTGCTAAAGACCCTACGTGCAAGCGAATTATTGAAATAAAATTGAACCATATGTTAGTCCCGAAATGACCCAGTTTGTGTCGAGTGGACGTTAAACTCTCTCTCTCACTCTCACTCGGGGAAATCCTGTCAGGAATTTTCGTTGATTAGCTTTTCAGTGATAAAATATATTTAAATGGTGCATTCGATGTCTGTTCCTTGTGAGCCTATCAGAATTGACAAATTATCTTTACATACACTATGCCAAACTGATCAGCAGTGAATATTCGCTAGGCCGCTACAATCACAGATGAGGATGACATCGAAGCGACTTGATGAGCCACAATTATATCTTTCCCTCCTACAGAGCCAATGATTGACGCCGCGTGATGAGACGTCACGTGTTGAACACAGTCATCTTTTACAGAGATATTAGAAGACTCTCGTAATACTCTGTGAAACAGATTGACACAATGCACGTTTATTTTTATAGTTATTGTATCAGCCGTAGTTGCTTGTGGTGTGGCCTATATGATAGCACAGGTTGGTGGGACAATGACACAGGTAAATATCACGATATACATCATAATCTTTGTAGTCATTGTAAATCTGTTTTTTTTAAATCAAGTTATCAAAGATCATCTTTTGGAAATAAACATGCTAGCTTTAGATTTCCCGGAGATAAAAATAAAATTGAAGACTACAAAGGGTGTAGTAATATCGTCGTTGCGACATTGTTTTTAAATTTATAGACAAGGAATAGAGATATAAGATGGTTTAATCAATATTTGTATCTTTACAAATTATTCTCTATTGTCAGTATATTAGCTATGGTATGAGTTGATTTAAAACGCAAATTAATTGTTTATGAAATAGTGTGAGAATAACAGGAAAAAGGGTCTAAGTTCAAGGATAGATTGTGTCAAAAAACATGTGACTGGAAATTTACCTATTGCATCATTTGGTTTAGTTTGACCAATCTCTGTAATTATTTACATCATATTTGACCAATTAGATAATTGAAGGTCCAAAACCCAAAGCTACAAAACTATCATATTGGTGGGCGATTGTCAGACAACAGCTTGATTCCAGAAGGGGAAAGATGTAACAGTTTCTGTCAGTAGATTCGCCAAGTCTGCTAGTGTTTGAGAATGACTTTATTATTGTAATCTATACTATGCTTGTATCCATATGTAAGGAGCTATGATATACAAACGTAAAAATGAACTGTTGCATTGTTATAACTACAGAGAAGACAAACGTCGGAAAACAGTAAGAAGTAAATACACAACGTGAAGCAGGAGCAAAGACAGCTAGAGACAAATTCTAGACGATCACAAGGCTATTAAGATATGTAGTAAGAAAAGATGCATGGGTCGTACGTAGGATGTGGCGACGGGTTTGTTAAACGTCCGCTCTCCACGTCTGACTGAAAGGCCCATGGTGCTACAAGGGCAGGGTAAACTACCGAACGAAACCTACGCTGTATCTCTGCATTTAGGACAGAGATCTATTCACACTGATCAGAGGTGAATATTCGCTAGTCCGCTACAATCACTGATAGGGGTGACATCGGTGCGACTTAATGAGACCCAAATATTAACTTTTTTCCTTCTGCAAATTAAATTAAAACATTTTTTTAAGCCTTAGAAAAATAAATAAAGGTGTTTCAAGTATATGTAGGTAAAAATATGCCCTAATTAGTGTAAATGTGTATGTAAAATGAGTAAAAGGCTCCATTCTGCCCGTACTAGTAGCGTCTTATGTAAACACAGCACGCGCCATAAAGCCAATGATTGACGCCGCGTGATGAAACGTCACATGATAAAGCAGTCATCTTTTACAGAGCTGTTAGTCTTCGCAATATCTCTGTGAAACAAATTGGGATCTATTCTTAGAGTACACAGTTCTCCGTGAGTAGAATGGTAAACTAGGCTACATCATGTAGAAATATTCAAATGTATTTCTATAGCATAGCCAATTGATAAGTACAACATCTAGATTGGTATAATACTGGAAATAAACACCAGTTTTTACTTATCTTAAACATACATTATGCAAGCGCTAAATTTGCCTATTGCAGGTCTTTCTTTAGGCCTGAAATGTTATATAAATTATCAAACATACATTATGCAAGCGCATTGCCCATTGCAGATCTTTCTTTAGGCCTGAAATGTTATCTAAATTATTAATTAGACATTAATTAACTTATCCAGACCATAACCAACTCACGTTGTCCTCGCTAGCCTGTGATATTTAGCGGATTGGAATACGTTTTTTGAAAAATAATTAAACGTAAAAATCAATGATCGAGACTTTGTCTTGTATCGTACCGCCTTCATAATGATGATCGAGGCTAGCCAGGCTAGCCTAAATTTCAAAACCTAATATCTCGGTTCAGAGTGGAGCAATTTGACTGAAATTTTCAGCATGTTCTAGTTTTAAATATAATAGCGAGAACTGCCAACTCTTTATCTAATCCCCCACAATTCCCCTTTAAATTTCTTTTTAAATATATTTTCAGATAGCCGGTACACTTATATCAGCGTTTTCTGGACCTCTTACTGGCTTGTTTTTACTGGGGGCTCTGTTCCCTTGGGGTAACGTCAAGGTAAATAATAACTATGGCCATTACTCTTGATCTGGCGTGACTAACTTGTTTATGTTGTCCATCAGTATGTCGAACCACAATCTGATTAAAACACAGATCCTATTTCGTTTCGTTTTTTATAGTTCAAAATTTCGTTTTACTTGTCTTCACAACACTATAAGGAACTGGAAGAGTTGTTATATAACAGGCGTCCTAGTTCATGTGAGGAATTAGCCAAAGAAACGGTCTGTTACGGTGAGTTATTAGCGTTCTGTGGACGGAACTGTGGGTAAACCCCTAGAAACGTCAACGCTGATTGATTAATCAATGTCTGACGTCATAGGGTCAAAAGTCGCTCGTATGACCCCTGACACGTCCTTTTACTACAACCGGACAAATCTTCGTGAAGCGTGAGCCATCAAAAGTATAAAAAAACCGAAATGAAATATAGATCTGTATTTTAATCAGATTGGTCGAACCACAAAAATATTTTTTCCGAATACTCAAGAGAAGGATTATTCATAAGAAACAAATTAATTGCCATCTATTGCGAATTCTGCTATCATACTATAACACTGGCGTCATATTTTTCCGGAATAAGGCAGTTATTAGGCGTACCCAATATCCAGCAACACCCATAGGTACACCATTGTATTACAAATGATACATTTGTTTTGCCGGTGGCCTAATAATCGACAGCAATAATTGTATCTCTATTTGGAGCCGCGGTGGCTCAGTGAGTAAGCTGCTGAGCCGCTAAGGACGAGGTCTGGATCCTTGTTCGCTTCCGGTGTTGGTCGAGAAAGTTCCTTGGTGTTTTCCGGCGTGGTTTCCCCTGATCGTTCGGATAGGAGGAAACGCCGTGCACGTTACAGAACCGTTGAGAGCTGGAATTCTAAATAAGTAAATAAGTGTAGGCCGGAGCCCCTCCGCTCAAACACACTGCATGATGTATGCCCAGACGGTGCAGAAAAGTAGGACGTAAAACCCCATTTCTTTTCTCTATTGTTTAATGTGCTCGAATCCCCGGTTGTACGTGACAAGAAGTAGGGTCGCCTGACTAACCTCGTGGGTTTTCTCCGAGTCCTTTGGTTTCTTTCCACTGCTAAAGACCCTACGCGAAAGCGAATTTTTGATATAAAATTGAACCATATGTTAGTCCTAAACTACCTGGTTTGTGTCGGCTGGACGTTAAACCCTATTTTTTCTCTCTATTAAAAGGGTGCTATGGTGGGGACACTGTTGAGTGTCATATTATGTACATGGCTGGGAATCGGTTCCAGCTTCTCCAAGACACTTCGAAAGGAACCATGGTTACCTGCGGCACCAACTGACCAATGTTTAATAGATAACTCGACATGGGCTATCAACATGACTATCAGTAACCTCACATCACGTGGTGAAGACATGTACACTACAACTACCATTGAAGATGTCACTCAAAGCATTGAACCGTAAGTGTAGTAATAACAGACTTCCTTGTTGTGTTTCCTTTGTGATCATAAATAAAACTACAGGTCAGTTCGCTTCTCCAATTTTATTGTTAAACTGGTTGGCTTCGATCTTAATAAAGCATAGATGATAGCTGCTCCGAATATCTGGGTGAGCTCTAATGCATTTCGCTCAACACCCTCTTTTATAAACCCCTAATAGCCTGATCTTGGCGTTAATTTCCTTCCCAAATATGGAATAAACATCCCCATTCTCCAAAGACCGGGGGTGTGGGGGGGGAGGGGGGAGAACATTACCTTATTTGGTCTACCAAGCACATGTCATAACCAAGATAGTATTTTATGGATATTTTGACAATGGTAAGAATTTTACCAAAATACCTCTGTTTTTATATATATAAATATATCACTCACATTCATTAAGTACGTGTGATTTGACTCTATAGAAAGTGTGAACCAAATAATTAGTTAAACATACGATATGGTCTTAAGGACCATAGCCTTTACCTATAATATTCTTAATTACAAAATGTCTTATGACACCCATTTCTAAATCTCCTTGGGGGCTGGATAACCGAATGGTTAGTGTGTGCGCATTGTATCAAAAGGTGTGTCATTGAGTCAACTGGCGTGGTTTCGATTCCCCGGTTGTATGTGACAAGCAGTAGGATCGCCTGTCCCCCCTCTCTCTCTCTCTCTCGAAGTCTAACATTCGAGTCTTATCAATCATGGGCAAGAACCGACAAGAATATTGGTTGTCAGTAGAGCCCAGAACACCTGACCGACAATGAAAGATATGTCATAGATGTTATTATTGATATGTCATAGATGTTATTATTGATTTTCTGAACAGAAAACTTCAAGAACCAATCCTGAGTTCATAAAGCATTCTCAGACTTAAAGGACCTAATAATTTGGACCTAGATATTGACATAAATGAGTCGCAACGCATATAATGTAATATGAATGAATATAAACTGATTTACATTCAATCGTTTCCCTTTTTTACTCTAATTTCAAATCAGCTATGTTCGGTGAAATACGCCAAAGTCTCAATCGAATGGCAATCCCTAGCGTCTGGTTATTCCAGTCTACATCGAAAGTATTTATTACACATGCCTTCCAGTTAAGAATATGGCGTCACCGTTTGACATGACTTGTGGAAAATGTCGAGCCTCGTTCTTCGAGTCCCTTGTTACAAATGGCGCTGAAACTGAAAATGGTAAAATGTTTATTTTGTCTTAAATATTGGATATCAAAAGCTTGCCTTTTCCTGGTAAGATCACAACATCAATGTTGATTTGAATTGACAAATAATTCGTATTTTCAAAGTGTATGCATTTGGATCGTGTACCATAGTGCGTTTTAGCGTCATTTGCAACAAGCGACCAGAAAGAACGAGGCTAGACATATTCAACTGGACAACCTGCTCAATAGACTGGAATAACCAGACGCTAGAAATTGCTATAGGGTTGAGAACTTGAGACACTGGCCGTATTTCGCTGGACATAACTGATTTGAAATTAAAAGTCAAAACGGAAACAATTGAATGTAAATCAGTTTATATACAATCAGATTACATTATTATATGCGTTGCTACCCATTTGGGTCAATTTCTAGGTCCCAAATATTAGCGATTTAGCTCCTTTAAATCTGAGAATACTTTGTGGACTCAGGCCCCAGTTGTGTAAATTAATACCCTGCTACAGTTATTGAAGTGTTCGCATACATAGAAATTAAAACTTTTTTTCGTTTCCTAGATTTATTAAATCAACATTTCTTTCTGTTTCAGACAGGGTTTAGATAAAATGTATTCCTTGTCCTATACATGGTTTGGTGCTATTGGTGTTATAACGGCCATGGTGGTCGGTTCAACATTAAGTCTTTTAACTGGTCTGTATTATATACTCTTCAGATACCATTGTCTTATTATGCAATGGCACATCATTCTATAATACTACTGTAGCTTTTTTTAACAAATGAACGGCTATTTTTAACACTAAAGAACCGCGGTGACTCAATGAGTAAGTTGTTGACTCTCTTAACTGTAGGGGTCGGGAGGATGGCTGAATGGTTAGCCTGCGCGCGCTGTATCATAAAGTCTGTCATTGAGTCGACTGGCGTGGTTTCGAATCCCCGGTTGTACGTGGCAAGGAGTAGGGTCGCCTGTCCAACCTCGTGGGTTTTCTCCGGGTCCTCCGGTTTCCTCCCACTGCTAAAGACCCCTACGCGCAAGGGAATTATTGAAATAAAATTAAAAACCATATGCTAGTCCCGAAATGACCTAGTTTGTGTCGAGTGGACGTTAAACCCCATCTCTCTCTCTCTCTCTCTCTCTCTCTCTCTCTCTCTCTCTCTGGCTTTTTTAACAAATGAGCGGCTATTTTTAACACTAATGAACCGCGGTGACTCAATGAGTAAGTTGTTGACTCTCTAAACTGTATGTCCTGTGTTCCATCCCGGCATGATTCCCCTTTTCAGCGGGCCTGGCAAGGGACAACGTATAGTCGTTCGGATGAGTTCACCGAGATCCCATGTACACATTGATGTGCACGTAAAAGATCCCTTGGCAGTTATAATTGTCGCTCTCGGACAAAATTTCCCTCAAAACACAATGTATGGGCAATGTCTTTCTTCTGTAGCATAATCGGAGCAGAACAGTAGGACGTTAAACCCCATTTCATTTCATTTCGTTATAGGAATAGTAAATGAAATGGGGTTTAAAGTTCTACTGTTCTGCTCCTAACCTGGGCTAATGGAGACGGTCATACGCCATGCAGTGTGCCATGAGGGAAATTTTGCCCGGGCAGCGGCACTATCGCCTACTCTTATATCGAATTCCAACTGCCAAGGGATCTTTTACGTGCATTCCAATGTATACACGGGACCTCGGTTTTTCGTCTCATCCGAATGACTAGACAACTGTCCTTGACAGGCCCTCCGTCCTGCATCACTGACAAGGGGGAAACCACGTCGGAAAATCTGGAGGAACTTTCTCGGCCAATGCAGGGATCGAACACCCGACCTCTAGGCTAGCGAGCCAGCGTCTTAACCACCCAGCCATATAGGAATAGTTGTTGTAACAAAAGTATGGGTTAACATTATTTCTCAATTGTGATTGGTAGATAAATGTGTCCGACAAACGCATTTCCGGCGTCGACGAACCCCAATCTGGAAATCAAGTTGTCCATAAAGGCATGACCAAACGACGCCGTCATAAAACCCTATTTCGGAGTGCTTACTGTGTCTGTGATATTCATTTCAGTTTTTAAACAGGGGCAACATTGGTACCTACTATATAGGAAAAGGGTTGTTCGGATGGGACAAAAAACGAGGTACCGAGTACACATTGGTGTGCATGTAAAAGAACCCATGACAGTTGAAATCGAAATACGAGTAGGCCGTAGCGCCGCTGCCCGGGCAGCCCGGGACAAAAAACGAGGTACCGAGTACACATTGGTGTGCATGTAAAAGAACCCATGACAGTTGAAATCGAAATACGAGTAGGCCGTAGCGCCGCTGCCCGGGCAAAATTTCCCTCATAGCACACTGTATAGCATATACCCGTCTTCATTAGCCCAGTCGGAGCAGAACAGTAGGATATTAAACTCCCATTTCATTTCATTTCAATAAAAGGGAAAGTAGGCCTCTTCAACAATTTGATTAAAATACAGATCTATATTTCGTTTCGTTTTTTTTTATACTTTCGTTGAGCTACACTACATGAAGATCTGACAAGGTGTACTCGAAGGTCGTGTCAGGGGTCGTAGGGGCGGCTTTTGACCTTAAGACGCCAGACATTGATTAATCAATCGGCGTTTGACGTTTCTAGTGGTTTAGCCACAGTGCCGTGCATGGCAAGCCAAGAAGTCGCCGTAACAGACCGTTTCATTGGCTTATCCCTCACTTCAACCAAAACGCCGGTAATATAACAACTCTTCCAGATCCTAGTGTAGTAAAAAAAAAAAAAGAAAAACGAAATTTTGAACTATAAAAAACGAAACGAAATAGGATCTGTGTTTTGATACTTTTGGATAGATATATTTGAAGAATTAGTTTTACTTACAGCATTACAGCATTGGAACTATAAAAAAAAAAAAAAAGAAACGAAATAGGTTCTGTGTTTTAATCAGATTGGCCTCTTCATACTCCCGAGTTTTATTTTATATGTTAATAAATATGTTTTTTACAGGTCCTATGGCACATAAAGATTTAGATACACGTTATATACTACCTTTTGTACCCAAACTAACGGGTTGCTTACCTGATGTCATCAGACATTACCTTCGTTGTGATTTAGATTTTACTAAAACAAAGGTATGACATTAATCTAATATCAAACTGCACTCAGGCCCATGTGTAGTACTATCAGATCTTTAATCTTCACGTTGTGTTGTTTTCCGTGACGAAATTACAACTACAGTTCAGGTTCTTTTCTTAAATAGTCTATTTCTATAAACTGGAAGCGTTATACACAATTCTTCCTAGTCTCAAATAACTAAATGGCTGGTAGGACCGGCGGGGTGGGCTCTCTCGAATGTTATTTCCCCACTTTATTTTATAGGTGCCTATTCCTTTGTTTGAGGTCTTAATCTAAAGACCGATAACAGCTAAGTTCTCAATATGGAAAGGACATGCACCCCAAACTGAATATCGATCGACAGGGGTTGTTACCTGATTTGGTCAACAAATATATATATGTTTTATAACAAAGAAAAATGTAAATGACCAACATGTTCATTAATCTATAGCTTAGTTAGCGTATCACAATAACCAGCACATACGTCCTATATATATTTTTATGAAGTTAGAATCAATAATATGAAAGATAATATTATTCCAGCCATCATATTTCTCCATTCTTTGTCTTTAGTTAGACCCCATGTTCTGTTATTGTCACAATATTTCAAAAACAATTTTAATTTGCGTGTCTAGTCGTTCGGATGGGACGAAAAACCGAGGTCCCGTGTACACATTGGCGTGCACGTAAAATATCACTTGGCACTTGGAATTCGATATAAGAGTAGGCCGTAGCGCCGCTGACCGGGGTTGATTTCCCTCATAGAACACTGTGGCGTATGCCCGTCTTCATTAGCCCAGGTTAGGAGCAGAACAGTAGGACGTTAAACCCCATTTCATTTCATTTAATATGCGTTTCAGAATACCATAGCTAATATTTTTTGAAATGGAGAATAATTAATAAAACATATGTATCTATCAAATAATAAGTCGTGCATTCTGATGCAACTATACTCGTCCAATACTATTTCGCATAAATTATCAAATAGTATTACACATAATTTTGCATGAGGAAAAAGAACCCGACCGGGTCACCAAAACACAATATTATATGTATGTGCACTATTGGATGACCGGAGGGTTATCGTGTGCGCGTTGTATCACGCAGGTCTGTCACTGAATCAACTGGCGTGGTTTCGATTCTCGTTTGTACGTGACAAGGAGTAGGGTCGCCTGTCCAACCTCGTGGGGTTTCTTCGGGTCCTTCGATCGGTTTCCTCCCACTGCTATAGACTCCTACGCGCAAGCGAATTATTGAAATAAAATCGAACCATGTGATGGTCCCGAAATGACCTAGTTTGTGTCGAGTGGACGTTAAACCCCACTTCCCTCTTTCTCTCCCTCTTTAACGTTTTATGTTTTATTATTCAGGTTGAAAAGTCAGAGAAATCTGTGGTTGGACTGGAACTTAATATTGAGAAACCACTGAAACCGGAAGAAATGGTGCTGTTGAATGGCGACGATGAAGCTAGAAATCACCATGCATAGATATTTTTGGTTATATTATTTTTTATACAGTGGACCTAGATCAAATCGTTTCTTGGTATAATGTGCAGGAAATGATATTGTACTGTCAGTGATTAGCTATTAAAATAGTTTCTAGTGTATATTTCTACTTTCGATTCCAGCAACACTGTTATAGGCCTATAAACTATAATACATACTTATGGAACAACAATTTCAACGTTTTCAAGAAAATAAAATAAGAGGGAGAGAGAGAGAGAGAGAGAGAGAGAGAGAGAGAGGGGGGGGGGTGAGGGCTCCGTCCACTCGAAACACAAACTAGGTCATGTGTACATTTTAACAGAATATAAGATAATTTTCTATTTTATATAGGACCATTAACATTTATAGGATTATATTTTTAGAAATATATTTTTTATACGCCTACATTTCTTATGGAAGTATATTGTCGCCACCCCTTCCGTCCGTGGGTCCATCCACATTACTTGCGATTTTTCTGTTCAAATTAAGTTAATGCCCCTGTCACCGAAACACTCTACGATCCACAGAATATGCAATTTTTAAAAAAAAACTATCGGAGGAAAGATTATTTGCAGAGTTACTGCCCCTGACACCGAAAACCTGTATTTAGATGGGGTTTTGTTTTCAAACTTACCGGGATTATTAGGCTAATCATAAGGCACAGTATATGCGAGTTTAAAAAAAAATCGCAGGAATGATTATTTGTAGAGTCACTGACCCTGACACCGAAAACATGTATTTAGATGGGTTTTTATTTTCAAACTTACCGGGATTATTTGGCTAATCATAAGGCGTAGTCGGGTCAAAGTTCAGTCTTGCCAATCAATTGTATTCTGAGTTATTGACCCTGAAAACTTGAAATGAATTGGAGTTTAACGTCCTACTGTTCTGCTCCTAAACTGGGCTAATGAAGACGGGCATACGCAATACAGTGTGCTATGAGGGAAATTTTGCCCGGGCAGCGGCGCTATGGCCTACTCTTATATCGAATTCCAACTGCCAAGGGATCTTTTACGTGCACGCCTATGTGTACAAGGGACCTCGGTTTTTCGACCCATCCGATCGACTAGACAGCTGGCCCTCCGTCTTGCATTACTGACAAGGGAAAACCACGCAGGAAAATCGGGATGAACTTTCTCGACCAATGCAGGGATCGAACACCCGACCTTCAGGCTAGCGATCCAGCGTTTTACCCACTTAGTCAATGAAAACTTGAAAGCCACCATTCAAAATGTTGGTTGGTTGCTATATAATGTTATCTGTCAATGTTATGTTCACTCATGTACAAGTAATTTGATATTAATATAATATCACAATTCATATCTATGTTTATATTTAAAAAACTAAATATTATTTTCGTTGATTTAGTCACGGCTTCGACATAATGACTGATCCTTATTCAGGGTAGCCTAATAGATAATTTTGCAAAGGGCTTAACATACATTATGCAAGAGCTAAATCTGCCTATTGCAGGTCTTTCTTTAGACCTGAAATGTTATCTAAATTATTAATTAGACATTATAAACTAATCCAGACCACGATCAACTCTCGGTGCCATTGCTAGCCTGCAATATTTACTGGATTAGGATCAATATCAGATAGTGAACTCAATAGGGACAATCCTACCGTAACACATCGTACGTATCACATCGCACGACAGTAGGAACGTAGAGTTTACAAATCTTTATGGACTAATCACACAATAGGCAGTAGAACGGCTAAAATGAAGTCTGTTGCACATCACGTCTGATTTATAATAAATCTTGGGGGTCGGGATGGCCCAGTGGTCTAGAGTGTTGCGCTTCAACCTCTAGATGGCCGGTCACCTCTGGCTTGCGTTTGTAGTTTCGATCCTTGGTGTGAGCCTACGTTGTTTGGAGATAGGGGCGCTTTCTCAACCTCGTGGGTTTACTCCGGGTACTCCAGTTTCTTCCCACTGGAAAGACCCCTACGGCTGGGCTAAGATTATAAAAATGAAAATAAGACAAGTTATCTGGGATATCAGGTGTGGTGGAAGCGGACGTTAAACACTAAGAACAGGTATATTTATAACATAGTCCTTTGGGTTGAATTTGTCACTTTATCTTCTGTGTAAATATGCCCTTTATAGCACCTTCGTATAAATTATGGAGGGCCAGACAAGGACAGCTGTCTAGTCCTTCGGATGAGAAGAAACCAGGGTCCCGTGTATATATTGGAATGCACATAAAAGATCCCCTGGCAGTTGGAATTCGATATAAGAGTAGGCGATAGTGCCGCTGCCAGGGCAAATGTCCCTAATAGCACACTGTATGGCGTATGCCCGTCTTCATTAGCCCAGTATAGGAGGAGAACAGTAGGACGTTAAACCCCATTTCATTTCATTTTATTTCGTATAAATCGGCAGATACATTCTGAGGTCTATATTATATGGGGTTTTATAGCTTTGGTTGCCATGAAACTTAATTCAAAGCCCATGTCTCTGATTCAGAAATATAAAATTATAGAGAGAGAGAAATGGGGTTTAACTTCTACTCGGCACAAACTAGGTCATTTTGGGACTAACAACTGGTTCAATTTTATTTCAATAATTCGCTTTAGCAGTGGGAGAAAACTGCAGGACCTACGGAAAACCCACGAGGTTGGACAGGCGATCCTACTTCTTGTCGCATACAACCGGGAATCGAAACCACACCAGTTGACTAAATGACAGACCATATGATACAACACGCACATGCTAACAATTCGTCCATCCACCCCCCACCCCACCCCTCTTTATTATAAAGTTGTCATGTGACATATCACATCAAATCTATTTATTACAAAATAATAAAGGAACAATTATAAATAAATATTTTATTCAACCTAAAAAAAAGATATTACATATGATACATGATTGTTTACAAACAATGAACGCTAACCCTAAACAAATAATCAATTATCTTTTTACACAAAAGAAAATCAATACATTTGGAAGCATCTTAAATCATTTTTTTTTATTTATTTAGCTCATCAAATGACTATCAAATGTGAAACCATTATTTTAAATCACTTTATGAAATTCATAACTTTCACAATAGTCTTGCGAATTTAAACCCAATTATAAAATTATGAAAGAGGAATTAAGGTTTAATATCATATAGTGGGTTAACATCTTGCATAGGACCTACATATTCACACTTTTTTTTAGGTTTTATATGGTTTATCAGTAGGTAATTTAAATAGAAATCCTGTAGAAGAAACACTCCACTCCTTGTCACATATACCTTCACACACCGTATTAGGCAGGGAGATGGTTATGAGAATCAATAGGAGAGACAGAATGAGGTTTAACATCCACTTGACACAAACTATGTCATTTCGGGACCAACATATGGTCCAATTTTTATTTCATTGATTCACTTGCGTGTATGGGTCTTTAGTAGTGGGAGGAAACTGGAGTGCCCGGAGAAAACCCCCGAGGTTGGACAGGCAACCATACTCGTTGTCACGTACAACCTGTGAATCGAAACCACGCCAGTTGACTCACTGACAGACCTTATGATACAGCACGTACACACTAACCATTCGGCCATCCAACCCCCCAAGAATCAAAAGGAACCAAAGTTGAAAATATTTGGCACAAGAGCTTTTATTTTTCATGCTGCATCAAAATGGAACAATTTTCAAGAATTCATCAAAATTGCTCCTTCTATTGAGTTTCTTTAAATCCAGACAATACAAAACATAGCTATTTAAACGTTATATTTAAACATACATTATACAAGAGCTGAATCTGCCTATTGCAGGTCTTTCTTTAGGCCTGAAATGTTATCTAAATTATTAATTGGACATTAAGTAACTTATCCAGACCATCATCATCTCTCGATGTCAACACTAGCCTGCGATATTTACTGGATTTGGATCCCATTTGCTGCTCAACTTTCATTCATGATTTAATCATGAAATGGATAATCAAGACTATGTCTTTTTTATCGTACCGACTTTAGTAATGATGATCAAGGCTTTGTCGAAAATTCAATTGCTAAAATCTTGGTTCAGAGTGGATCAATTTGATTGAAATTCCCTTTACATTATGTAGTTTTTAACTATTATAGTGAGAACTGCCAGCTCTTTATCTAATCTCCCATAATGTATGTTTAATATAAACATTGTAGCATACTTTAAGTGTGGAATTAGCACTATACCAGTATTCATATTATATTAGAATTAAGGTAATTTCAAATGTCCTTATATCATAAAAGTTAGAATTATGTAGTAATATTATGTGGTAATATTATGGCCTTAATTAATAATTGTTTATAGATTTATAGACAAGCAAAATAACACCTGAAACAAGAGAAATCTACATGAATTGAACTAAAGGTTAATTTGTCATATGTCATCTTCATGTCTGTTGACCAAATTTAGTAATAAGTGTTAGTCCCTACCAGAGTGCAAGGTATGGGGCATGTCTACTCCATATTTGGAATCTAGGACTGTGGTCAGTCTATGGGCAAACCATTAGGTAGTGGGGGGATAACATTCGACAGAACTCACACCGCCTGTCATATCAGCCATATACTTATTTGAGAACGAGGAAGATTAGTGACTAACGCTATAAGTTTTTATACAATAAAAGAATCTGGACTGTAGTTATAGTTTTAGTCAACGAAGTCATGGCAATGTGAAGCTTAAAGATCAAATAGTACTACAATTAGAAGAGAAGATAACCCATAATGTTTCACGTCAATGTTTTTCGCTAGAGTAATGTATTCCAGGTTGAGGGTTTAGCACTTGTTGTTGAATCTAAAATTGATTTAAAGATAATTAGTGTCTAAGTTTGGTTTTAATCATGGATTTCCTCTAAGATCATGCCAGAATTTCATCACCTCTTGCCTTTTACCCCATATTAATTCTCGTCCATAACGCATGTACCAGCTGAAAGATGGAAAAAAATTTATACAAATAAATCTATATGTCACTGTGAGTGAGCGATATTCACCATTAATGAAAGAGAGGGAGGGGAGAGGAGCAGGGAAGAGAGAGAGAGAGAGAGAGAGAGAGAGAGAGAGAAATGGGGTTTAACATCTACTCGACACAAACTAGGTCATTCTGGGACTAACATATGGTTAATTTTATTTCAATAATTCGCTTGCGTGTATGGGTCTTTAGCAGTGGGAGGAAAACGGAGGACCCAGAGAAAACCCACGAGGTTGGACACAGAGAGAGAGAGAGAGAGAGAGAGAGAGATGGGGTTTAAGTCCACTCGACACAAACTAGGTGATTTTGGGCTAACATATGGTTCAGTAGGGGTCTTTAGCAGTGGGAGGAAACTGGTGTACCTGGAGAAAACCCATGAGGTTGGACAGGCGAACCTTACTCCTTGTCACATACAACCTGGGAATCGAAACAAGGCCACATGACTCATGACAGATTCGATGATTTTAAGGTTCACCCAACCCCACATTAGGTTTCATGTAACTTTTTCTAATTTTCTGATTAGATAGATGGTCACTAGATATTGACAGGTGGCCAACAGACGGTAAATTTATGAAACAGAACACCAATATAACAATAGGAAATCAAAATGAAATGAAATGGGGTTTAACGTCCTACTTTTCTGCACCAACTGGGCTAATGAAGACAAACATACGCCATGCAGTGTGCTAACAGGGAAATTATGTCTGGACATTTACGTTACCGTCAACGATTATTTTACGTGCACGGCAATGTGTACACAGGACCTCGCATTTCTCGTCCCATCCAAAATGACTTTACACTGTCCCTTTCCAGGCCTACACCATTGACAAGGGGGAACCACGGCGGAAAATCCCAATGAACTTCCTCGGCTAACACTGGTATCGAAGACAGGACCTTCAGGTTAGCGAGCCAAAGTCTTACTCAATGGTGGTTTACCCTTGTCAGTGATGCAGGGCCTGACAAGGACAGCTGTCTAGTCGTTCGGATGGGACGAAAAACCGAGGTCCCGTGTACACATTGGCGTGCACGTAAAAGATCCATTGGCAGCTAGAATTCGATATAAGAGTAGGCCGTAGCGCCGCTGCCCAGGCAAAATTTCCCTCATAGCACAATGTATGGCGTATGCCCGTCTTCATTAGCCCAGGTTAGGAACAGAACAGTAGGACGTTAAACACCATTTCATTTCATTTCTTACTCACTGAACCACAACGACTTCCTATCTGACCATAGCTAGATGATCTACATGTACTTACATTCCAAAGAATATGCCTCCTAAATGTGCTGCATGATCAAACATTTTCCATCCCATAACAAGTCCTACTAAATCTAATAAGATAATTCCTTTCATCCCCTAAAAATATACAAAATTTAAATATTTTTGGTAAAATGTATGGATGACCAAACTGCTCTTTATTCAGTCTTCTTAAATCTCTTATGACAAATGTCTAATTTGTAAAACAAATAATGATTTTAAGATGCAGATGTTAATTTAAGAGTACAAATGTCGAAATACAACAACAAATGAAGAAATAAGATTTAAGGACTATGAATAAATAAATAGGGACTAAGAACACTGAATAAAGAGCTGTTTTGTCTTCCATAAAATGTACTAATTCATTTATACTGAAATGAAATTGGGTTTAACATCCTACCTTTCTCTACATACTGGTAGGAGAAAGAGAGGGATGGGGTTTTAACGTCTAGTCCATTCGATACATACTGGGTCATTTTGGGATTAAAATAGGGTTCAATTTTATTATTTCAATAATTCGCTTGACCCTAGGGGTCTTTAGCGAGAGAGAGAGAGAGAGAGAGAGAGAGAGATAGAGTTTAACCGACTCAAACTAGGTCATTTCAGGACTAACATATGGTTTAATTTTATTTCAATAATTTGCTTGTGCATAGGAGTCTTTAGCAGTGGGAGGAAACCGAAGACCCCGGAGAAAACCCACGAGGTTGGACAAGTGACCCTACAACCGGGGATTCGAAACCACGTCAGTTGACTCAATGACAGGCCTTATGATTCGAAACCACGCCAGCTGACTCAATGACAGGCCTTATGATACAGCACACATGTGCTAACCATTCGACCATCCACCCCCCCCAGGGGATCTTTAGCAGTGGGAGGAAACCAGAGGACCTGGACAAAACCCACGAGGTAGGACAGGTGACCCTACTCCTTGTCACGTACAACCAGGGAATCAAAACCACGCCAGTTGACTCAATGACAGTCCTTATGATACAACGTGCACACGCTAACCATTCGGCCATCCACCCCACCCCCCCTCGATGTTGGACAGGCAGTCTGAATCGCGGGGAATCAAAACAATGGCATTTAACTCAATGACAGACCTTATGATACAATGTGCATGCGCTAACCATTCAACCATCCAACCTTCCCCCCTCTGTAAAGAATGAACAGTTAGATATACTTACACTATCAGCGGAGAAAGAATGAGGTATAATATCACCAACAAAAGCTATACTAAGTCTGGAATCAGGGTAACTATAACATATTGCTCCTAATATAGCCATCAAGGCTCCCGACTACAAAATAATAATAATAATAATAGAATAGAATTTAATTAACAGATCATTTTCACAAAATTAATTAACAGATCATTTTCATAAATTTAATTAACAGATCATTTTCATAAATTTAATTAACAGATCATTTTCATAAATTGAATTAACAGATCATTTTCATAAATTTAATTTTCATAAATTGAATTAACAGATCATTTTCATAAATTGAATTAACAGATCATTTTCATAAATTGAATTTTCATAAATTGAATTTTCATAAATTGAATTAACAGATCATTTTCATAAATTGAATTTTCATAAATTGAATTAACAGATCATTTTCATAAATTGAATTAACAATTCATTTTCATAAATTGAATTAACAGATCATTTTCATAAATTTAATTAACAGATCATTTTCATAAATTTAATTAACAGATCATTTTCATAAATTTAATTTTCATAAATTTAATTAACAAATCATTTTCATAAAATTTAATTAACAGATCATTTTCATAAAATTTAATTGACAGATCATTTTCAGTTTTTTATTATGAAGGAAGGAATCAATATTATAAATTGTATATCTATAACGTCGTCCACTGATTATTCATATGATCCAATATCTATAAATAAATACTTACAGCCCCAACTGATGGAAAAAAACGTTTTCTCATAAATTTATTCAAAATACTAGTCATAGATGATACAGTTGCTGAAAAACAAAATAAAAATTGGCCTATTAAATGTGTTCCCATGAGTATATCGCATCTAGTCCATCCCTACATGGGTGAGCATGTAAAATAACCCTTGACAACTGTAATTCAAAGACAGCAAAAGTATAAACTTACCCCCACTTAAGTAAACTGCTAAGAACTGTTCCTTTCCTAATAATTGTATAGCTACACCAGCGAAAGAACATAGTACATACATATTTACTGCAAAATGCATGAAACTATGCTGACTAAATGACGAGAGAATCATCGACATAGCTGGTTTACCTAAAACAAAAATATTCATACATCATGCAAGAGCCAAATCTGCCTATTGCAGGTCTTTCTTTAGGCCTGAAATCTTATATAAACTATTAGTTAGACATTAAAAAACTTATCCAAACCATAATCAACTCTCGATGATAGATTTTCACTGTATTTGAATCCGATTTGCTGCTCAATGCTCATTGATAATGATTAAATCAAAAAATTGATAATCGAGACTATGTTTTTTATGGTACCAACTGACTTTAGTAATGATGATTGAGTTTTTATGAATTTTTAAACAAAGCTTTGACATTAAACAAATATGAAAGAAATTAGTGCTAGATTCACAAGATTAAATGATACCCAGATTACAGCGTCAAATGTCTAATTCTATAACTTTTCTCACAAATAACTCTCTTTATTTACCTTAAAATAATAATTTTGAGTAAGTTTTACAAACCTGTTGAACAAGCAAAATATCTAAGAAGAAATGAATGTAAATTAGGAGCCCGCCATAATAAAAATACAGCTAAATTACAACAAACTATACCATAAGTTAACTTCTGACCAGGTGAAATCTGATTCCATATTGAATTAACCTGTAAATAATACATCATTACTATAAAGCTAAGCTTCAGTTAAATTTAGTGGGTGATTTTATATCCCCCCACCAATACTTTGCTAGGAGGCAAATGCCGAGTGGGTGATTTTTTGTTCTCCTAACAGTCTTCTGTGTACGGAATTATCTCAATTTGAATCTAAACTAAAGTCTCATTTGTTTAGATAGAGAGAGAGAAATGGCATTAAATGTCCACTCGACACAAACTAGGTCATTTTGGGACTAACATGTTTCAATTTTATTTCAATAATGTGCTTGCACGTAGGTGTGTTTAGCAGTGGGAGGAAACTGGAGGACCCAGAGAAAATCCATGAGGTTGGACAAGCGACCCTACTCCTTGTCATGTACAAGCAGGAAATCGAAACCACACCACTTGACTCAATGGCAGGCCTTCTGATACAACATGCATACGTTAACCATACATCCACGTACCCCCCTCATCTGTTTAGATAATTATACAATGTGTGTATCATGGTATATATAAGCTTATACAGCACTTAGCAACATTATCTACTATATCACCTAAGGTGGAAGTGGATGTAAAACTCTAGAAACGAACGAATATGATTTACTCAGACTTTCTCCTTTCAATGAGATTTACCTTGGGCATTTCCCTACGACGACATTGTGTCTTACCCAAATCAAACTGGATCAGGCCTATCTCCAATGACTTCCTCTAGTAAGTTTCTTAGGAAACACTTGTCTACGATATCACCCATGGTGGAAGGGGACGTAAAACTCTAGGAACGAACGAACGAACTTAGCAACAACTATTGTTATATAGCACATTAAAAATGAAATTATAATAATAATAATAATAATGCAATCTGACTAAAATACAGATCTATATTGCGTTTCGTTTCTTAATACTTTCCATGGCCTACACTATGAAGATCTGACCAATTGTTTTGGGGCCGCGTCAGAGGTCATACGAGCGGCTTTTGACCTCTGACCTCAGACATTAGATTAACCAAACAGCATTGATGTTTCTAGTAGATTACCCACAGTTCCATGCACCTCACACTAAAATTTCGCTGTAATAGATCATTTCATTGGCTAATCCCTCACATCATCCAGAACACGTCTATGATAACAACTCTTCCAGATCCTAGTGTAGTAAAGACAAGTAAAACAAAATTTTGAACTATAAAGAAACGAAACGAAATAGGATCTGTGTTTTAATCAGATTGAATAATAATGGTATTTTGCTGTAATTGGCGATCAGAGGCTCTGACTTACATGCTCTCTAAAACCATAATTCTTAAAAGTTTTCTGAAAATGTATTTTTCGCTCTTCCGCATGGTTCATCATTTTTTTGGCATGGTATCTTATATTTTCATAATTCCATATCATAGCACCAACAAAACTGCTACCACAAGCCTGTAATTTAAATTTTTGCTTTTTAAAAAGAGACAAGATGTATAACAGGTCTGCCCCATTAAAACTTTGACTGACGATCAAATGCTGATATGTTAACACTACATTAGCAAGATATAATTATAAACAATGTGCTCACTAATCAGCAAGTCAGGGGTTCATTTAATACATGAAATGAAATGGGGTCTAACTTCCTACTGTTCTGCTCCGACTGGGCTAATGAAGACAGACATACGCCATACAGTGTGCTATGAGGGAAATGAGGCACTATGACCTACTCTTATATAGAATTCCAACTGCCAATGGATCTTTTATGTGCACGCCAATGTATACACCGGGCCTCAATAGTTCGTCTTATCCGAATGACTAGACAGCTGTCCTTGTCAGGCCCTCCATCCTGCACCACTGACATGGGGAAACCATGTTGGAAAATCTTGATGAACTTTCTCAGCCAATCCATTGATTGAACACGCGACTTCCATGCTAATGAACCAGCGTCTTACCCTCTTAGCCACCGTGGCTACATCAGGGGTTCAATCTTGGTGTTGGTCGAGAAAGTCTCCCAGAAGTGTTGATCGAGAAATTTCCCAGCATGGTTTCCTCTTGTCAGTAGGTGCAGGACAGAGGACCTGGCAAGGACAATGTCTAGTGGTTTAGACGGGATTAATATCTGGATCTTGATGAAGAGAGATATATATATTTATCAAATGTGCCTTTGAAGAAGATCTGTTCAGACACTATTTTGGTAGCCAAGTATCTCAAAGTAACAATATTGTTTTCCTTTTATAAAAAAAACAACAATGTCAAGTTTTTTGCATGGAGTTAAAACATACTATACATGGTCATCTGAATCTTATAAATTTTCCCGTTTTACAAATACAATATTAGACATGAGAGAGAGAGACAGAGACAGAGAGAGTTTAACGTCCACTCGATCACAGACTAGGTCAGTATTTCGGGACTAACATTTGGTTCAATTTTATTTCAATAATTAGTTTGCGCATCAGGGTCTTTACCAGTGGGAGGAAATCGGAGGACCGAAAGAAAACCCATGAGGTTGGACAGGCAACCCTACTCCTTGTCACATACATCCGGGGAATCAAAACCACGCCAGTTGACTCAATGACAGACCTTATGATACAACGCGCATGTGCTAACCATTCGGCCATCCAAGCCCCCAGGATAAGAAAGCTCTCATTCTTAAATAAATTAGCTGATTACTAAAATAATGATTAATAAAATAATGTTATGGACATGTACATTTTTTAGTATTTGTCAGAGCACAAGAGTGGGACGTTAAATCCCATTTTATTTCTGCATACTCAACAGTATTTTTAAAGGCTGATTAATGATAAAAAATTAATGTACTCTGGCTTGCATAGACTAATTGCTGCTTAAAATGAATTGTTTTCAAACGTTTTTTGGAGAACATGTGTGAGGTTTCGGACACAGTAAGAAATGAAATGAGATCAAATGGGGTTTAACGTCCTACTGTTCTGCTCCTATACTGAGCTAATGAAGACGGGCATACGCCATACATTGTACTATGAGGGAAATTTTGCCCGGACAGCGGACTACGGCCTACTCTTATATCGCATTCCAACTGCAAAGGGATCTTTTACGTGCATGCCAATGTGTACACAGGACCTCGGTTTTTCATCTCATCCGAATGACTAGACAGTTGTCCTTGTCAGGCCCTCCGTTCTGCATCACTGACAAGGGGGACCTACATCGGAAAATCTGGGTGAATGATACAGTAAGAGTAAGCACTTAGCTGTATATAATGTTTTTACAATATGCAAAGAAGGGACAGAAATTTACATATATCGATTGATAACATACATATTGCTACTTTAGAGAAGCACATGCACCCACAATTTAACATTAGTACTCCAACCTTCTAAACTCACTAGAACTGTAAAGCCAAATGGCCTGATAAGTTGAGAAAATCTTGATGGTTCATTTGACTCTAAGTTGTTTTGTTTTAGACGAGATATTTTTATCGTTTCTTCTCTGTTTTTTCGACTTATAAAACTTCTGTACTGCATGGAAAGATTGTCTTTTAAATTTAAACGGTTGGATTTGGGGATCTGCTTGGCTATCTGTCTTGAGGTGCTGAATTGACATCCTGTTTTTACACTTTGATTTATTCTGAGCCTAAAAGAAAATACACAAATTATTTTATAAATAATTACCCTGAACTCTAGTCTCTAATATAGGCCTAAATCTCCAAATAGAGTTCTTTGTAACACATTTGCCACCACGATATAGATAAAAATTGTGCAAAATACATTTAAAGTAGCTAAGTCTCTAACTCAATATCATCAAAAATCTTCGACATTGAAAACACGAATTATTTGTCAATTCAAATCAACATCTTGTGATCTTACAGGGAAAGGATGGGCTTCTGATATCCAATATTCAAGACAAAATAAACATTTTGTCTTTGGTACACGAATCATGTACCATAATGCGTTTCAGTGCCATTTGGAACAAGGGACTCAAAGAACGAGGCTAGACATATTCCACAAGTCATGTCAAATGGTGACGCTATATTCTTATCTGGAGAGCATGCGCAATAAATGCCATCGGTTTACACTGGAATAACCAGACGCTAAAGATTGTCTTCAATTGAGACTTCTGGCGTATTTCGCCGAACATAACTGATTAGAAATTACAGTAAAAACAGAAACGATTGAATGTAAATCAGTTTAATACATTCATATTACATTATTATATGCGTTGCGACCCATTTGTGTCAATTTCTAGATTCCAAATATTAGCGATTTAGCTCCTTTAACATTAATCACTTGTGCTCTTTGCCATATTTTTTTTTTATTGAAAATATATCTATTGTACTCAAATTTTCGTAGCTGGTTGGCCAATTCATGACTAATGCAACATCATTTTAGGCATTCTGCAAACTGAGGCACCATGAGATGCTAATTAATGTATGTAGTTAGCTATTTATTATGAAGATTTGAAGAACTATATACATGTATGGGGTTATTTTGAACAGTATTTTCTCATATAACGATTAGATTGTAGGAATCTCTTTTGAGATTTCTCTAGCTTCAAATGACAAAATTTAACATAACTATTAATAGGGGTTTCAGGTCACGTGACTTAAGCGTGAAATCTGACAGCCAGAGGCTGAAATATACCCCACTTCAATCTACGATTCTGAATTACTATTTTATGTAAATGCATTACTAGCAATTGTATTGCAATAGTTTAATATCAATCTCAATATCTGCAAAGATTCGGGCTAAAAAATTATCGAAATGTAAGCGAAATTACCGTTTGATTACATGAGACGCTCGCGGCCTGAGATTTTCCATTGCTACGACTCACTTCATTGGTGAATCCGCACCTTAGTTACCGGGGGATTTTGATATAGAACCAATCAAACGATAGATAACATTTTTGTGATTATTATGCATGTTGATACCACGTGGTCGGACAATTAGACCCGGAAAAAATGGGATTTATCTGTTTTGATGACTGAAAATTACTAAATTTCGACTAAATATAAAAAAACTTTCTTGAGGTATCATCCAGATTATAAATATTTGACATATTATCAATCAAATTATTACGATTTTAATAAATTTTAGCTGACAATAACGTGCGGATTTCAGTTTTAAAATTGGTACTAGCGATTCTGAAGGGAAAATACCGCTTATGACGTCACTCAAATATGACTGAAAAGCACTCACTTTGGTGCCATGCCACGCATTGACTGGTATAGAGCATTTTGATTACATTTTTGACGTCGATCTCGGATTTTAAAATTCCATAACTTTGGATCTAATTAGAATATTTTGATGAAATAAACAAATTATTCACAAAATATTTTTAATTTTTTTTTTCTGTCATTTGAAACTTTGACCTGAAACCCCTATATTAACTTTAAATTTAATTTGCTGTGTTGGCTCATAAAGTGGCTTTATTATAAGTTTATAGGGGCACTGTTACCTTCTGTCACTTGCCCAACATTGTATTTTGAGGAGAACAATTGTTTCCTGCTGTTAATTGAACCAAACTTTGTAGGTCTACCAAGTAAACCGAGACACCAGTAGGCCTATGGCTATATGTGCCTGACAAGGACAGCTGTCTAGTCCTTTGGATGAGACGAAAAACCGAGGTCCCGTGTATACATTGGAATGCACGTAAAAGATCCCTTGACAGTTGGAATTCGATATAAGAGTTTTCCTCATAGCACACTGTATGGCGTATGCCCGTCTTCATTAGCCCAGTATAGAAGCAGAACGTTAAACCCCATTTCATTTCATTTCATTTCACAGTCACAGTGGAATGTCAATGTACAAAAAAAGACCGATTCTGATGCAATGTACCGGTATATTAATTAATTTGTAGCTATGCACGTGCTCATTCCAGGAAACATTACAGAATATAAACCTAATGTCAGCAATTATTCGACACCGTGGGCATGTTGTTTACCTAGAAACAATAATATTCTCAAATTTGTTAAATCTATAACAGAGCAGACAACTTCTTGAAACTGAAGCTGCCATGTTGTTTTCTGGCTAAACATATTTTGGTTTACAATTTAGAACGAAACGAAAATAGATTATAGAACATATTTTTACAAATAATTTTGTTAGTGGTTCGTTAGAGATTTTATTTCAGTCACCAAGACAGAAGAAAGGGTAAGTCATGACGCAAGAAATAAATTTGCATAACATACCAAAATATTCGTTTCGGAAAAAAAGATATTTATAAATATAATCCAATATTTGTAAAGATGGCTGACACGTTGCAACAAAAATCTGTTAATCAAAAAATAATTCGTGAAAAATTGTCTCTGTGGGAATCAAAGTCAGATCCTAAGGCTTCTTTGTCAAGGAAACAAAAGGATTCGTTGATAGAGTTGACAGAGCATTCAAATTATAGACCCATCCCTGAAGACGTAAGTCAGTATTTCAATTGCAGGTATCACTGGTCACCAACTCCTGTCAACAACTAAGGGCTTGACTAACTTCAAACTTGTCCTGTCAAAAGTACGGTCACCAGTCCAATAAAAGATGACAGGTCTAAATATTTTGTGATTAAGCGTGAAACTTAACTATTTCATTTGCTTTCTTGCTTTCTTGTAGCTTTTTCAGTTTTTGAGAGTATTGTTTGACTGAACGTCATACCTTAGCCCTACCGATTTCAAGTCATCCACAATTCTCACTGACTCAATTACATTGTAATAAAACATAAGTAACTATCCCAGACTATTATGAAAAACATGAATTGTTCATTGTTGTACCATCCACTGAATGTGGGAGCCACGGTGGGTAAGACGCTGGCTCGCTATCCTGGAGGTAGCGTGTTCAATCCCACATTGGCCGAGAAAGTTCATCAGAATTTTCAGACGTGGTTTCCCGATGTCAGTGGTGCAAGAAGGAGGGCCTGACAAGGACAGCTGTCTAGTCATTCGGATGGGGCGAAAAACCGAGGCCCGTGTACACATTGGCTTGCATGTAAAAGATCCCTTGGCAGTTGGAATTCGATATAAGAGTAGGCCATAGTGCTGCTGCCTGGGCAAAATTTCCCTTATAGCACACTGCATGTCTGTCTTCATTAGCCCAGTCGCAGCAGAACCGCAGGATGTTAAACCGCATTTCATTTCCACTGAATGTCATTTTACACATTTAATATTTTCTTTATTTTTAGCTTCCTGTGGATGATGCTCCAGTTGTCACTACAACCTCAACAGAACCACTTTCCCCTAGAGGACAAGATGTCTTCTTTAAACTTTTTCAAGAATCTGGACCTCCAGAAGGAGGGAAAATTGAAAATGCTCAACAGGTACTAATGATCAATCATCAAATATTCATAGTATATTTTCTGAGGCCAAAAGTGGGGTTGGATGGCTGATTGGTTAGTGCATTGCATCATAAGGTCTGTCATTTAGTCAACTGGCTTGGTTTCCGATTCACCAGTTGTACGTGACAAGGAGTAGGGTTGCCTGTCCAACCTTGTGGGTTTTCTCTAGGTCCTCCGACTGCTAAAGACCCCATAAAATAGAACCATATGTTGGTCCCGAAGTGACCTGGTTTGTGTACGTTAAACCCTATTTCACTCTCTCTCTCTGAGATCAATTACACCCGTACTCACTGGTGAAAGTCATAACTATTTTTATAATTGCTCATTATTACATGTATATATTGCATCTGTACCAAGATGTATGTACAGGTAATATGATATGTGAAACCACTTTTCTAAGATATTACGTGCTGTAATATTTCTACTTATGGGCCAAAACAATGATTTCTTTTATCTAAATGAAATTGATGTTTGTAATATTATTATTTGACATCAATGGACCCATGTAGATACAATTGATCTGTTTTCACCCTTTGTTACTTTTTTTTTTCATTTAGTTTTTCTCCTGGTTTTCTGAGTTAGAAGAAAATATAGATCAAGATGAAGAATCTCAATACAGGTTTGACATTTAAGAAATTTCCCTTTAAAGTTACCAGTGAAACAGATCTGTTGACTCGACGGAACCATAAACCTAGTGTTACTATTGACATTCATTTGTTTCTATTATAGGGGGGTTGGATGGCCGAATGGTTAGCATGTGGGTGTGGTATCATAAGGTCTGTCATTGAGTCAACTGGCGTGGTTTTGATTCCCCGGTTGTACGTGACAAGGAGTAGGGTCGCCTGTCAAACCTTGTAGGTTTTCTCCGGGTCCTCCAGTTTCCTCCCACTGTTAAAGACCCTTAGTCGCATGCGAATTATTGAAATAAAATTGAACCATATGGATGTCCCGAAATGACCTAGTTTGTGTCGAGTTCTACTACCAGACACTCGTCATTAATTTACACTCAGTAAAATCTGTTTACGACTATGTATACAACTCTATAACACCAACTCTATATACGTGTGCATTATTCTGTACTGGCCGTACAATTGTATAGTTACATAGTGGAGGTCGATGTAGCCATGTTTCAAAATTGGGTTTTGAAAAAAAGGCTATTTTCTGGCTTTCAAAATGACCGATGGGTCAGATCAAGTTACGGTCATTTCCCATAGCCCAAGGTCTTGACCGGCATATACGGCCGACGTGGAACCCATGGTCTGGAGTGAAAACATTTTTTTCCGTCAAAATAAATCAATAGTGTTTTTAAGAACAAATAAATATGTACATATTTTTAAATTTTAAGCTATTTGTGAATGTTTTCCAATTATTGGTATGATTATTTCAGAAATTATACGGATGAGTTGAATGGATATAGACAACAATGTAATATGGTATTGGATGAAGTCACACAAGCTTTAGATTATTTAAAGACATTACAGAATCAATATATTAATGTTTCTACTAAAACTAACACATTACATGAAGCTTGTGAACATCTGCTAGCTGAACAGGTCAGTTGTTTAAACTTTAAAAATTACTATTACTAGAAATCTTAGCAATACCAAATTCCTGGCCATTTAGTTGTGCTGTGTTAGAAGGTGTTTTTGTAGAACGATAATGTAGTGTAATAAGCTAAAGTTTGAATTTTGATAGATATTTACACTGTAACCCAGGTATTATTGAATGAATGTGAAAATAATTAGTTTCCTCCCACTGCTAAAGACCCCTATGGACAAGCAAATTATTGCAATAAGATTGAACCATATATAAGTCCCGAAATGACCTAGTTTGTGTCGAGTGGATGTTAAACCCCATTTCTCTCTCTCTCACATTCTGATTGTGTCTGAATATGCAGTGAAGCAAATTTGGTTTTATGAAAGTAATATGAAATTAATTATATAATTTGACATAAAATGTTTTTCAGACAAAATTAATGAACTTTGCCGAAGGTATAAGCAACAAGTTGTCATACTTTAATGAATTCGATAGTATTTCCAGTGTAAGTATATTTTAATTTAAATTGCAGCAAGAATCCTGCCGCAAGGATTTGGATGTATCTGATAAAAATGTTCTGTGTGCCAGTTTAAACATAACAAAACATCATGATAATAATAATAATAATAAGTCTCAATTTGTATAGCGCAAAAATACTTTATGGCACAGAGCTAACACAAGATTCCATTAAAGTGAATAAAGCTGTTAACAACAGGGATACATGATGGCTTGACAAATGTGGGTCTGGATCATAAGACAGGACACCCCTGGTTTCAATCACTGCATTGGCAACAAAAATACACCAGGATTTTCCAGCCTTTGTTTGCCCTTGCAAGATGATATACCAGATGAGGAAAAAGAGTCTTGTCATTTGCATGGGATAAAAAAAATCAAGCTGCTGTGTATACGACTGGTAGCACAGCTGAGAATTGACACAAAGGTATACTGTGAGATCATATAGCACACTGCAAGACATAAGTCTGTCTTCCTTGCTGCATTCCAACCTCGTGGGTTTTCTCCGGGTCCTCCAGTTTCCTCCAACTGCTAAAGACCCCTACACGCAAGTGAATTATGTAAATAAAATTAAACCATAATATGTTAGACCCGAAATGACCTAGTTTGTGTCGAGTGGACGTTAAACCCCATTTCTCTCTCTCTCTCTCTCCTTGCTGCATTAAAGTTAAACCCTTATATTTCATTGCTAGTTAACGACTAGAAAGAATCACTGATTAATAAATCTTGGTTTAAGATTGTTTAAGGACCTGAAAACCTTTTCATCTTTTAAAATGTGGATTCTTTTGGTCTCATTATTTATAATAACACTCATTGTATAAAATATTATTTTTACAGAAGCTTGGTTCTCCTACTCTATCTGTTACAAATGAATCATTTATACCAATGTTATCCAGAATGGATGAATGTATTCATTATTTTAGAAATAATGTAAGTATGCTTTCGTTTACCATTATTAAATTTTGCATTTATTTAAACATACATTATACAAGAGCTAAATCTGTCTATTGCAGGTCTTTCTTTAGGCCTGAAATGTTATCTAAATTATTAATTAGACATTAATTAACTTATCCAGAACATAATCAACTCTCGATGGCATCGCTAGTCTGCGATGTTTATTTGATTAGGTTCCGATTTGCAGTTCGACATTCCATTCATAATTAAATCATGAAATGGATAATCAAGACTATGTTTTTTATCGTACAGATTTAATAATGATGATCAAGGCTAGCTCGAAATTTCAATTGCTTAATTCTTCGTTCATAGTAGATCAATTTGACTGAAATTTTCAGCAAATTGCCATTACGTTATCTAGTTTTTAACTATTATAGTGAGAACTGTCAGCTCTTTAACTTATTTCCCATAATGTATCTTTAAATTTTGCATTTATTTAAGGTTATTTTGTTGCATGGATTGAAATAATTTATTGTATACATATATAATGACCAATGGCTTGCACTATAACCCGGTTATCATTTAAACTTGTGTATCTAGCACTAATTTCTTAGAGCAATACACAAAAACACATACTTATGGAAAAAAAACAGCTACTTATTTATTATCTTCTAGAGCATGCAATATGAATGGAGTAAGCACAATCATAAATGTTCATATTATTATTATTATTTTCAGGCACGATATAAAGAATCCCAGACGTATTTGGCCCGATTTAAGCAGTGTTTGTCTCGCGCTCTTGGTCTAATCAAAACACACGTTACAACTATATTACAAAATGCTACACAACAAGTTCAACCTAAAAAGGTAAACCATTCATTATTATATTTCTTTCTTTGATGGCTTACTCACTAACTAATAGGTCCCAGGTTATGCTGCAGGGCCCTTATTCACGAAAACTTAAACTAAGTTACAACCAAAATTTTAAGAAATACTGCAACTTCATTGGATATATGCAAATTGATTTTACTGGTCAGCCAATCGAATTGCAGTTTTTCTTAAAATTTCGATTGTATCTTAGTTTAAGTTTTCGTGAATAAGGACCCTGGTGTTTGCTGAGAAAGTTCCTATATCAGTGGTGTAGGTTGGAGGGCCTAGTGAGATATAGTAAAGCATTCATTATTATACTTCTTTCTTTGATTGGAGCCACAGTGGCTCAGTGATTAAGGTGCTTGCTTACTAACCAGGATGTTCCTTTTTTCGATCCTGGTACTGGTGGAGAAAGTTCCATCTGATTTCTCAGAGTGGTTTCCTCTTGTCAGTGTTGATAGATGGCTGACTGGCCTGGCAAGAAACAGCATGTAGTCGATCGGATGGGGGAGAGGGCGGGTTAGATGACCGAATGGTTAGTGCATGCGCGTTGTATCATAAGGTCTGTCATTCAGTCAACTGGAGTGGTTTCGATCCCCCGGTTGTACATGACAAGCGAATTATTGAAATGAAATTGAATCATATGTTAGTCGTGAAATGACCTAGTTTGTTTCAGATGGAAGTTAAACCCCATTTCTCCCTCTCTCTCTCTCTCTCTCTCGAATGGATAGGGGTGAAAAAGAACGTAAAAGAGCTGCTGACTATCAGAAACTCAGAGCTGGTCATTTATTCAAATATAATTATGTAACATAATGATTAAGATTATTTGTATATTTCAGGACACTCCTAATTTAGCAGACAATGCCTTTACATTATTTTATGGTAAATTCCGAGCTAATGCACCTCGTGTAAAATCGTTAACAGAACAGTTGGAGATTCGAGTTGACAAATCACCAGAGTAAGATCATTGTTTAAACTTGTTAGATCACTCAATATCAATTTATAATTTTTATTCACCAATTTTCTATTGAATGCCACACCGTTACCCAGGTATTATTTAATCTTGTCTATTTAGGACTAATTTCTTTTACATTCATTTAATATCAAATCTTTGTTTAAAAAAATGTAAAAATCATTTAGAATCACCCAAAATCATATAATTTGTACTTATGTCCAGTTTAAAGCTGACTGATTAATTTTGATACTGTGTGTTCAATTTACAATTATATAATTTCCTGACCACTGTTCAAAAATTAATCATTATACATAAATAATGAATTGGGTTGTTTATTTTTTAACAGAGAAATTAAAGGCATTTAATTTTTTAGATATGCAGAAGTATTAACAGAATGTCATCAGTGTTATTTTCTACAAAGAGAGAAGTTATTGGGTCCTAGTATCGCCTCTACTGTTACAGATCTTGCTGCTAAACATTATAGAGATCATTGTGCTCTGGTAAATATTTAACATAGTTTATATCATATTTACACAAGTATTCGTTCGATCAGTCGCGTCCCGATCTTATTGTATTAAAACAAACATCTAATACCTTGAGGAGAGAGAGACAGACAGACAGACAGACAGAGGGTTTAAGTCCACTCGACACAAAATATGTCATTTCGGGACTAATACATGGTTCAATTTTATTTTAATAATTCGCTTGCGCTATGGGTCTTTGGCAGTTGGAGGAAATCGTGGTGTAGGAGGTGGAGAAAGGAAGGCCTGACAAGGACAGCTGTCTAGTTGTTTGGATGGAACAAAAACCGAAGAGTTGTGTATACATTAGAGTGCACGTAAAAGACCCCTTGGCAGTTGTAATATTCGATATAAGAGTAAGCCATAGTGCCGCTGCCCAGGCAAAATTTCCCTCATAGCACACTGTATGGTGTATGCCCATCTTCGTTAGCCCAGTTGGAGCAGAACAGTAGGACGTTAAACCCCATTTCATTGTGAGAGCCAGAAAATATGATGAAGTGCTAATATTTTTAAAAGAGACAAACTTTTATTCCCAATTTTAATTGTATATATTTAATCATGTATATCTTTTTAAATATTTATATATGTAAAAGATTTGTTATATTTATTCTTAATTAATATATTTTCTGTGATATTTGTTTTATTTACATAAATAAATTCATTAATGTGATATCATTTTAATTTGTCTCATTAGATTCACCAAATGTTTGGCGCAATATAGCCCGGTTGGAGCTGACGTGCCATAAAACCATATTTCATTTCATTTCATTTATTAGGACGTTATACCCCATTTCATTTCATTGGTTGTGACTTTCGAAGGAAGCCTGATTGGCAATGTGTGACAACTCTTAGCCACATGTGCGCTACTACAAATAGCCACAGCAATCATGCATATTTTTCACATACTTTTCACAGACACGCTAACTTTTTTTACCCTACAGCATCAGACCCAAATATAATCTTATTCTATCACATGGATCAAGAAATGATTAGCGAGCTTGAAATTAAAATATAGCACTATGTTGTTACTCAATGTTCGAGCACTCCTTGAAACTCCTTGAAAATATTGGAAACATGAAAATGTGATTTCCAGTACTGGAAAATCCTGGAAAAACAAGATTACCCCTTGAAACTCCAGGAAAATTAACATTTGTGGTTTCGCTATATATTTTAAGATATAAATCTGAAGGTAGTCATCGAATGTTTCTTAAAAAAGATCACGAGCTTGTCGCCATAAGTCAAAGATTGTTCTTCACGCGTAGAAAAAAAATACATTATGATGTAGAATTCTATACAGGGACTCCTGGAATCTGGTAAATAACTCCTGGAAAACTCCTGGAAGTTTAACTGTTCTGAGTTGTACACACCCTGTTACTGGTTATTGTGCTGATGGCATTATTAGGATTTTTTTCTCACAACTTATTTTGAATACTCACCTACGTTTCTTTATTTCAGGTAAGAAGTGGTTGTGCTTTTATGGTTCATGTTTGTGAAGATGAATATCAGTTATTCTTTAATTTCTTTTCTAAACCAACACCCTTGTTAGAGTTAGTACAATTAATTTTTATTGACCAGTTGCCAGTACTCAGCCATCTTCAATAGAAGGCTTGATCTCGCTTTAACTCCGTACATCTTATCAAACCCTTCACCCTTCACGTAATACCCAGCATATTTTGGCACTTATTTCGATTGGGCACTGACCTAGCTTTAGAGCCTATCAGATTCCTCGATCATCGTGAATATCAAGTCTCGCGCTGTCCAGCTAATATGTCTATCTCTGATAATTGAGTTGCAAAGTTCAAGGTTCGTTCAATGTCGAGGTTTTTGTAGAGGTCGCTATATTTGTTTTGAGTGTGTTTGTGTCACAACCTCTGATTGGACGCTACTGTTCATGTGTCTGCTGTAAAGTTCGGGAATTGCAAAGCAGTGTAGTAAGGTCTAGATGTTGTAAAACTCGCGGTCATTGCTTCAGGAACGGGGGTTGGATGGCTGAATGGTTAAGGCCTGTCATTGAGTCAACTGACGTGGTTTCGAATCCCCGGTTGTACGTGACAAGGAGTAGGATCGCCTGTTCAACCTCGTGGGTTTTCTCTGGGCCCTCTGGTTTCCTCCCACTGCTAAAGAACCCTACGCGCATGCGAATTGTTGAAATAAAATTAAATCATGTGTTAGTCCCAAAATGACCTAGTCTTTGTCGAGTTTACATTACACATTTTTGACCTGAATATAATCTGAAATTGTTTATTGATAAACTATTATTTTTATTTACAGTCAGATGTTAGAAAAAATGTGCAATAATTTATATGACGTATTCAGACCACTGATTATACACGTTAATCATCTTGAAACCCTATCAGAACTGTGTAGTATTCTAAAAATAGAAATGATGGAAGAGCATATCAGTAATAATAGTAAGTACATTGTTTGATCATTGTTTGTATTTTGTCTGGTAGGGTCACCTGTCCAACCCTGTGGGTTTTCTCTGGGTCGTCCAGTGTCCTCCTACGGCTAAAGACCCCTACGTGCAAGCGAATTATTGAAATAAAATTGAATCATGTTTTAGTTCCGAAATGACCTAGTTTGTGTTGAGTGGACGTTAAACCCAATTTCTATTTCTTTCAATGCATTACCCCAAAAGTGCTGTGTATCTTTACATTAAAGTTGTAAAACCTTTGTGATACATATGAATACATTTAAGTATATCTGCCAAAAAATCAATTGAAGACTTTGCCTGGACCAAGAGGTGCCTGGAATGAAATTAATGCCATCTTGCTATTAATAATAGGGACCTTTTGCATCAGTACATATGTTCGTTTACATATTCGTTTTCGTATCCTCTAACACACGGTTTCACAATCTGACATACGATAATAGCTAGATGGAATTAATTTCACTCCACGAACCTCTTGGTCCAGGCAAAGTTTTAATCAATTTTTAGGCAGATATGCAATGAATCAAGCAGAATATTGCATTTGAACATATTCTACTACACAATCGACAATATACACATGGCGTCGAAAAATTGTGTAAAATTCAATATATGAGGCAAGAAACATTTTCGTTTACATACCTCCGTGAATCCAGCTCCACGGGTGTAACGTTTTTCACTGGTCAAACACTCATGTACGGGTTGACCTCACACTCGAATAGATGATGTTTTCGTATTCATTTTCGTACCAAGCGAAAGGTCCCTATTATCAGCGAACAATTTACATAAGATTATTAAAGATACATTATGGGAGATTAGATAAAGAGCTGGTAATTCTCACTATAATAGTTAAAAACTAGATAAGGTAAAGGCAATTTGCTGAACCGAGATTTTAGCGATTGAATTGTCGGCCTAACCTGAATCATCATTACTAAAGTCGGTAGGATGAAAAACATAGTCTTGATTTTCCATTTCATGATTTAATTATGAATGGAAGTCGAACAGCAAATCGGAACCTAATCCAATAAACATCGCAGGCTAGCGATGCCATCGAGAGTTGATTATGGCCTGGATAAGTTAATTAATGTCTAATTAATAATTTAGATAACATTTCAGGCTTAAAGAATGACCTGCAATTGGCAGATTTAGCTCTTGTATAATGTATGTCTAAACTTACATATATTATTATTTACAGGTCAAGAATTGGCAGCGTTTGAAGTGATCTGTAAACAGATGTTGATGGACGTACAAGAACGTTTAGTATATAGAACATATATCTATATCAAATCTGATATATTAAATTATTCACCAGCTTCAGGGGATCTGGCTTATCCTGAAAAACTTGAAATGATGGAGGTATAGATTACTTTTAATTACATCAGTTTGACAATTCCATTCTTCTTCCTAATCAGATATTATTTTCATGTTAACTTAATGTAGGTGGATGGCCGAATGGTTAGCATGTGCATGTTGTATCAAAAGATCTGTCATTGAATCAAGTGGCACGATTGATTGTACATGACAAGTAGTAGGGTCGCCTGTCCAACTTCGTAGGTTTTCTCCCGGTCCCCTACGCGCAAGTGAATTATTGAAATAAAATTGCACCATATGTTAGTCCCGAAATGACCTATTTAGTGTCAAGTGGATGTTAAACCCCATTTCTCGCTCTCTCTCTCTAGTTAAAACTGTTTCCAGCTCGACACAAACTAGGTCATTATGGGACTAACAACACAAAACTACCCACAAAATGGTCACATACAAGCTGAGAAGTGAAACCTTGCCACTTATATCAATGACAGTACTTATGATCTAAAGTGCATGCATAAGATCAATCGACCAACCAATCTCAATTTAAGATTTGGTAAATAAGTACAATATTCTGTTATTTTTGCTATTTACAGAGTATTGCAGAAAGTCTGAAGAAACCAGTCAGTAGCAGCCATTCTAGAACTCCATCAAATGCTTCTAGTACAAGTCAAGAAGTAGCACAGCTTACTATAAGTCAGGAGGATCAATTAGGAACAGAGGCAGGACAGATACCAACAACAAAAATACCAGGTGAAATGAAATGGGGTTTAACGTCCTACTGTTCTGCTCCAACTGGGCTAATAAAGATGGCCTACTCTTATATCGAATTCCAACTGCCAAGGGATGTGTACACGGGACCTCAGTTTTTCGTACCATCCAAACAACTAGACAGCTGTCCTTGTCAGGCCCTCCATCCTGCATCCCAGAAAATCTTGATCAACTTTCTCTGCCAACACTGGGATCGCACCCGCAACTTATACAGAATCGTTCAAATAATCAAAAATGTCAGCCCCCCCTCACCCTGCCGCCACCAACATGTACCGGAATAACCCTAACGAATTGACAGATGGGAGATTGAAAGGGATAATACTAAATCTAGTTGAATATTTTACAAAAACTAGCCATCCTCTCCTTCATTAAAGTTAATTTATTTGGTTTTAGAAAATTAATTTAACTAAATTGATATAGATAAGATAAGATTTTATTGTATCATTGCATCCACCAAGGACAGCATACACAGTTTAAACAATAGTTGATCATACAATTATAATATATAAACTCTATAATGTTATTTCTTTATTGTTATTGATATTGGCAGGTTTAGAAATAACACCAACTAATATGCCCATGTCACCAGCAGATTTACATGGTATGTGGTATCCTACAGTACGTAGAACACTAGTAACTCTGTCCAAACTATATAGATGTATTGATGTAAGTTACTTTTATCTTAGGGCGGGGGTGGATGGCCGAATGGTTAGATCTGTCATTGAGCCAACTGGTGGGGTTTTGATATCCCGGTTGTACATGACAAGGAGTAGGGTCGCTGTCCAACCTCATGGGTTTTCTCTGGGTCGTCCGGTTTCCTCCCATTGCTAAAGACCCCCTATGCGCAAGCAAATTATTGAAATAAAATTAAACAATATGTTAGTCCCGAAATGACCTAGTTTGTGTCGAGTGGACGTTAAACCCCATTTCTCTCTCTTAATAATCATTTATTGTTTATCTAATTAAGAGACTGCATTGTATGTAATTGTTTCTTGTCTTTCAAAAAAAATATAAATGTAACTTGAAGTTTAATATCAGAATTAGATGTACTATGTTACTTACTGGAAGTACCTTGTAGTTTTGAAATGAAATGAAACGAAATGAAATGGGGTTTAACGTCCTACTATTATGCACCGTACTGGGCTAATGAAGACGGACATACGCCATACAGTGTTCTATGAGGGAAATTTTGCCCAGGCAGCAGTACTACAGCCTACTCTTATATCGAATTCCAACTGTCAATGGATTTGCTGCATGCACGCCAATGTGTACACGGGACCTCGGTTTTTCGTCCCATCCAAATGACTAGACAGCTGTCTTTGTCAGGCCCTCCGTCCTGCATCACTGACCAGGGGGAACCATGCCGGAAAATCTGGATGAACTTTCTCGGCCAATGCAGGGAGTGAACACTCAACCTCCAGACTAGCGAGCCAGCGTCTAAGACACAGTGACCCCCGGTAAAAAAAAATAAGTTACACATATTTAAAGAAAAAACACCCAACCAATTTTGAAAAGAAGAAAATTGAGTAATGTAAAGCCATGCAAAAACAATACTCTGGGTCTGGATTGTCTGAGAACCGGAGGGGGGATTGGATGGCCGAATGGTTAGCATGTGCACGCTCTATCATACGGTCTGTCATTGAGTCAACTGGCATGGTTTCGATTCCCCAGTTGTACATGACAAGGAGTAGGGTCGCCTGTCCAACCTTGCGGAGTTTTCTCTGGGTCCTCTGGTTTCCTCCCACTGCTAAAGACCCCTACGCAAATTATTGAAATAAAATTAAACCATATGTTAGTCCCGAAAGTTTGTGTCAAGTGGACGTTAAACCCCATTTCTCTCTCTAATCTCTCTGAGAACCAGAATGTTTTTTTGTATTGCCTAAAAGCTGAGCTCAGTACTGTAAAGTGTAAATTCAGCCTTACATTAATATCTTTTGTCTTACAGAGAACAACATTTCAAGGTTTATCACAAGAAGCACTACAAGCTTGTATAGATTCATTGAAGAAAGCTGAAGATGGAATAAGTAAAAGAAAGGTATGTAAAATAGTACCCCATGTTCCTGAAGCTACGACTGCGAGTTTTACAACATCTGAACATTGCTAGATTACTTCACAATTCCCGATCTCATAGCTACGTTATCTACAGACACGTGAACAGTAGCGTCCAATCAGAGGTTGTGACATAGTTAAAGCGAGATCAAGCCTTCTATTGAAGAGGATAGAACTCAGGCTATCCAGACACTCATATTCATAACAATCAAGGCTACATTAAACCCCTCCCTTGTCAGTGATGCAGGATGGAGGGGCTGACGAGGAAAGCTGTCTAGTCGTTCGGATGGGACGAAAAACCGAGGTCCCGTGTACACATTGGCGTGCACGTAAAAGATCCCTTGGCAGTTGGAATTCGATATAAGAGTAGACCGTAGTGCCGCTGCCCGGGCAAAATTTCCCTCATAGCACACTGTATGGCGTATGCCCGTCTTCATTAGCCCAGGTTAAGAGCAGAACAGTAGGACGTTAAACCCCATTTCATTTCATTTCATTTCATTTCGCATTCAACCCCATACTAAACTTAGGCTGTCTGTCTACAGTTAGCTCCCCTTGAGAACAGACACTAAGCTAGTTGACCAACATTTTAAGTCCTAAATTGACGATTTTAGTTGAACAGACACAGCATACCAGGGAAACAAATTTGACTACTTTTTGGCATTCAGTAGTGCGGCATGCTGATGACTTGAGTTTTCTTGTTGCAGGTTGCATTAGATGGACAGCTTTTCCTTGTCAAACATTTATTGATACTACGAGAACAGATTGCACCGTTTCACGCCGATTTCTCTATTCGAGAAACTCATCTAGATTTTACCAAATTTAAAGGTCAGTGCTCATTCAAGCGTCATATTAGCCGTACATAGTTTTATGTTAGTGTTTGAATTTATTAGTTGATGTATTATTTGTTGCTTTATGCACATCCGATCCCATTTATACCTTTAGCGTCATAACTCTTTCAGTACACAGTGCTTTTTCAGATGATTAATGCTAAAATACATGCTAACATTTTCTAAGCATTGGATATATCTAAAATATGACTTGGATTGATTCAACCAGAGTAACTCTTATTTATCAGAATTAAAACAAAATAGATTGTACATTGTGTGATGTTGAATTGGTGCATATGGACATCAATCCGATTAAAATACAGATCTATATTTCGTTTCGTTTTTTATACTTTCGATGGCCTACACTACATGAAGATCTGACAAGTTATAGCGATAGGTCACGTCAGAGGTCATATGAGTAGCTTTTCACCCTATGACATCAGACATTTGATTAACCAATCAGCATTGATGTTTCTAGTGGATTACCTACAGTTCAGTGCACCTCACGCCAAAAGCTCGTCATAACAGACTGTTTTATTGGCTAATCCTTTACATCATCCAGAACGCGGGTTATATAACAACTCTTCTGATCCTAGTGTAGTAAAGACAAGTTAAACAAAATTTTGAACTATAAAAAACGAAACGGAATAGGATCTGTGGATATATCTTAATCAGATTAATGGACTACATTTTATTCGGAGAAAGAGATCGTACACGTTGGGCACTGAAAGAGTTATGGTATAACATTTTGATTTGTAGATTTCTCTATTATCTTGTAAGAATGGATCCATAAAAATAATTAATGAAATCAAGTTAAATATACCAGAAATATATCTCAAATCTCATTTTAAAAATGAAATATAATTTAATGCACTATCGTGATATTAACGCACGTATGTTGCTTTTTATGCCTCTGATGGAACCCTCAGTAAAATAAAATTTTCGAAAGAGTCTAACTTAAAGAATTCTTTGTTGATTTAGTAATATCCTCACAATTCAAGTTTACTAGTAGTTTGTATGTGGATAATACTACACGTTTAATCACCACCTCCGCCACTTCTTGTTAAATTCACCATATGTTTGGCGCAATATAGCCCGGTTGGAGCTGACGAGCCATATAACTCCATTTCATTCATTCAATACCTCCGCCGCTTTATTTTGCATATTGTTTACTTTGAATATTGTTTTCACTATAACAGAGATGACATTCACCGAACACGGCCTGGGTTTCAGAAGTATAAGGGGTATGTTCATATCTATGTTTTTAAGTGTTGTTTCATGTAGTCTGCATCAACATATCAGTCATTTTGATTGACACACTGTAATCCAGGTATCATTTAGTATTTCGCACTAATAAGAGAGTTATCTGTAAGAAAACACTGTAACCGAGGTATCATTTAATCTTGTGCATTTAGCTCTAATTTCTTTTACATTCGTTTAATATCAAATCTTTGTTTAATAATTTGTAAAAGTCATTTAAAATCACCAAAAATCATCTAACTTGTACTTGTGTTTAGTTAATTCTGATAATGAGTGTCCAATTTACAAGCATTTAATTTCCTGACCACTGTTCAAAAATTAATCATTATACATCAATAATCAATTGTGGTGTTTATGATTTAACAGTGATCGAGAAATTAAACGCTTGTAAATTGGACACTCATTTTCTAAATTGAACGGTCAGCTTTAAACTGAACACAAGTACAAATTAGATGATTTTTGGTGATTTTAAATGAATTTTTAAACAAAGATTTAATATTGATAGAATATGAAAGAAATTCGTGCTAGATACACAAGATTAAATGATACCTGGGTTACAGTGACAGCTACATGTCTAATTCAGTAGAATTTCCAATAAACATACATTATGCAAGAGCTAAATCTACCTATTGCAGGTCTTTCTTTAGGCCTTAAATGTTATCTAAATTAGACATTAATTAACTTATCAAGACCATAATCAACTCTCGATGCCATCGTTAGCCTGTGATACTTAGTGCATTTGAAAACGTTTTGTGATGGATGATTTAAAGAGATAGTCCAGAGTGAAGCCATTTGACTGAAATTTTCAGCATATTCTTTTGTCATTATCTATTTTTTCACTATGATAGCGAGAACTGTCAGCTCTTTATCTAATCTTACCTAATGCCCCTCTAATCTCTTTAATAAAACACCTGTTTGTTTTTACTTGAGCATGAGATGTACAGATTCGTATATTTAAAGCGAGAATTTCATAGTTTATAAGAAAGTCAAAACATAATTATTTCTATGTCTTTTGCTCAATAGGTTGTCAAGTCACTATTATACGATCATAGGTTATCATTATCACACTTATAAGATCATTCACACTGGAAATAAAAACACAATTACCTGCCTTGTTTTTCTATTCCCCCCATGGAATAGCTATCTTCAAACGTTTTAATTTGAAGTTGAAAATGATATTTTTGCCAATTTCTCAACTGGCAATAGTGAATTATAGGATTAATAGGATTATTCTTTAACAAGGTAGGACTGTTTATAGATACCATCTATTTTAAGGCTTTATTTTAATACATTTTACAAATATAACTTAAAAATATGAAATTCTCGCTTTAAGATTTATCATATTACTGTACATGTTGAGTAAATCTATTGGCTGCAAAAAAATTCACTGTCTTCCATACATATTTGACTACTGCTTTAAACACCTGGGGATGGGGGGGGGGGGGCCTAATGGCTAGCATGTGCGTGCAATATTGTAAGGTCTGTCATTGAGTCAACTGGCGTGGTTTTGATTCCCATTTTGTACGTGATAAGGAGTAGGGTCGCCTGTCCTCCGGTTTCCTCCCACTGCTAAAGACCCTTAAGTGCAAGCGAATTATTGAGAGAGAGAGAGAGAGGGAGAGAGAGAGAGGGAGAGAGATAGAGGGAGAGAGAGAGAGAGTCCACTGACACAAACTAGGTCATTTCAGGACTAACATATGGTTCCATTTTATTTCAATAATTCACTTGCACATAGAGGTCTTTAGCAGTGGGAGGACCCGGAAAAAACCCTTATTTTTTTTATACTAATATTAGACGATTAATTTTACCACATAATGCACAAAATATTTATTTATGCTTAAAAATCTTAACACATAATACATTTTGCACTAGAAATCATTTGTCTTAAAAACAATATTTCACTCTTTATACAATAACATGGGTTAGGATGTAGATTTTCATTTAGAAATGAACAGATACAGAAATAGCTCACACCAATTGAATTCTTGGTTTATAAAAGAATTTGACATAAAGGGCAATTTTCAAGAAGTTGACCTACTAACTTACACAATATATTTCCTCTACATATATATATTTGGTTTTTATCAACCTTTTTATTAAAATTTTAATTAAAATGAATTAAACTGAGTCATTAAGGAGGATATTTATTAATTTATATTTGAAAAGCAGACAGAAAATACGCCCCAAATTTGATTTTATGCCGCATAAGGATGACCTTTCATTAAATTGAATTATGGTCTTTTTTAAATTATATCTGAAATGAAATTGATGCTTTCCGGAAACAGAAAATATCACACGAAAGTATAAAATAATCTCCATTGTGAACCTATTGTTTGTAAATATTTTTATGTTGTTTGTTTGTAATAAATGTTCATTAGGGTTATGGTATCGTTTGTTTCTTATATCTGGCACTGTCCGTGTAAGTTGGTTGTAGCTCCGTACTTATATAATTATCACTGGTTAAGGTAAACGCCATTTTTAACATCCTGATTTTCAGCTGCAGTTAATCCGAAGATATTTTAGTATTTGGGAATCTAGAGACTCTTTGAATCAATATTTTAAAACAAAAGTCTGGGCTGTTCTGGTGAATGTCATGCTCTATATCTTTATTTAACATAACCCCATATTATTCTATAACTAGATGCAAATAGAAGCAAATATTGAATACAGCCATTGAATACAGCCATTGAATAACCTATGCCATTGAATAACCTATGGTTGTATTCAATGGCTTGGAAACACACTACTTTTATCCTGAATGACGTCACTTTCAGAATTACGTCAAACTGTAATGACGTCACCACTAGGCAACCACACTTTTTGTAAAAAGGAAAGAAAAAAGGGCAGAACGTATGATGAATTTTAACGTTATTGGTGATGATTATTTTTGATAATCTGGATAGTACAGTGTATTTTGAGATTTACATGTAGTTATAGAATAAAAACAGAACTCAATGACCATTGAATACCGTTCAGTTATTCAGTGGTTCAAGAGAGTGTATCCCTGCGCAAGTATTCCACGAGCAATATGTTTTATAAAAGGTTCCCATGTATAAACCAGATTATAATGTATATCTCAACATTTATATACAAGTATGTTTTATAAAAGGTTCCCATGTATATACCAGATTATTATCTCAATATATTTATATACCAGTATGTTTTATAAAAGGTTCCCATGTATATACCAGATTATTATCTCAATACATTTATATACCAGTATGTTTTATAACAATCTGATTCAAATACAGATCTATATTTTGTTTTGTTATTATATACTTTCGATGGCCTCTACTACATGAAGATCTGACCAGTTTTACTGGGAGGTCGCATCAGGGCTCATACGAGCTTGTTTTGACCCGTTGACGTCAGACATTGATTAATCAATCTGCGTTGACGTTTCTAATTGCTTACCAACGGTTCTGTGCAGACCACGTCAAGAACTCGCCATAACAGACCATTTCATTGGCTAATTGCTCACATCAAATAGAACGCGGGTTATATAACAATTCTTCCAGATCCTAGTGTAGTAAAGACAAGTAAAATGAAATTTTAATCAGATTTATTTTATAAAAGGTTCCCATGTATACACCAGATTTAGATGAAGCCTTTGTTTTTGTATTGAGAATACCCTATCTTAATATTACTATAGGTTTGTCATAGCTTTGATCATGTAAAAAATGTTGATCTTCTAAAACTTATATCAATATAAGAAAATAATGAAATGAAATGAAATGGAGTTTAACCTCCTACTGTTCTGCTCCTATACTGGGCTAATGAAGACAGGCATACGCCATACAATGTTCTATGAGGAAAGTTTTGCCTGGGCAGCGGAACTACGGCCTAATGTTATATCTAATTTCAACTACCAAGCAGGGATCTTTTACATGCGCGCCACCTATCTTTAGATTACAATAGGTTTGTGATGACTTTGATAATATAGAAAATATTGATTTTCTAAAACTTATATCAATATAAAAAAAAGGTCTAAAATGAACAGATTTGATAAGATGTGTGTTTATCTATTACAGATGCAGCTTATGCTTTATTACAGAAGAAATCCCAACTATTTGCATTAAACAGTACCAATGCTCTTCTTCATTTTATACTTGAGGTGAGCACATTACAAATTATTTTTATTTTTATTTAATTCTTATGATCATGACGTTCTTCTTTTTTTTTTTTAGGGGGGGTGGATGACCGAATGGTTAGCGCCTGTGTGTTGTATCATAAGGTCTGTCATTGAGTCAACTGGCAGGGTTTCGATTCCCTGGTTGTACATCACAAGTAGTAGGGTTGCCTGTCCAGCCTTATGGGTTTCTACCCATTGCTAAAGACTCCTACCTGCTAGCGAATTATTGAAATAAAATTGAAAAATATGTTAGTCCCAAAATGACCTAGTTTGCATTGAGTTGACTTAAACTCCATTTCACTTTCTCTTTGCCCAGACTTCAATGGCAATTTTTAAAACACCTGTATTTCAGCTCGCACACCTGTTCTATGATGAGCTTTTGATAAAATATGATCATGATGTTCCAACATATAAATCAGTGACCAGTGAAAAATCTTTGTATTTACAGGGAACACCACAAGTGACCGAGTTTTTTGTTGATTCTAAACATGATGTGGATCAACAATTAAAGAAAACATGTGAAGATTTCATACACCATGTTTCAGATAGTTTAACTGGTCCACTGAAAGCTTTTCTTTCCAGGGTAAGTGTTCACTTTATTTGTGTCGAGTGGACGTTAAACCCCATTTCTTTCTTTCCTTTCACTTTATTTGTAACAGTCACTTGTAACAACCATTTATTGTCATTTGTAACAGCCACTTATCGTCATGTAAAGGAGGGGGGGGGAGGTGGATGGCCGAATTGTTAGCACGTGCACGCTGTATCATAAGGCCTGTCATTGAGTCAACTGGCATGGTTTCGATTCCCCGGTTGTACATGACAAGGAGTAGGGTCGCCTGTCCAACCTCGTGGGTTTTCTCTGATTTCTCCGGTTTCCTCTCACTGCTAAAGACCCCGACGCGCAAGCGAATTATAGAAATAAAATTAAACCATATGTTAGTCCCGAAATGACCTAGTGTGTGTTGAGTGGACGTTAAACCCATCTCTCCCTCTCTCTCTCTCCCTCCCCTTTGATGGGCCTCTTTTTAATCTGATTGAATTTAAGATGATACTGTTAACCCTTAGGGCTCTAGCGTCTAAAAGACCAGCCGTGGATGCCCCTTGACTGGAGTACTGGGCACCGACCGCCACTGGTACCCATTCGGCCAATAAGTAACGAACAGTGGCAGCCAGTATTTTAGCTGAATTTTTTGGCTGCTCAGGTCTTAAGGGTTCATAATAGTACAAAAAGAAAATTTTTGGTCCATTTTTAGCCTGAGAGGCTAGTATATAGGCCTAATGTCTTTCAGGGCGTCAGTGCCCAAAGGTGTTAAAGGGTATAGTTGATTTTTAAAAATTTGTGTTCTAATTGGAGATAAAGACAGATGTCCTAATTCACAGATATTTTTAATTTTTTTTATTTTTTAGGCATCAGTTGTGATAAATATGAAAAAGGAAGAAGCAACTGCAAGTGTTACATTACGTCAACAGCCTTTTGCAACACCGGAAAAAGTTCACGATGTTGTAGCAGAGACTTATAAAATGGTTAAAACTAAAACCCCAGGTGTATTACGAAGTATGGCTTTGTATTTGGCCAATAAAGATACTGAATCTATTTTATTTAAACCTATCAAGGTAATTACAATTATACATTCTATCAAATAAAATTAAAGGGTGAGTCTATCCAACCTCGTGTGTTTTTTCCGGGTCCTCCAGTTTCCTCCCACTGCTAAAGACCCCTACATGCAAGCAAATTATTGAAAAAAAATTGAACCATATGTTAGTTCCAAAATGACCTAGTTTGTGTTGAGTGGATGTTAAACCCTATTTCTCTGTCTGTCTGTTGAATTTTGTTTTGTCGGTTATACATTTATTAAAAACCCTATTTTGACATGTTTTCTTTTAAAAGGTGAATGTTCAACAATGTTTTCAACAATTAGAACAGATTTTACAAGATGAATATAATGAAGAAGATAGGCAGATCGTGGCTTGTCCCAGTTCAGAACAGGTATTGGTTTACACCTTTTTCACCTGGTCATATACTAATTTTTATGTTTATAAATATATTTCTTGACACCAGATGTAGTTTTGTGTGGTTTAATGGTCAAGAACAAGACATTAAGTAATATATTGAAACAATACGAGGAACGTACTTAATGTCTTCAGCTCAAGACCATTAAACAGCTTAAAATACAGACACGCGCCCAGTGCTTTGCAATGAAATACGTCACTTGAGTCTAATATTTCATCTAGTATTAAATAGTTTTTTGAAATAATGGTACCCCGTCCAACATCAAAGGATGAGGTCACATCTGTATTTTAGGACCACATATAGGTGGTTAAATAATTGAAGTTCATGGGTTAACGTGAGCGATCACATCATTCTCACTATGTTGGCTTGTTTTATTTGAAGCCAATACAACAACGACGTTTGCATTCCATGACCCAAGAGGTTTAATTGATCCAATAATATTATTATTATATATTTCAGGTTAACTTGCTGTTGTCAACTTCCAAGTGAACCATTAATACAATTTATAGAGAGGGCTACACTGTATATAATAAAATATATTTGTAATCTGAGGGATTCTCAATTATAACATATTTTGGGTTATTCCATGTCAAAAATTTCAAATTTTGGCTTGATCGAACCGACAGTTGGACAATAAAGGTAAATTGCATCAGAATATCAGCTTTTTGAACAAAAAGTAAGCATATAATGAGGACAATAGAAAGGGGTGGGTCTAATTCATTGGGTGATTTGACGGGGAATAACTCTTTTATTAAATACAGATCGGGAAAATTTTGTTATTGATTGTTATTGTTCAAACTGATTAAAACACAGATCCTATTTCGTTTCGTTTTTTTATAGTTCAAAATTTCATTATGTTATATTGTTAGGACTATTGGTCTCATATTAGTCTTGTATAACAAACAGATTCTCTCAGTCAAGACATTTTATTCAAACCTCGTGCAACTACCATCAACAGGTCTTGATACTTTAAATAGCTTCGGTTATCACACAAACATTACTAACACTACATTTACGACATACCCTGACACATTATACTTGTCTTTTCTACACTAGGATCTGGAAGAGTTGTTATTTTACTGCCGTTCTGGTTGAAGTTAGGGATTAGCCAATGAAACGGTCTGTTACGGGGAGTTCTTGGCGTGCGATGCACAGAACTGTGGCTAAACCACTAAAAACATCAATGCAGATTGATTAATCAATGTCTGACATCATAGGGTCAAAAGTCACTCGCATGACCTCTGATGCGACCTTCCAGTACAACCGGTCGGATCTTCATGTAGTGTAGGTCATCGAGAGTATAAAAAAAATGAAACGGAATATAGATCTGTATTTTAATCTGATTGGCTATAGTTAAAACCTTAGCATCTATTTATTAATGTAAGTAATTTGTATATACTGTGGAGAAATAATTGTAGATATATATACAGCTTGTTGTGTATATTACAGATAAAATAATAACTAATATTTTTTATATGAGAAATGCTTTGTTACATATTTCAACCTATCCATGGACTTTAATTGTTGCTTGAGGTAACTTTCTTGTATCCTATATATTGTATAGTAACAATAGGGTTAGCGTCCTACTTTTCGGTGTTGGATTGCCGAATGGTTAGCGTAGGTTGTATCATAAGGTCTGTCATTTAGTCAACTGGCTTGGTTTTGATTTCCTGATTGTACGTGACAAGGAGTAAGATCACCTGTACAACTGCATGGGTATTTTCCGGGTTTCCTCCCACTGCTAAAGACCCCTACGCGTTAGTCCCGAAATGATCTAGTTTGTGTTGAGTGGACTTAAACCTTTCTCTCTCCCTCTCTGCACCAACCGGGCTAATGAAGACAGGTATCCACCATGCATTGTGTTATGAAATGATTTAAAATGGGGTTTAATGTCCTACTATATGAACTGACCAACTTACCCGATACATTGTGCTCTTATTTCAATTTCTCCAGCTATCAAGAGTTCTTTTATGTGTATTATGTGTATGTTGATATGTACACAGGACCGCGTTTTTTTTTTGTCCGATCCGATTGACTAGACACTGTCTTTAACATGTCTTCGATCCATCAACACTGACAAGTGGAAACCCTGCCCCAAAAATTTCTCTGCCAACACCGAGAGCGAACCCAAGACCTACTGGTTAGCGATCCCCGTCTTACTTTCTCAGCCACCACGGCTCCCATATTTTGTAACTGATAGAGAAGAATATTTGTATAATACTTCTGCTTTTGTAGAATTTACAGAACTGTTCTAATTTTACAGTCAACTGGCGTGGTTGGTTCGATTCCCCGGTTGTACGTGACAAGGAGTGGGGTCGCCTGTCCAACCTCGTGGGTTTTCTCTGGGTCCTCCGGTTTCCTCCCACTGCTAAAGACCCCTACAGGCAAGCGAATTATTGAAATAAAATTGAACCATGTGTTAGTCCCGAAATGACCTAGTGTGTGTCGAGTGGACGTTAAACCCTCCCTGTCTCTCTCTCTCTCTTGCCGGTTTTCCTTAGGCCCAAAATATTATCTAAATCATTAATTAGACATTGATTAACTTATGCAGACCATAATCAACTCTCGATGTCATCGCTAGCCTGCGATATTTACTGGATTGGAATCCCATCTGCTGCTCAATAAAAACAAATGGATAATCGAGACTACGTTTTTTATGTACGGACATTAGTAATGATGAGTGGATCAATTTGACTGAAATTTTAAGCAAATTCCCTTTACATTATCAAGTTTTAACTATTATAGTCAGAACTGCCAGCTCTTTATCTAATCTCCCATAATGTAACTTTAATTGTCTCGGCAAGATATCTGGCTATTTCTTGAAATTTAAAGGCTATTTTCAAAGCACAATCGCATATGTTACTCAATATGAGGTAATGATGAGAATGTTTTTCTTTGTAATACTTATATGGCTGGCATATATATATTGCTGAAAAATTATCTCATTAAAACACAGATCCTATTTCGTTTCGTTTTTTATAGTTCAAAATTTCGTTTTACTTGTCTTCACAACACTAGGAACTGGAGAAGTTGTTATATAACACGCGTTCTAGTTGATCTGAGAAATTAGCCAATGAAACGGTCTGTTACGGCGAGTTCTTGGCGTGCTCTGCACGGAACTGTGTGTAAACCCCAAGAAACGTCAACGCTGATTGATTAATCAATGTCTGACGTCAAAGGTCAAAAGCCGCTCGTACGACCCCTGACACGACTTTCCAGTACAACTGGTCAGATCTTCATGTAGTGTAGGCCATCGATAGTATAAAAGAAGGAAACGAAATATAGATCTGTATTTTAACCAGATTGATAATGAACTAATTGGTTATTCTAACAATGTTGCTTAGAATAGAATGAATATGTGACGAATTAATATCTGCCTTGCCTTCAGTTTCATAGTCTGCAGACTTGAAACAATAACATAGTTTTCATATTATAAAACCAACATTGACTCTACAGAAAAATCAGTTTTAATCATTGAATAATAAAATATCACACGTATAACAAATATTATATAACATTATGTATTAATGGCAACTACAAGCCGGACTCTTTTCAAGGCTTTTCTTATATAGTTATTTAGAGGGTGAGAGGTTAGTCAGACCGGTAAGGCCACTTTATTTAAAATTATCAGCTTCCGAATCTTCGAAGGTCTTGAAGAATTGTCACACAGATTCCCTTCCAAACGACCAACAATACTGTTTTCACAGATATATTTCAAGCCATTTTACGACGTGTACGAGTATGTTAGAATTTGTAATCAGTAAATGTATTCTTTCGCATTGCACACAAGTTTCAATAATATATGGTGTAGATACTTTAAAGTTCAGAGATGCCCTTTTTTGGATAGGTTAATGGCTATCTGATTAAAACACAGATCCTATTTCGTTTCGTTTTTGTTATAGTTCAAAATTTCGTTTTACTTGTCTTTACTACACTAGGATCTGGAAGAGTTGTTATATAACCCGCGTTCTGGTTGATGTGGGGGATTAGACAATGAAACGGCCTGTTGCAACGGGACTGTCGATATTCCATCCCTGATTGGTTAATCAAATGTCTGACGTCATAAGGTCAAAAGCCGGTCGTATGACCCCTGACAGTGACATGACCTCCCACTACAACTGTTCAGATCTTCATATAGTAGAGGCCGTTCAAAGTATAAAAAAACGAAACGAAATATAGATCTGTATTTTAATCAGCTTAGGTTAATGGTTGAGATTCGGAATAATATAAGGTATCTTAATGACGGAATCCGTGTGAAAACTCTCAAAAAACTTCATTATCGAAATAAAAACCAAAAAACCCCACCAAAACAGTCACTTAACACTAATAAAGCAGTTCAGATTTAAAACAAAAAAGAAATAATCTATAAAATGCATCAACCGGAAGATAACACTCTTATAAAATATTATGTTGATCAGAAGATAAAATAAGACTCTCTTATAAAAGGTAAACTTTTACAAAAAATAGAATTTTATTTAGCTTGTTCTCTGTCAATCTCTTGCAAAATGTGGACGTATCTTGCTAGGCAACCGCTGATTTCTTTTGCCTAAATCAAACAGGTAATACTTCTCTCGTTAGGTTTTATCCCCCGGTTGATTGCCATAACAAATTTATCAAATTAGAAGAATAAATTCAACGAAACATTCGCCAATAGGAAGCTAGAACATATCCCAAGGCAAGCAAATATCGGAAATTCAGGTATATTGGTCGTTATTGATACGTACAATAGTACTGCATGGACCAGGAACTGAGCATGACGTCATCTTGGAATTGTGACGTCATATAAAAGCTGATACACAGTTTCAAATCGATCATACTTGAATAGGCGCGGTGGGTTGTTTTCGAAGAACAACATGGCGAGTAGGTTTGGGGACCAGTTCCCAGTCCAAAAAAATAACCGATTGTACATTTCGAGTATCTCTGATAGTGATTTTTTCTCCTTAGATAGTACCAAATGGGGCGAAAATTAGAGTGGCTTTCAAAATTCGATAACCTTCGCAAAGACAATAATTCTATAAGTAATTATAAGAAATTGTTGAAATCGACAGGAATTCTGAATCTCACTAATGAGAAAAATAACCGGGTAGAGTAGTCTCAAGAGGCTAAGGTAGATGGACGGACAGATGTGAGGACAACATACGACCACACGAATATAAAAGATACGGACGAATTGTTCGAGAAGCGTTCAAGTTAAACCTAAGTGTTGCTGTTGTCTGTTAGGAAATGTTGCACCATCCCACCCAGATGTACGAGTAAAATGTCTTCGTTTGTAAATCTGAAATGATATCAAATAAAAGTTTTAAATTTACCAACCGTATACCAGAAAACGAAATCTGCTATAATGTTATAAAGAAACATATTCCAATTAGCTATAACAGTTTGCGTTTTGATAAATAAAATTAATCCGAATTAAACTCTAACAAACCTCCAAAATCGATTTAAAAACACGGACCTATGCTGTAACTTGCACCGGGAGATGGTCTCCTTTAAACACCGACAGGTGTGGTGCGTCACTTGGGTCATCAAAACCTTTTGATACAGAGAGCCCAATGACTGCTGGTTGTACTCTTGCACAGTTCCTTCATACATCTTCTCAGATTCACACGGAACAATACAATTTAACACGAATTAGCTTGTATAAAATCTTCGTATGTAATAAGCAAACAATTTCATTAGCTTCTTTAAGGAATCGGGGTTGGGAGCCCGAAGAGTTGCATCATATGGTCTGTCTGGGAGTCAAAAGGCGTGAGTGTCCAACCGCGTGGGTGTTCGCCGGGTCCCCGGTTTCCTCCCACAGCTAAAAACCCCTACACGCAAGCGAATGTTTGAAATAACATTGAGTCATATGTTTGTCCCGGAACGGCCTAGTTTGTGCCGAGTGGACGTTAAACTCTCTCTCTCTCTCTCTCCCTCTCCCTCTCTCCCTGTCTCTCAGCAATAAAATTATTAATATTACCATTATTTATCCTGCTCGCATATTACCAACCACTGACCATCAACTGATGTTCCATTTGGGTACGGGATTTCACATTTTTGCCCACAATGGGCACACGCAGCTCTCACAAAGACTTTCTTCTTGTCCGCACAAGACTTCAATGAGATTACAAAGTATGGTGAACTTTTGGGATCAATAGATAATACATTACACCGAATAACAGACTTGCCTCGGAACTCAAAAATCACTCCTCCGGCATACCTCTTGAAGCAAAAGACATTTGGTACATCTTCATCGTGCTGCTTCTTCTGAACTGTGGTCGGACATTTTGGAGCATGGTCATCACATTGACATGTTGGGTAAACAGCAAGTCGAAACAAACCATTGCTGTAAAGCGCATGTTCAGTCACACAATCCCAATACTTCTTTAGGAAGCGCATTCTTCTGAAGCTGCTTTGCTTCCAGTATTTTAATTCACATCGGTATCTTAAATCATTATTTAATTCTCTTAATTTAATTTCAATCGTGTTTTTATTCAGCATGGCGTACTCCAACTTCCCCTTAATCTCAACTTGATCGCCATGATTCTGTTCTATGGTGTAAACGTGAAATTCTTGTTTTGCAAGTTTTGTTAAATATTCGGGACTATGTTCATTATTGTAATAGAGACACTTGAATATTAGACGGTGCCCTTCCTCAACACACAGTTCATTCTCTATAACAAAAGGTTCAAACAATACAAGATTATTCTTGCGCTGTAGAGCTGTTTCCGTATTATTAGCTAGGACTGATGACACGAACTCGGAACCCTGGAACATAACATAGCGAGGAGAATACACGAATAGTGTGTGATCTTTATATTGAATAAATGGCTGGAATTTATTAGAAATGTTCGGATCAATACAAAGTTTTGTAGATTCTCCAAAGATGATGGCCTGTGGTTTATCATAGATGTCATTGATATAGGAAATAGCTGCACAAAGTACTTCCTTCAAGCTCGAACAGCTTTCCATATAATACTCAAACTTTCCCGGGGACCTTAATTGGATTACTTCCACGTCTATGTTGAAACTGTACTTCCGGAGTGTCTCATTTATTTCTTGGGTTAGCTTCATACTTCTCAGATGCGCAAGGGCCATCTTAAAAGTAAATTCGATGTCTGATACATCATCGGAAAAGAATTCAATATGGATGCTAGATGAAGAGGTTATTGCAATGTTGACATTTTCCTTGAACTGTTCACCTTTAATGGTATGAATTGATTTCGCGCCATATTCAACTCCGATACTGACGAAGTCTATCAGTTCTAAATAAATATCTCTCAGTTCTTTTGTTGTTGCAAAAGAATCTAATGTATGACGTAGATAATTTGAAATGGTGATTACTTTAAAACTAGCTTGTGCTTTCCATATCGTTCGCATAGCATCTACATCCATGAAAATGTTCACATTATTTTCTAATGCCCGTTGCCATGGTATAAGTAGCTGGTTATCGAAGTGACAGAATGTTTCTGTGTCCTTTCTGCATCTTTGAAGAAAAGATGATTCATGAATCACATCCTTGGAATAATAACCTTTAGTAGTAAATGTTAATGGATCTTTAGCTGACAGAATGTGGGGATATGCCTCCTTGGGCAAAATCTTCAGAATTGCGAGAACGGCTGACTTGTCTGGTGCGAAATACAGCACACCATTAAAACTAACCATGCACAGAGGGCCTTCTCCAATCATCTCGCCCTGCTTATCAAACGATACGAATCTCCAGCAAATGCAATTTCTCTGAATATGTGATGTATTACTCTCCAATTTGAAGTTCAAAGAAGGGTGTTTTTCTAACTTCAACAATACTGAGTCCGATTCGTCATTACTTGTATTTTGTTCTGTGATCAGTTGCCATAGTCCTGATGGAATTTTAAAGTTCCCTAGTGGCCAACAGTTGCAGTAGTTTTGAAAAATAAAATCGACAATGCCTGCTATGTCTTTCATGAAACGTAAACACGCCGAATGTATCCAATCAGCAATTGTTTCTGCCGAGGAAATCCGTTGTGGTAACCCAGCTACTCTGGATACAACAATTAAGTCTTTGACGTCGGATTCTGTCAAAACAAGTTTTATGGGCAGGTCAGCTTTGACAAATAATTTGCCTATCTCAGATTCTATAACAGCGTACCATATTGATATGTTGATCCCTTGAAGAACTTGATCTCTTTCAAGTTTGGAAAATTCACGATCATAATCAATGGTGGCCAAACCCCACTGGTTAAATGTTTTTGTGGCGTGAACATTGATGAGAAGATTTCGATCCGTTCTGGAATATGTGAAACTACAGTTGCTGCTGACTGGAGAATTTTTAATTACCAGTTTCTCTATAGGTAATGGGATGTGAGAAAGGAGACTCCTGGCCATAACTATTGAAGATATCTCTGGGTGCAGATTGTGCGCAAAATACTTTCTTGCAGATCTGCCAAGAATGTCGAAGCTCATCATGTCCAGCTCTAAGATGAATTCATTTCCCGTTGTGATCTTTTGGAAATCAAAAATATTGTATTCATCTTCGGTTTGGTCGAGGAGGAGTCCATCGCCATAGATGCAGATGTAAGCGATATAACATGTTCTTAAGATTTCGTAAAGTGGAAATGCCTCGGAGTCGTATTGTAAATGACCGTCACTGATTGTGAATTCCCACGATATTACAGACCCCAGTTTCCCATAGCCTTGCCTTCCAGAAGATGAGAACGTCTTCACGTATCGGACCTCAATTTCTTTTACGGGTTTAAGTAATGTTTTAACACTCTCTAACATATCTTTTGGGTAATGATCTTTGATGAATTCCATGTAAAGGGAACACGAATGAAGTACACTTTCAAGCCCACCAAGTCGAGACCAAACACTTTCTTCCATAATAGTAAGAACAGCAGAGGTGGTCAGTGCCTGATTCTGGATGGCAGACCAGTTGACTCTTATATTAACATCAATGTCTAGATCGTCCTTAACCTGAAAATACAGATGTTAAACTTTTCACGTAAAGATAAAAATTTAAACTGTTTAAAAATTTAATCCTTTTTGGGAATTATTTCAAATTGCAAAAATTAATGAATACATTAAACATACATTATGCAAGAGCTAAATCCGTCTATTGCAGGTCTTTCTTTAGGCCTGAAATGTTATCTAAATTATTAATTAGACATTAATTAACCTATCCAGACCATAATCAACTCTAGATGGCATGGCTAGCTTGCAATCTGTAGTGGATAATGAGCCGATTTACTGCATAACTTTCCTTCACGATTTAATGATTAAATGGATAATCGAGACTATGCTGTTTATCGTACTGACATTAGTAATGATGAACGAGGATCGGCGGAAATTTCATTCGCTTAGTTCTGGGTTCATAGTGGATCAATTTGAATGACATTTTCAGCAAATTGCCTTTACGTTATGTAGTTTTTAACTATTATAACGAGGACTGCCAACAAGTAATCGAATCTCCCATAATGTATCTTTAAGTAACATCAACTAATATAATATAATCTCTCATACTATAATTTATGTTCACCGAGATGTAAAAAAACAAGAAACAAAATATTATTGGTCAGAATATTTTCAAGTGGTATGCGTTTCATAATATACATCACTATAGAGAGCTAGGCTTACCCTTTCCTCAAGGTCTGGAATAACATCTCTGATAATCTTCATCTTTAGGAGGCCAGCAAAGGAAACTTCTTCAGGAGGTGCACTGGAACAATTAAACCTTGGAGAAGAACCAGATTCTCCTGACTTCATCTGCACAGCATCCAAGAGAGCAGTATCCTGGCGTATCAACGTGGGTTCGGAACTGTTCGTGCAAATAACACGTATGGATTCTATTTGTTTCCAGGCATCAGTGTCGAAAGATATCAGGCATGGGTATCTCTGTAGTATGTGGACTACTATTTGCCTTCGTAGTGCAATACCCGATATGGTTGGACACTGCTTCTCAAACGTAGCTGTATCAACATTTATTTTCTTCCCGTACATCATGCTTGGTATTATAGACTCCATTATCGCATATGAATCAATAATATTTAGTACATCAGACTTTATGAAAGTACTTATTTCATAGCAATCGGAATCGCTGATTCGATTGGTTTCCGAATCCCATTTCTCATCGCCGGGTTTGCGGTATCCACAGACTAAACTGATCGGCAAAGGAATAGCTTCTTTAATCTCAGCCAGTTTGGTCAAATGTTCGTCGATTTTAGTACCTGATTCTTGTATAAGGTTCATGATATAAGCAACGAGTTCCATATTACCCAAATTAATAGCATGCATTAGTGACTCGTTTGCAGGATTTATAAGGATATCTTTGTAGTTTTCTCCGATAAGTTTGATAGTTTGGATACGATTGTACTGGATCGCACGTCCGATGACACCCGATGCGACTTCTGCCGATATAACATCGTGTTCCTTTATCATCTCAGATGCGATATCGTCCATTCCAGGATGTGACAGTACTTCCAGAATTGGCAGCGCTTGTCTACTTTGCATTAATATCAATCCAACATGTTGACGTCCACCTTTAAATCCCATGGCAGCGAGTGCAGCCTTTAATATTTTGCCACCTTCTTCTTTGGTACTTTCGTCTTTTAGTGAAGGGTGGATGTTTTTTACCCATCCAAAAATGGTTTTTAGGTTAGTCGGATGATTACAGACACGTTCATTTGGATTCCATACATTTCGAATGGGTTTATTGCTTTCCGAGAGTTCTGAGTCAGAAGAGTTTAAGTATTTTTGATATATATTTGACCATCCGATGCATAAGTCAAGAGTACACAGTAGGCAGACGTGGTCCGTGATGTCGTGTTCAGAGTGACCTCCAATCAGGGATTCAAAATCTAGACCATCTATTAACACAGGAACGATATCGTGTTTCCCTAAAAGAACTGCAATCATAGCTGGAATGTAACCTTGTGCGTTTTTGGTTTGACGTAGACGAATACTATCGTCTTGTTTGTTTACCATGTTTATTATATGGTTGTCTCCCATGGCAACAGCATGATGAAGTATCGTATCGTTATTGGGGGTCGTTACTTCCCGCCCTTCGCCCGTCTCCCAGAGAATTGAAAAACACGCAAAAGCTCTGAACTCAAGTGAGGCAGTCAATGGAGTATACTGTGTCGTGGAGGGTTTCTTACGTATATCTAACGATGTATTCAGCCATGTTTTTAGTTCTCCCGGTACATACTTTTCACAATATCTTATCAACGACTGGAGAGCTCTTGGAAATGAATATGTAGCTAATACATGAAAATATGGGAAGTCTTCGTAGCTTCTTTTCATATCGTCGACAAGAATCTTCATTTCCGTATTGATAAACACCCATACTGCCGCTTGGTCACCTTTTATGATATATCTGTCTAATGTAATTTTTTCCATTTCTCCACCTTTCAGAAATTTTAATAGATAATACGGCTTCGAATTTGTTATTACATCCGGAAGATTGGACTCGGTAGATTTGTTTGATTCCATTAAATAACTGAAAAACCCGACATTATTCCGGTAATTATGATGATTGTCTGCAGTCAACGACACCTCCCATTTGGACTGGAGATCCAAATACAGCTTAATGTGTCCGAAAAGTTTGGCATAGTCTACGGGTGTAAACCCATGAGCATCGAGTGACAATAAGATTTCTCTTGTCTTGGGGTTGTCCATTTTGTTCAAAACCCTTTCAATAAAGTCAGTCATGTTGTGTCTACAAGCGAGGTGCAGGATTTCCTTTTTAGATATCTCTGTCTCAATCATGGTCTGGGTAAGATATTCTCCAGTACCAAATAACTCTATACACAATTTCTCGTGTCCATTCGTGGCAGCAATCGTTAGATATTCAAATATAGTACTGAAAGTTTCAGAGCCATCGGAAATCAATTTCCACATATCTATGGAACCCGTTTTGCAAATGCACTTGCAATGTTCCCTATCAAAAGTTCTATTTTTGATCAATGATTCAAAGAGTGTTGTGAATCTGGACACATCTGAGCACAATCCAAAGCATCCAAGAATGCAAGTAGATCTCCACGGGTTCCAGGGAAGCGTAAATTGCTTCATAATGTCAATGTCAATGGAACACGATTTGACTAAGAAAGAAGCAAGTGCGTCTTTTCCCTTACGTATAGCGATACCAATACAAGTATGGATTATGACCTCCTTATCGCTTTCATCTTTCAAAATAGCCTGCCAGAATGCTTTTGTAAACTCTTCATCCCCGTTACTGATGGCTCTATAGAGGACCGGAAGCCAGTATTGTAATAAATCAGACTTGGATGAAACAGAAAGTTTTTGACTTTTTAAGATAACAAGCAAAAGATGACTCATATCATGGTGTGCTGCTAATTGAAGTGTCAATGGCGCGATAACAAATTTCCGTTGAGATAAAGATATTAAATAATTAAGTATCTCCGATCTATCTTCATCCTTACTAACGTTTCTTGAAAAAGAGAATATTAACACTAAATCAATAAACGAATACGTTTCCAAAAATGTCATGTCCAAGCCTTTCCGTATCAAATTACGATGGAACTTTCTTTCCAGAACTTTTAAAACTCGGCAGTTACCAAGCATTGCCAATACCAAAAATGTATCTTCTGTGAGATCTTTTTTTTGAAGCGTTCTTTGCAAGAAATCTTCGCTGTTTTCAATAGAAAGAAAAGACGAAGGGTTAATCCACTTGACAGACGTCAATAATTCCAAAACGCGCGTGTGCAATCCATTGCTATCATTTTTGGTTTTCAGACTCAATTTACATTTTCTTAAAAATCTGGGAATGTCGATGAAAGATGTTAGAAATGATATGATATATGTATGTCGATTCTTTTCTGAAACTTTGGAGTGAAACAGCCCTTTCTCCAAGCATAGAGCATATGTTTCGTTTTGGTGATGCAAGGCGGCAGTGACACTGGGGTCGTGCTCTAATGTATGCGCGTGCAAATGACCCAAAGGTTGATTCAGTGCATCCAGCATAACTTGACGATCACCCCGTGCAGCAGCGGCTTCTAACAAAGTAGTGCCATCGTTAGCAGCATTTGCTGACAGGCGTAAGAGATTTTGTAGTCGCCATCTGGTAGAGGAATCTCTCCTGGGGAGTTTGCTATCAATCGTTAATCCTTTTCGGGTTGTTAGGCCATTTAGAAGTAACATTTCTAAGACATTCCAACGTTGGTATTTCAAGGATAAGACCACAAGGTTTGGACATATTGACTCTAATTGTTTGAAATCATCTAGATGTGTCATTCTGGACAGAATTTCTTTCATTGCATCACCCAACCCCCACTGTGTCACCATTTTTATTACGAAATGACAATTAGAGGGACGCAGGAGGTTTTCCATGCGGTGTTTTTTGTCCTTAACTAAAGGCGGAACAAGTCTAGAAAAGATGTCTCGAAGTACGTTGGGGGTTTTCCTCCTTGCAGCTACATCCATCAACTCAAGAGTTATCGACTGGGTTAGCTCATCTGTCTGTTTCGTCAACTGCACTACTGCTTTCGAACATATTGTATCGCTCGCTTTCTGTATAAGGGTCATAACCCTATATGAACTGGAAGAAATTTAAGAAAAAGCGTTAAGTTGCCCTGGTTAATATTGAATGGCATGGTGGGGTTAATTCAATCCATGTTCATTTTATACAAATTGATTTACTTGGACCCTGTCCCAATCAGATTTTAAAAACACAGGTCCTGCCACGTTTCGCTTTTTATAGTTCAAAACGAACAAAACGAAATATAGATCTGTATCTTAATTATATTGCTATTAAACGATAAAATCTATTTTTGCTATGTAATAAAACAGTCGTTTCAAAATATATGAGAAAGGTTATAGGTAACTGGGGGATCACGGTGGCTAAGTGGGTAAGACACTGGCTCGCTAGCCTGGAGGTTGGGTGTTCGATCCCTGCATTGGGCAAGAAAGTTCATCCCGCTTGCTTTCTCGGCGCGGTTTTCCCTTGTTAGTGATGCAGGACGAAGGGCCTGGCACGGACACCTGTCTAGCCGTTTGGATGGGACGAAAAACCTAGGTCCCGTGTACACATTGGCGTGCACGTAAAAGATCCCTTGACAGTTGGAATTCGATATAAGAGAAGGCCGTAGTGCCACTGTCCGGGCAAAATTTCTCTCATGGCACACTGTATGGCGTATGTCCGTCTTCATTAGCCCAGTTCGAAGCAGAACAGTAGGACGTTAAACCCCATTTTATTTCATTTATAGGTAACTACAGTAGGATTGGGAGAGTTGGATTGGGGTAAAGGTAATGATAATACAAATTAGCGCTTAGTTTGGGTTCGGATTAAGAATTTGGAGGAGGTTTTAAATATGGGGTTGGTTAGGGTAATGATATATCATAAATAATTAATTAATCATTATTCATAAATAGGGGTGTTGGATGGCCCACATGTTTTAGTCTCGAAATGACCTAGTATGTGTCGAGTGGACGTTAAACCCCATTTCTCTCTCTGTTTATTCATAAATACTGTATTTATTAGGTTATCTTTATACGTAGAAACGGTGGTTTCGAATAACTTTGTCCTAAATACATATAAGAATTATAAAAGTACTTTACCGAGATGTGCTGTTTTTAATATCTGTATCAGTGGTCGGTTGGTCGTCATCTTCGGTTACTCTTTCATCGTCTGAAGATAGTTTCTTGTTTTCTGTACTCTTCATCGATGATTGTACCGGGTCAGTCTTTTCGCGGTCTGTATGATACTGTTTGGATATGGGGTCCACTCTACAAATAAAAGTAAAATTCTAAAAGTACACTTACGAATACACCTGGATGTAGCCACACCCGTAGCCAGAATCTGGACTTGGAGGGGGTGGGGGCTGGTGGTGGTCAAGCAACGCCTTTTTCGGGAAGCGAATCCGACCTGACGCAAGCGCCAAGGAATGAAATGTGCACCGGCGAGGGGGGGGGGTCGTTTGAAAAATGAAAAAATATAAACACATGTAAAAACTATTCATATAGAAGTAAAATTATTTCAAAGGGGAGATCACACAATTGGCAGTTATAAATTGAACAGTGAAATAACCACAAAATTAGAATTGAAAGTGTTTGTTCGTTGGCTTTGATGAAAAATCGATTTTCGATTGGAAAAAAAAAACCTTTTATTTTTCGCACTCAATTTGGAAACGAAGTGTTTAGGTTTGACTGAATACCAGACCAGATGCAAAAGATGAGTCATGAGTGTAATCGAGCAAAGCAAGAATTTGGTAAGCTCACTTAGTTGTCGAATGTTGGTGCTCATGGTCCAGAGTGTTGAATGGACAAGTTACAAAAGCATACAACAAAATATAAAAACATAAGCCTGTTTTACTATGATCCACAATAGCTGACCAGCCGGGGGTGGGTAGTCAGAAAGATTTTCAAAATATTTCTGTCGGCATAGACCAATCTGGGGTCGTGGGCGGGGGGATTATATGTCCCTAGCCAACTCTTTATTATTCTAAAGAGAATGCTACATGTACAGGTTGTGTCAGAATACAGCTGCTTCATATACTGAAATATATTCCCCACATGTTAATGCTAGCTAATGACACAGATTACCACGCAATGATTGTCTGATTAATTCATCTACAAGTGTCTATCCCCAGTAAACACAGCCTAATACATACATGTACATAGTATACGTTTAACCTCGATATATTGTTTTGCTGATACAAAATCAAACTGTCGTCGATAATAATTTCACTTTATTTAATGAAACGGAGTTTATTGTCCAACATTTCTGCACCGATGTTTCTTCCACACACTAGTGAGAAGGACAAACCACGTCGTGAAAGCTCTAGAACCCGAGATCTAATAGATGGTGAGTCATAAAATTTATCCCTGAATTACCGAGCCCCCAGAAAAGACATCTTGATCATCAACCCAAAGCAAGTTTGTGCCTCACATTATAAAGGATCTTACCGTCCGGTAGGATACTTGGTGAGATTGATGGGTATATTGTTCCGTAGCAAAATGTCGGTTAATTCCCAGTCTTCATAGAATATAGACCAGTCCAAACAATTACCATAGTCTGGGTCTTGAAATAATGGTGAGCAGCCCCTTTAAATATAAATTATATTGACATGGAAACTATAGATATAACAAATGGGTGCAAATTATTGTTCCTTTGTCGTCTACCTGTGCTCGCGTTGTAGAATTACCTGCTGAGAGAGGGAGAGATG